GGGGGACTCTCAGCTTCTGTTTGCTGTTCCGATATGGCAGAAATGCTGAAGACAGGAGGAGCAGGGGGACTCTCAGCTTCTGTTTGCTGTTCCGATATGGCAGAAATGCTGAAGACAGGAGGAACAGGGCCTTTTTCAACATCTGTTGCCGTTCCAGCATGCGATACAGAAGGCAAAATAGGCGCTGGAAGCTCGACTATGACAGGCTCAGTCTCTTGTTCAGAGATGGAGGACATGCCTAGGATAATTGGAGCACGAGGTTCCTCAAAATCTGTGGTGGTCCCAGCATGGGAGACAGTTGCTGCTGCCGCCACAGGAGAAGCCTCTTTGGGGGTTGTCTTCTCAAGAGAAGCTTTCTCAACAGCGGCTTCGTCCGCACCAGTTGTCACTTGCTCAGAAGTAGCAGCTTGTTCCTTGTCTTCGTGACCACTTGTGCTCTTGCCAAGTCCAAAGCCAATGCCTCCGGCAAGGGCAGCACCTATCGCGCTCGAAGCATTCGACAGTATGCCTTTTGACTCTGGCTCCCATGGGTCTGTCATCATAGAGGAATCAACCATCTGTGGCCGAGACTCAGGCTCCGGAACACATTCCACGGAAGAAACGGCAAGAGGAGACCTCCTCACGGCCTCAGGAGAGGTTTCGGGCGAGAGGAGATTAGTTCTGCTTGGCGTTCCATCAGCAACGCTGCCATCCTCGCTCTCCCCGCTGAGGTTTCCGAGCTCCGCAAACAAGCTTTGGCCTTGAGCGGGTGTACTTGAGTTGCTCGCAAAGCTCGCCGGCGAGTCTTTGGCCGGGGGAGTGTTGGTATATAGATCGCTAGAGTTCTGTGATCGGCGATATCCACCCTGCCCTCTGATCTTGAGGCGATAGCGAGGGTGCTGAGCCTGGACTGGAGTGCGAATGTTTACGTCTTCTCCCTCTTCCCCAGAAGTAGATGCTGTGCTCTGGTACGAGTTACGATTTCGAGGAATAGAAAGAGGGGATGGCCTCGAATGTCGAGTAGCGGGTGTCGCAGAAGCATTGCCTTCAGTTTCTGTGAGATCATCACTGCTGTCGCCGTCCAGAGTCTCTGCACCAGTGTGGAAGGCATCGGTTTCCGTTGTGGTGCCGTCACGCTCGTTGGCGGTCTCAAAGGCATCCGAGTTTTCGGTCGCAGTCTCAAATGCCTCGTTGCTCGTGTCCACGGCAGAACTGTGGCCACCAGGCGAGAGACGTCGAGACGCAGCAGTTCCAGGAGCTAGCAGTGATCTTGATCGCCGACTAGGTGACTCTTGACCGTCATGCTCCTCCCATTCTTCATCATCGACAATGATCTCTTGATTGCCACTCCTGACGGCTCCTAGCCGGTCGGGTCTTGCAGGCTTCTTGAAGACATCTTTCTCGTTCGGCTTGCGCCTCTTTCCAGCACTACCGAGTCCGTTAATGCCGCCGTCTCGCTTGGTCTCGAGCTCGTCACGAGCATCCTGCAACATCCGCTTGAGTTCAATCTTTTCAGTCTTCTCGCGATGAATGTTGTTCTTGAGGTTCTGGATCATGCGATGGGCGTGAACAAGCGAATGCTTGAGAGTCTCGGATTCTAGCTGCCCGTGCCTTGGGGTAGCTTTACTTGGCGATGGAGGCGGCGAGTGGTCAGGAGTCAAAGTATTGCCCTCCTCGCCATCATTGTCTGAGGAGGTATCATTTACACCACCCTGGTCGTCAGATCTCATGCGGTAGGCTACAGCTCTGGCCAGCTCCTGATTCTGTGCAGCGAGTTCTTCAACCTTACGTTGAAGGGCACCGCGCTCTGTTTCACCCATAGTCACATTGCGGCGGAGACCAGTAAGCTCCGATTCAGCGTGCTTGGTTTTGGCGGTATGGTCCTCACTGAGCTTGGCGTGTGCTTGCTTGAGCTCTTCAAAGTCCCGCTCCACAGTGGACTTCTCGGTCTTTGCAAGGTTTAAACTCTGATTGAGGCGTTGCTCCCTGTCCGCTAGTTCCTTTGCAGAGGCCTCCAGATCACGGACTTGGCTTTCCAGACTCCAATTGACATCCTTTAGCCGAGACTCGCTCTCATCCAGGGTTCGCATCCGTTGTGATAATCCTTCCACCTCGATCTCTAGTTGCGACCGTTCCAGAGTCGCAGCCTTGAGAGCATCATCCTTCTCTGCAAGAACGGTTTGTAGATCTCGTACTTGTGACAGCAGAGACGTGCTGATCTCAGTTGCAAGCGTGATATCGTGGATGCGACTCGGCTGTTGGTTTCGCTGTTTCCGCGACGGAGCGCTGACCTTGGATGGCGAGTGTTGAGCCTCGCTGGAATACACCGAAGCGCCAGCAGTAGTCTCGGGCGCCTCTCCGCTAGGAACGCGGGACTTCGGCAGGAAGGCGCGTGCCGTTTCTCTTCCTACCTCATTGTATTCTTTTTCCAGCTCGGCCAGCTTCTGGCGCAGCTCCGGGCCGATCTCGTTGTCCTCCGACTGCTTCTCGACGTCCTTCAGCCTCTCCTCCAGATCCTTCCGCTGCTGGACGAGAGAGTTGCCCAGCTGCGAGGCCTCTTGCAATCTCCGTGTGGTTTCCTGCAAATGTGCCTGTAGCGCGCGTTTTGTCTGGGCGGGGGAGCCGGTGGAGAAGAGTGAGAATTGCTGGTTGTCGAAGGCGGAGTAGCGATGCTGCTTTTTGGTGTCCTGGGTGCTCGACACGAAGGGGTCCGAGCCGTTGGAATCCTCCACAGGCAGCGCGCCGGGTGCCAGATTCGCGGTGGCCATGACTGCGGTTAGTCGATGGTACAGTCGTCAATTTCCCATCAGATTGGCGACTATATTGTCCGAGTCGAGTGGTGGTGGAACCGGCGGTCGATCGAGTCCCGAGGTCGCGGGCGGTTGAGGGGGTGCGGGAAAAATGTCTCGTGTGATTATTATTAGATGTCGGAATCACACTCCCAACGCGATGACAGGCGAATGGTGGTGTCCAAGGAAGACGGCAGTCGAACAAAAGAGCAAAAGGAAAGGCCAGGGAGATGGAGTAGGGGACGACAGGAATGCGCGCTGAAGCGGCAGGTGGCGTGGGCGACAGACGCGAACAGGCGGGCGGTGGGCCTCCAGCTGTCAACAACAGCGACTTGGCTACGCGTCACAACCGTCACAGTGAAGGGCCGAGGGTGAGGCGCATCGTAAGGCCGCGCCGGGCGACAAAGTAGGGCAGACGGGCAGAGGACCGAGAGGCTGGCAGCGGCGAGCGTGGACGGAGTGAAGCAGGTGTTGTTTCCAAGCTTTGCGACGGGATCAGCCCGGACCAGATCCCAGCTCTCGCGGAGATGATTCACCACGGCCTCAGCACCATTGGGTGTCATTCACCAAACACCAATTGGTTGGGCAGCGCATAAGGCGGCTACCATGGACGGCATCGCGCATGTCTTGACCGCGACGCAGTGTTTCATTTGGCCGCGGGCGGCAACGATTGATCGCTAGAACGCACACCATCTTCAACGCGACTCCATTCACCCCCACAGCTCGCCAAGCTGTCATCATTTTATTTCTTAAAACGGCGCCCTTGCGCCTCTCATCTATGGATTTCAGCGGAAACTCACCTACATGTTCAACTATGTTAACAACCGCAGGGTTCAGCATGACCATGGATCCCTTACTGCTATTCAGGGGGTCGGTAGATTGGATTGGGATGCAGTCATGGAAGGTCCAGGTAGATGCTCAACGAGCCAGACCAAGCATTTCAACGCTATGTGACAAACGAAGTTCCAGGCTTCTAGGAAGACACTGCATGTCTGCATTCGCTCTACCAATCTCATAGACCAAAAGACGCCTGCAGTTGGTATGTGGACCAGCTGGTGGTGTCACGTGACCGAGTCCGCTAGTCCAACCACTCCCTATCCAGACCCTCCAAGAACTTCAGATCGACCCCAACAAAGCTCCGCCAGAAATCCACTTCCAGTCGCCAGGGTTCCGTCTGCACTGCCCACGTCACCCCAGCACTCCGCAACCTGCAATCCGCCTCGTCCTTCCCCATAACAAGGTACAGATCCCTCTTCAGGACCACCTGATCGCCGAGCTGGCGCTTGTATGGGTCAATTCGCATTTTTGCAGAGTTATGGATACTCCACTCCGAGCAGGGCATATCCTTTGGTATAAACTTCCATTCCCAAGATCGCCCCACAGAGTCCAAGAAAGTCGTGGACGCGCGACGGTCATAGCCGATCATGAGAGGGTAGAAGTGCGGTGCCGACCACAGACGCAATAAAGAGAATCGGGCACCGGGGTTCGATGCCGCAAATTTGCTGGCACGGTCGAGCAGCGTTTCTGGCGTGAGTTTGGTAGGATCTTCAAGATGATCAGGAATAATGGGCCTAGAACTTGACAGCGTCAGCAAAGCAAGCTTCTTACTACCTAAAAATCTAAGGCCGTATAGAATGGGGAAACTAGCCTGTCTACGTCGAGGCGCCAGTCAATGTAAAGATCCATAGGACGAGAGGGCTCAGCGATGGCCACGGCCTGGCCGGAGACAAATTCGGCGTACGAATTGGCGATTACGCCTGCTTTGTAGACTACGGCGCCGTCAGTGTTAGCCATTGAGGAGGTATGGGAAACAGCCGCAATGAGTATGACTTACGATTCGCCACAATAGGCCTGACGGCGATATCCCATTCTAGAGGGTAAATATCATCGACAGCCTGGCCAGGCTTCTTCCGATTGACCCTCAAAAGATCGTCCCAAGCTTTGAAAAGGTCCTTGTCAATCGTCTTATTGCTCCTATATGTTCTCCTGCTCGGTGGATGCTTTGCTCGTTCGGCTTGCTTTAGCAGCAACGATTCACTGAGATCTAGGCCAGAACTCTCTGAGGCAAAAGTAATGAAATCTGTCGTCTCGGAAAACATGCAGATTGCAGCGTATGCATGGAAGGCGTCGGGGATAATGCGGCGATGCTGTGTGATTTTAGAGGCCATTCCCATGAATGCCAGCATCTCGTACGGGCCCATGTTGATCTTAGACATCAAGTAATCGTCCGCTTTTCTAACAACTTTTAGGAGTTCTGCGTAATTTTCAGCGGCACCGGGCGATAAATCAGCCTTGTGCCAACAGTCCTTGAAAACTGCGAATCCATTAGCTACAGCGTGATGAACGCGGAGAATACAGTCCTTTGTCATTAGTCTGCATATACTTCATCACCAGTGCTTGAATTGCTTCGAGAGACTCGCAAAAGCCAAAAGGTATGTGTGGCACGACGCCTTTCCAAGAGAAGCCCATAAATTGATATAGGCTTCATCCAAGTCTGAAAAGGTATCGAGGCACTTCAAACAATGACATAAAAGTGTATGCAGACCTATGACGAGACAGTGTAGCTGGACTGAACTTACTCTTAGACTTTTCGCGATCCATGAATCGCATCCACTCTTTCCTCATGGTCTCTTCACTGGTATCGCTGTAGTCTTTGTCAGTCTTACTAAGGCTTAATCGCATTATCGCCATCATATCCGCGTCGATCATGCTAGTATCAGCGGATGGCCAGCGAATTGTGGCGTCCAACAGTGGTTTCGCGAGATCTCGCATGCGATCTTCCTTAACACCCTTAGCAAGAGACTCCTTGAATTCATATTCAAAACGAATCAGGGCCTTTTCTTGGTCCTCGCCCATGGACGATTCATCGCTCTCGTCAGTCCACTCGTCGTCGTTGTCTTCTTTCGGATCTCCTTCTTGAGAGGAACATGACAGAGATTGCCCCTCCGTGATCCTAAGATGATCTTCATCATCGGACAATTCATCGTCGGTATCCAAGTCGTAGACAAATCTTCGAATGTCGCCGGGCGGCCCGCGCTCAAATTTTTGTATTTCACTTGGGTTATCCCTAAACAACTCGTTCTTCCTGTTTTGTAAGACTTCTTCAGGGAATAGAATTTGGTCCTCAAGTACGTCTGCCTCATTGTAGAGATAACTCATCAGAGAGTCCTCAATGTTTACCTCCCGGCCGTTCAGATCCACGGCTCGCATGCGCGTTTCAGGGTGGTGAATCTCATCCCAGATGCTCTGTACAACTTCACCGGGCTTGATCGTACGTGCTCTCATCGTTGATCGGTCCCTCGTCAGAGTCTTGATGACTGGGCCTGCCAATTTGAAGTAATCGAGAGGTGTAATGCAGCGCTGTGCTTTAAGCAGCATCTACCCAAGTTAGAAACAGAGCTTTTGAGTCAGAGTACGGCTTGCAAAAAAATGCGGCTCACTTGACGAAGTTTGTTGTACAAGCGAGGATATGGCTCGCCAGCTTCGGCATCCCAGAGATAGATATCATAGTAGTCCGTGAATCCAAAATGCCATCGTCGATAGCCATCCATCTCTTCAAAGAACTCGGGACCAACAGATCGGAGCACGTGGTAGTCGTTCTTTGAAGCTCTTCCAAGCCCCATCTTTTCGCGGACTAGCCAAAGTTGATCATCTGGAGGTGTGACTAGTACGCGGCCAGTCCTCGCGTCACGGACAAGAACAATAACCTGTGATGTCTCCATTGAAAGGTATTGTATGAGCCGGCGGCTCGCTGCATCGTTACGCTTGACATGGCCGCAGATAAAGTTTCTGTTTCTGGTATCAGCAGTGCCGTTCAAGATTTTGATAGGGGACCCATACCTCATCTCCGCAACATGATGCGATCGTCGGCCTTGACGTCGTGGTGACTGATAGTACGTTGTGTACTCGTCCGCGGCGTCGTTCTGGACATACGGGATGAAGCCCTGTAGCAAGGTTAGGATTGTGGTTTCAGAAACATTTGAAGACGTACCAAAGTCATCAATTGATTTCTCAAGCGATCACCAACCCACGTCATCCAATTGGTACCGGGAAAGTAATGGTATGTGGCCAAGACATTCAACTCGTAGAACTCGTCCCAATGCCGGCACAGAGTAATGGCGTCAAACCTGGCAAATACGTTAGTCTGTGAAAGCGATGACGATGTAGTATCATAGCAGTGATTAGTGTGCACGAATGCCCACCACTGCTTGATGTCCGTCAACCAGCCATCCTTCTTGACTGTTGGCTCAATCTCCGATAATCCCAGATGGGTATCGCAGTGATTACCAGTATTTGATAATCCTCGTAAATCCTGCCGTGTCAAGCCTGACGTTCGATCAAGATGCTTGGAACTTTATTGAAGCGCGCCGAACAGAGGCGCGCAGGTGTACAAGTCGACGAGAATCACCTACAAATCGGAGTCTTTCGCGATGACGCAGAAATGGAACCAGCCTCCTCTGCTCATGGCTTTCTCGCTCGGGTAATTGTGGATATAATGGCCACAGATCTTGATGCGCATTTTCTTTTTGCTGAATTTGCCTTCGTCGGTGATTATGCCAAAGTCAATGAATGCCCCTGGATCATCCAGGCCCGAGATCTTTTGGTCTTCTTGTCGCTTCTTGATCATTGCCTTTTCCCTTTTCGTTTGGTAGACATGTCCAACACCTAAGCGATCACGTTTTGCTACTTTTCGAGGACGATACCCATAGCTAGTTTCATCTTCGTCTCCCTCTTCCTCTACTGTATTATCGTCTTCTTGACTACCCTCTTCCTCATCCCCTCTCGCAAAATCAGCGCACGCATCTCGGACTTCCTGAAGCGCGGGCTGCTCCACTTTCAGGCAGAGATCTCGTAAATCCTCCAGCGTGACTTCCGCGTCATTCAAAAACTCTTCGATACTGTCTACCCGTAACGCCACTGGTAAAAGTTTGGCATGGGATAGTAGCAATCGACAGAACAGCAACGTCTTGATCTGGGCAATATCCTGGAGAAGGCGATCAATTTCGTTGTCGGGCATAGGAGCCGATTTTTCTATCAGTTTGAGCGGAGAGTCAATGGTGCCGGCAATATACATGCCCTTTTCGCGATAATATTTAACGCCTTCCCTCAGCCGACTTCTGATCTGGGCCTGGGTTTCCATTTCGATGTTACTAGCACCACCCCCTGTGCCCGTCTCTGCGGTCGTGCTGTTCGTTTTTCCGGATCGTGGATTCGCCTTTGCAGGATTCGTCTTCACAGGGTCTGTTTTCGAGGGATCCGCCATGCTCTTTTTCCCCCTCTTTTTCGCACCTTTCGATATTTTGGGAGCCTCTGGGTTCGCAGGTGCACTTTCAGTGCGGTTGCTGTTGCCTGCTTGCTTGAGTTTGGTTGCCTCAGTGGTTTCTGAATCTGAATCCTTCAGCATCAAAAAGTACTTGATGAGATCGATGTAGCTGCCCCGCTCATCCTCAGCGACATCCTGAACTGGATCCCATTCTTCTTGTTCCGCTTCGGTCATTTCAGAGAGTCTCTGCGTGTATACTTCATTTAGGAACGCCTCTGCGCGCTTCTGATTTTCCCTGGCCCTGACCTCGTTCTGATGCCGCGTTACCTCCTTTTGATGCCGCCTGAACAGCTGTGCTTCTAATTTCACTTTCTTGCTCTCGTTCTCGCGCTGAGCCTCCTCATCATCCTGACATTGGCGGACCCACTGAAACCAAGAACGCTTGGCGTAAAGAATCTCAGCAGTCCTCCGTCCGAGCCTCTCTAGAGCCCGTGCGATCGTATGCTTCTCCTTCTGCAGTTGGGCTAAATACTTCTCATGGCCGTAATCCATATCGACGGCGAAGAAATGGCTGTGATGTAGCTTTCTTCCACGAATGACGGACGAGAGGATGTTCTGTTTCTTGAACAGGTAGCTGTGCAGCTCTCTTAGTGTACTTTCGGCATCGACATCCTCGAAATTCTGGTTGACAAGGGCAGTTTTAGTACTGGCCAGATATGCTGGCATCAAGTTGGCTAGATTGTCGAGTTGGGCATTCCTCCTCTTGTATCCCTTGTACAACGCTTGTAGAATAGAAGCATCAGCATAGCGAACGAGGAAATGAAGATACTTGAAAAGGCTCTAGTCTCATACCGTGACACTGCCTAGCATGGAATCCGCACAGGCGACCGTCGGAGGATGTTGCGGGCTTGTCGCATGGCGTCTTCGCCGTCGGGTCTGAGAGCTCGAAAGCTCTGCATTGGGGAGGCATTGGGGCAGACCGAATAACGCAGTAGCGCGGCGAAACACAGAACAATTATACAAGAGTCTACGCGTTTGTTGATGAGGGGGCTAACGGGACGGAGCTTAAATTGTAGTGCGCATTAGAAAGTGCGCTAGTCCCAAGGGTCCCAGCCCAGCTCAGCCCAGCAACGTGACACCAAGTCGCGTGGCGCCAGATAGACGCGTTTCCTCGCGATAACCACGTGTCAAAGTGTGCCTCTCGATTGATTGAGGGAAAGCAGGCCCATTCAAGGCCCTATCCAGGAACGTTGACCATTATAGAGTACAGACGGCTTCTGATGTCACGTGCTATGAATGTTCCCGTACTGACTAGCACTACTCGGCGACATCGGTCACTACATCCGACTGCTCCCAGACACAGGCACAACAAACATCACTTGCACCTCGCTCGCAGGCCTCTCTTAGTGACAAGACCTAGCCAGTCTATAGTCCCAAAGCTGTCGGAAGGGTTCCAGCGTGCCGGCACACCCGAGTATCCCGCTCTTTGCACCTTTACTAAACCTTATCGTTCCCTCGGGACGGCCGGGGGCCAAGAAGCCGGCGAGAAGTCCTGAATCTTCACTTGTTCTGGCCCTGGTAACTACACTGTCATGGAAGTTGATTCGTGTACCAATGCCTTTCCCCTCCCCTCTAACTGCGCCGAGTGTAGCGCTATCATTTTATCAACGTTGGCTAGTAATGAGCGGTACTAAGGAGGCGATGAGAAGATTGCCGACAGACTCTCCTGCAAGATACAAAGCTGGCGAGCATGGCACTCAAGAACGTCGGTATCGCAGAGACAATGAAGTTTACTAGGCTGGTCGTGCTTTTCACCCTGTTTTGGGGATTTGGGATAGCTTCACCCATCAAAGTTCTCTTAACCAACTACGACGGCTCAATAGCCTACTCGCTGGGCAGTTCGACGAGACCGTACTATATTCCCTCTCCAGGAAAGTCAGCAGCTGTTGGCAATTACAGCATTGGTCAGGGCGGGGGTAATTGGGAGCCTGAATTTGTTCCTTTCACGGTGCTGGTATTGAATGCAACCATCATCACCGGAAGTGTCATTGAAGACACATTGAAGGAGTACAAGGAGGACGATGTCTATACTGTAGACTTTCTTGTTGGTAATTGCTAAACGATAGCCTATACTTCAGGTGCATTGCTGATACAGTATTGCAGGACTTCAAATTATCTCGCTGATAAAGCATGCCAAACTCGACGAATCCGGGATTACATATCTTAAGTCATTGTCGCTACCATATCTCCTAATCGACAGCCAATTATCTTGCGGAGCTTCGATTGGTAACTCAATCAAGAACGCAAGGATCATTCCGCCTGGACCATACGTGGGCAAAATTCATTCCGGAACGCTATCGCTGTTTAAAACATATGGCACCTTTTACGACCAATACGATGCATTCATGGCCGGCGTAACCCCTAATGATGACGGTTCCTACGCATACGCGCGGATCTGGCATCCAGAGCATTACGAAATTATGATTCCGTACCCCTCAAAGCTGTATACAAGTCTCCTTGACCCAGCGCAATATCCGCTCGCAGGTCGCCGATTCGGGATCAAAGATATCATCGATCTCGAAGGCATAATCACAGGCGGTGGATCACGTGAATATGCACGGCTTTACAACACGCCCAAGAACGAGACGGCGCCCGCCATGGCTAAGTTGATTGCACTGGGAGCAGTACCTGTGGGTAAGACGAAGAGTGCCACATTCGCATGGGGAGCTTGGCGAGACCAGAATGACGATATACCCTATTCTTGGAACCCTCGGGCTGATGGCTATCTTGGGCTCTCCGCCTCTAGTTATGGAAGTGCAGCTGCTATCGCTGCGTACCCTGAGTTGGATTTCACAACTGGGACTGATACACTTGGGAGTGTGAGAAACCCTGCCGACCGAGCGGGAGTTTACGGGTATGCTCCTTCTCTCATGAATATACTGCGAACGTTGCTAACAACTGGAAGTTTGCGAACAACCTGGAGGGCCGTGGAAGTCGAGGGCATCATCACCAGCGCCATCACATTAGATTCCGTTGGTTTCCTTACCCGCGATCCAATTCTCGGTAAGTTTCTCATCTATCAAACCGCCGCCATGTCGCCAACTAATTATGCACCAGCCCAAGCAATCGCGAATGTCTGGGAAGGCCAGGGAAATGCCGCTTTGGCTCCCGGCCCCTTCACCTACCCCAAGAAGATCATATATCCTATCGAATGGTTCCCTGTAAATTCTAGCGCGGCTCAAACTCTCATTGACACTTGGATTGCGAACGTCACCAACGCACTAGGCATGACTATCGAATATCAGAACACGAGCCAGATCTTCCAGGAAGTCATTGGCTACAACGGCACCATGGGCGACTGGACAACGAACGTCAGCTCACTAGACATATACGATAATTGGGCAACCATGGGGAGGCAGTTTGTGGAAGACTATGGCAAGGCCTTTGGAGGCCGATATCCAGAGCTTGATGTGAGCGTGAGGACGCCATGGGCTGAGAGCCCAACGTATACGAAAGAATATTACGATGAGAATACGGAGAGAGCTTGGGAGTTCACTGATTTCATCAATAATGTCAGTCACCTAGGCTGCATGACGAGGCCTATGAAAGCCGAGTAGACTGCCGAAAGTTATTGGCTAACTATGCTGCAGCATGTCATCACCGGGAATAATGACACTTGTTCGGACGGACTGTGGATTTACCAGATTGCGGATACCGGTGGTGGTGTGCCTGAGTACCGCGACCGCACTCTAGACGTTAGTGTACTCATGTACAACACCTTTAGCTTCAGCTGACCTCCGCAGTACTTCCCCGACTTCGCGGGCGCTATGCGTGGGGCGTCGATAGCACCGTTCGCACATGTAGGGCTTTTGTCATCCAACGATGCTTTATGTTGCTAATATGACATGTGTAGACTACGGACATTACCGTGCCCATTGGTCAGATCCCCTACATGAGTGAGATTTCGCATGTGAGTGTCTATAGCAGACGTTTAGCGGAGTGCTCCGCGTAATACTGACATGGCGCAGGTTGAAGAGCAACTCGCTATCACGCTAAACTTCGTCGCTCACCGTGGCTGTGACTTGGCGCTCATGGAGTTCATCAAGGCGTGCGCTGACGCCGGCTTCTGTGCTGAGGTCAAGACTGGGCGGACGGCATTTTGAGAGTCCAGGGGCACGATCTGAGCCTGTAATCACTTCTAGATCTGGGTCAAATTGTCAACTTGAGAACAAGGTGCGTCAAATAGGAGAGTCTACATGTACTTATTCCCTACCCCTTGGGTTGGCCCCGCAGGATGCTACAAATAACACACAATGTAAAGTTTGATGCAGTAGGTTCTAGGCTTGCTTTCAAAAGCTCGTGATAGACCTGCTACCTGATTGAAAAGCCACCATCGAAGGACTCCTAGAAAATAACCCAAACATAACGCGAAGGAAAAGTCAACTCCCAGGAAAACGACGTCTCCAACGTCTCAAAGCCTCATCAGGAACAACAACACCCAGAAGTACACGCGCTGACAGACAGAGAAAATGCGAACACCCTACCACTCCACGCTCCTCTTCCCAGCCCCATGACAATTACCATCCCCCGAAGCACCCGCAGACTTCGCAGCCCTCCCAACACACGCCTTGGTCCCAATAGGCAAGTGCCCATGCGCATACCACTGGAACTTGACATCATTCGGCGTCCACTCGAAGCCCCAATCCGTCACCGCGCCGCACCCATCCAGCTGCTTCTTCAAACCCTCCCCATTAGCGCCGAACGTCGCGTCGGGCCAGTTCTTCCCGCGGATCTCGAACCCGTCATATACGAACTTGTACGACACGTCGCACGAGAGGTCGTTGACTTGCTGGGAGAGCGCTTCGAGCTTGTACACCCACCCGTCGGCGCTGGTGAAGGTGCCGCCAAACTTGTAGTTGTGCGGGTTGTTGATGGGGTCATTGCCGTCGCAGCCGTCGAGGATGGCGCGCGTGATGCGGCCTGCGCAGTCGGGGGCTTTATCGGTGCCTTGGCTCTCGTCGCTGGGGAAGTCGACGGAAAGACGCAGCTGGTCGACGGTTCCGTCGTTGTATCTGAGCAATATCGTTAGCAGAAGAGCGGGGGTGTTCGCTGAGAGGAGGTTACTTACTCGACCGACTTGCTAGCTTGGGCGCAGAAGTCCTTGATGTTCTGGGCGGCGGTGTCGCGGTGCATGATCCAGACGTCGCCATTGATGCCATGGCACTGGACCTTGTCTTGTCCCGCAGGTGGAGTTGGGGGAGCGGAGTCAACGTCACGATCTGCTTTCCACTCAGCCAGGATGAGGTCCTTTATAACAGTGTGGAAAGCTGGCTGCGGGTGGAACACTTTGAAGCGATTTCCCGCGGCTCTCCAAATGGGATCTAGAAGACCCTCTGCGCCCGGGTCAACATTAGCGAGAACAGCTTCAAACAGATCGTTTTGCATCGGCCATTTCTTATTGATGTCATCTGCGGACATGCCAGGGGTAGTCTTGGCATATGCGTCGGACAGAACTTTGTCAACGGTTGGATCCTCGGGCTCGTTGTATGGATAATGCCAGAACCATAGCTTCGGATTATTCCTGGAGACTATTAGCTGATATCTGCTATTAGAGATAATGAACAACTTACTGATTGGGTTCATTGGCATCCTTTTCGCAGAAGCGGTGTGTATCCAGGCCCGGACCTCCTTGTTGGATATCGATGAACTTGACGCCATTGGCCGAATTTCTGTCCACGGCCGCTTTGATTGCAGCATTGAGGCCACGGCTCATAGCATTGAAGTCTTGGCGGATTGCTGAAGTCATCTTCACGTGGTCTTTCCCGTCGTCGACAGGATTGGCAGATCGAGCGCTATGGATGTATTAGAAGAGACGACGGAGAACTCAAAATCTATACTTACAAAGTAACCGTATCGCAGGCAGGGTCGTCCCAGTTGAAGAACTCCCCGAAACCAGCCACGTATAGCTTGAATTTGTCGCCGACAGTGCCTTTTCGGCCCCTGGTTACAGTCATCTGGATCAGATGGTCGATATCATCCACGAGTTTCGGGGCGTTGATTAAATTCCAGCTAAAAGCTCGTTGATCGTCGCAGGTTCTCTTCTCTGGACCGCCGGGGATGTGCCATTCAATGATGCAATTGAATATGATCCCCGGGAAATCGATGTCGTTACCACCGACATTCATTGTTGCGAATGTAGGGTTGCCAAACGCCGGTCTATCTCCTAGATGATGTGAGCGCCACTCGATAAGCTTGGAAGTAAAATTAGGTTCAGCTTACCATACTGCCTATTCGGCTGACCGGATGTATCTTTGTCATAGAATTGATATGCCTCGACGTCCGCTGACGACGAGCCAGAACAGACAACGTTGTTGAATTTCCAATTGTCGCCAAGTTCCAGATCTGCACCGTTGAGTTGAACGGGATAGGCTTGATCGTATCTCAGGCATCTGTAACTGTTTGCTCCATACTCGCCAGAGCCGACTCCTGAAGCGTAACTGTCACCTAGGGCAGTCCATTCAACAACATCGCCCCGAGGAGAAAGAATTGAGGGGGCATGAGGGAGAGACGAAACAAGTTGTAATAGATATAGAAGAGATATCACGGATGGCAACATGATTGATGATCGTGGTTCTAAGGCAGGCTTTGCAGACTAGCTCAGTTGATACTGAATAACGAGTGATCGACGGGGAACACTTTATACTCATGCCAAATCCTCTCATTGCTAGGAGAACTCTGCCCCTTCGTCATAGTCCTATCTAAAGATCCGCCTCGTCCCGTCCGACAGATAGTCCAAAATAAGTCCAACATGTTAGCCGTCAGCATCTGTGCTAGGGTGATGTAGGTTCTGACCTCGCTATACAGCACCTTGGAATTACTAAAAGGATACGGAATCCTGCTTGGCTGAAACGACTATTGTTTTGCTATGGGGTTGTACCCCTACCTACTTGGGACAGCTGATGGCAAGGCTGTGTACCTGAACTCGAAAATCCTAACACCGGTTTGGGACGGTATAGAAATAAATTTGAGCCATGCTACGAATAGAGCGCCTGAATCTCTTGAAATTACCATGAGTATCTGAGAACGACAGCGGCTTGACTAAGCTATTTCTGATATTGCTAAGTCGTGGGGATACAAATCAATGGTAGTGCCAGGGCAAGTGTCACGACATTAGTCTGTGTAATTTACTCTGCCACTGCACAGAGCCCTCCAACACGTTCTCAAAGATCTAGACGGAATGTAAAGCACTCTGTAGATTGATACGGAATAGAAAACGTGTTGTCGTAATGGTTTTCTTCCATCTACAACGACAGGATCATTGTGGAGTAGGTCTCGATATCGTAAGGGTCCAGAAATAGACGGTACTTTGTACGAAACTCATTTCACCAAAAGCTAGTCCGTGGAGGCGTCGAGGGCCAACATCTCCCAACGTTCCATGTTGGATATGTTGCTAGTGGTTCATCCCGGCTTGGTGTTCGTTTCTAAGAGCGAAATAGACGCCGAACAATCCTGTGGCTTGTTTCGAAACCAACACCCAGCATACAAGGCTTCCTTCGGGAGGCGGAATCGTCGATTTTGGATATGAGTGGTGTGAAGTCGTGAGCTAGTGATCTGTAAAATGTACCAGATAGGGGCGAAGTAGCGGGACTTGAAGCGGTTGCTTGTTCTGGAAGAAACATGATTGGTGGACAAATAATTTTAATAGGACGTTGTACGAGGAATCAGAGTGAGATCGGGGCCATTTGTGCAGGAGGAGAGACAGGAGGAAGCCATGTTCTTCCCTCGGCGCAGTCAATTCTATATATATGCGGCTAGGCTCGGTTACATGCATGTCTCCGGGGCCGCCCCCACGTTACTGGGCGGGCGCTAGGCACGGGCAGTGCACGCAGTACACCTCAACCCCGAAACGTGTAGCCGCCTTGGAGGACCTCACTACATACCCCGAATCAGTTTTCAGAATTGAGTCGTTTCTTCGTATTTTGACTACTCTGAGCGGGCACTTACGATATCACGAATAGTTATCATGCGGCCATCACTCACGATACCCCTCCTCTTCGCTGCGCGATCTGTATCTTGGAGGTTCGCCAGTCGAGGCTCGCTGGCTAAACAACAACACGTGCTATCAGATGAGGCATCGATAACAGACTATGAGCTTCCAGATGTTATACCGGGCGGTTCTCCATTCAGCTTCTGCAATCAGTCGAGGAAGACGGATCTATACAACATTTCAATGATCAATTTCAACCCTCAGCCACTATATCTGTCAGTTGCTGTGCACATTACTATCTCAAGCTCGATGCTGACTATTTTTCTGTAGCGATAATGGCTTCGGCGTGACCATCTATGGTGACTCTCGTTCTTAATAGTAACTCCATCTTTTCTGTACTTACACATCACAGGGACTTACCTCAAGGATGTGGGCCCGAATGCGACATTCGAGATGACTGGAGACTGCGGCAGTCACTGCAAAGAATATGGGTGAATATCTTCCCAAATCATATCAACTATTTTGAAGACTAATGTTGTAAAGGTACAACCATACGGAGGGAGAAACAGAAAGCTGGGGCTTTTGCCCTTTCCACAACGAAACTCAGCAGCTGGACAAGAAAGGTGGCTGTCCACCGGTGGAAGGTTTCGCGCTTACGAACGTAGCGGGTTGGGTGATGCCGTGGTACCGCGTTCCTGTAAGTCTACTTGGTGATTTCCGGGAGGATGAGCTAACTTCGACAGGCGTGGTACAATTTCACCTTCGATGCGAAGACGGCCGACGGTGAGCGAATCTACTGTCTTACGGCAGAAGTATGCCTCCGTTGGGAAGATGAGAAAATGAACAAATGGTATGTCGACCATGGTTCGCCTGGGGCCAACTGTACTTGGCCGAGGTAGGAGGAGGGTTGACTTGCTGGATAAGATCTTGGGACTTGTTAGTTGAACAGTCACGATGCGAAACGGGTACCCACATTGAGTCCCCGTATTAGTCAATATATTGAGTCCGGCATCTATAGACCATTCGTGCCAGAGTCTGAGGAACTACCTCCCTGCCTACTCCTGGACGCGACTTTTGTCGATTCCGTGTCAAAGAATAAGGTGGTATGCAAACCTGTATTTCCCGAAGACTTAATTGCCTTGTAACCGCCGAATCCTGTCCTCGGCTGCTTTGGCCCTTCGCTCTCGCTCAATCCTCATCCGCGCCTCGGGCGTTAGCCCCCTTGATTCTTCCTCACGTTTCTCCGCTCCAGTTTTCTCCGGTTGGCCACCAAGCGACTTCCCTTTCCCTAATCTCTTGTCCCGCTTGTTGGCCTCCTCTTGCGCACTCTCTTTTCTTAGACGTTCAGTCTCGGCTTTGCGACGTTCCGCCTCCTGCTTATCCGCCTCGGTCTTCTCAACCCTGTCCCGCTGGTCACGCTCCGCCACCTCGGATTTTGACAGAGGAGCAGGCACTCCGGCAAGATTCCAGTCCCACGCACTTTCGCCCAGCTCGCTCCTTGCCGCCCGGAAGGCATCACGTGTTGCTCGGTCACCTGCTAGACTGAAGGGTGTACGTGCGTCGTCGCTCATGACTGTCGGATCAGCCTTAGCTTTTGTGAGTAGCGCAAGCACTACAGGCCCAGCATTCAGGGAGGATGCGAAATGAAGAGGAGTCGGGGTATGATGGTTTGCTGGGAAGAATTGGAAGGCCGGGGTTAAGTCGTTGGAACTGAGGTAATTAAGTATTGCTGGTATCTTAGAGCGGCGAATCAATGCAGTTAGTTGCGTAGTATGAAGTATAGCTGCTTCTTCCTCCTTTGATGGTTTAGGAGGTTTCGATGGTTTGGTAGAGGCTTTTGAAGCCTCGAGGGTAGCCGCCGGTGCTGCGTTAAGCGCCGCTAGAGCTGCCTCATCTATTGTACTTGTCTTGACTCTTGTGAGCTCAACAAAGGCTCGCATAAGTTCTTTTTGCGTTGCGCGACGCGTGCTGAATGGGAACCCGCGGTTACGGGGATCATTATTCCGTAGCACTTGGCCCTCATAAGGACCAAGCAGTGTACTTCGATTAGCGCTTCCTGTAGCTCGCATGAAGACCAATTCGGCCGTGTCAATCATGGATTTCCATTCCTTCAGAAGATCTCGCACTTCAGTCATCAGTGCTACTTCGTTGTAACGACGAATTGAAGCACCGGCCGAATGAGCGTTGCCTTTAGAACTATCATTAGAAGATTGCGCTCCTCCTTGCTTTCGGCGTGTGGTATATCTGTGGAATGTCTTATGCGCCAGGACCGTGGCTTGGCGTTCTTCGACGCCTGTGTGCTTTTTCCCCATCTTGGGGGCCAAAGACACGACCATGGCAGCGAAGTGGCCTCCCCCAATCATGCAAAGGAAATAGTGGGGTCCAATATTAGAGGTATCAACCGGTACTACCCCCTCGGAATTGGCTTTGACTCTAGGAGGTGACACGGGTGCGAGTTGTTTGTTTCGTATGGTCTCTACGATATAGGATTCTTCTTCCTGCTCCGCATCTGAAAATATGGCGCGGTAAATTCCCAAAGACGTATTCTCGGGTAGAGTAGGTGATGTGAACCAGAAGAGAGGTGGTTTGCCGGCGCCACGTTTTGGCTTCTTGGAAGCAAAGTCGTCGAATTCGGGGTTGGATATCTTTGCTTGCTTCTTCAACAAGGCACTAAGAGTAGAGTCTTTGGGTTTAATCCCGTCGTTATTGTCTTCTTCGTCATCTGACTCAGACGAGTCGGATCCAGATATGCTTTCGTTTAGGTCTGTACTCTGTTAGCCGCCATACCTAGAGATAAATTCGAAGACTGACCTCCAATAAGAGCCTCAAACTCTTCTTCCCCAACTGGCTTTTGGCCTCTTATCTTCTGTTTGAGATTATATCCGTGTAAGTCTGACCGGACATGGCTGCGCTGCTCTTGTACGGTGGGAAACCGTAAGCCACAGAGTGTACAAGATGTAGCCTTGGTAGACCCTCCATCCTCGGGCCCCGCCTTCTCCTCCAATTCACCTGTGGTCGATGGCGCTGGTTCGGGGGCGATTTCGTGGGATTGTTCGGCAGAATTCCTTAGAGTGATGGTTGACAGTATTTCTGGTGGCAGGTCGAAAACTGAGATGCGATTAGTGAGACTTCTAGATAGGAAAAAAAGCAGCTCACCATATAGAGGGCGCTGGAACAGCTGCTCCTTATTTTGCGCCATAATTGAAGGGTTCGAGAATCGTTGATGTGAGGTTGTGGAATGTTTGCAACAGCCTGGCGGGTTGCGCTGAAGGAGTCAACGTCAGAAACTCGAGTCATGTCTCGGCGCTCAGCCCTAAAAGCTGACCCGTGTAATAAGCCTGCTTTCCCCGCCATTTTTCACCACCCGCATTCATCAAGTGAAGCTCTCGTTTCATCTCATCGACAACCCAGTTCAACGATTACTCCATATTGATCTTGTGAATCTCTCGAGTCTGTCGCGTGTGGATTCACAAGGTCGCTCAGTCAGTGTAACTAAGCCTGCTACTTTTTGCGCAACGCATGTTCAAGAAATTCTCCTCATTGTACAAACTACATACTAGTGGTACTAGAATGCGCTTGGAGCTCTTTCATTTAACTCTCGTTTGGTAGCATTACTCTTATACTATATCGTGCCCTTTCGTCTTTCCCTCAGGGCTATCGATCTCATCAATCATGCCTTTCATACTCATTCTCTCGCTATACGGTTTCTCGTTCTCTTCTCGACAGCTCTACCCTTCTTTGTTCCCTAAGCTCCTATCGCGAGCTACCGTCCATGAGTCCTTGACTGCACAGGATGCCCTGAACTATCTATCGACTGGCTTGCCATCGGTAATCCTTGTCACTGACCCAGCCCTTTCATTTGACGAGCCAGAGAATAAGGCTCTTCTAGAAGCGGTAGTTGACTGGACGAAGCGCGGCGGCACTACGATCTTTATGGGTTTCTTCGCCGAAGCAGTAGAACTGCCCCAACTGGAGAACTTAATGAAGTCATCTTTCAGTCTTCATGATTGGGAGGTGGATGAGCACACGTCCCATGAAGCCACTCTACGCCCCAATATCCAGACTGTGAGAACGCAAAGTCTGGAGCAATTTTATTACTGTAAGGCCCTGTGGTTGAGAAACGTCCCTTCTGAGGATTCCGTGTACTCAAGGTCTGGAAATCTCCCTGGAACTACCCCCACCACGTGCGCGGCCTTCGCCACCGTAGGATTCGGCAAGCTGGGATACATTGGGGATACCGAATTTGGCGAGGAGCCCGAGAGAATCATCATAGCTATGTGTCGGCTTGACATAGAAGAAGATAACATGTCTTGAGATCTGGGCCGGTTTACTTCGAACTTTGGAGGTAGCTTGATCTTTAATTCCACCCCTGGCATTACCCTCACACTCAATCAGAGATTGTGTCGATCTTATGTCAACTTCCGTGGCCTCAGATCCGAAGTCGAAGTGGACGTTCTGGTAGAACGATGCTGTCGGTTGTAATTCAGACCGGAGGTTGCCATCGTTCACCAACCACCTATGCCAAGCACCCCCAATCTCCGCGCGATTTCCTTCTCGAGTATGAGGAACACGAGACTACTCGTAGCACGCTCCGCTGTAGCGCCTCGAACCATGACCTTCTCCTAGGTGTCAGCACTAATTCTCTAATTTTCCGGATGTTGTTTGAGCCGAGGTGAAGGTGAAGGTGAAGGTGCGCAAGACGTGTGAAAGTTGAAGATGAATGGCCAAAGTGGAGGAAGCAAGCACCATTCGCCTTCACCTTTACTCTACGTTATGCCATATTTAAGCCCATTTCCCCTCCGTTGGCCACCAAACACCTCCACCGATTGCAATCACATCCACCAACGCTTCGCACCAAAATGGACCGCACCGACACCGTCAACACGCCCACCGCGTTTACGAACGCCCACAACGACCTCGCCTATACGATCATGAATTGTCCCATGATTTGCCCAAAGGCCCTCCGCGATGCGAAGAACGAGCTCATTCGCCAGTTGTACCAAGAGCCTCCCGTCGCCACCACGTTCTCTAAGAAAAGTCTTCTCGATGCGATGGTTTTTCTACACGACATGCGCCATAACGAGATCTTGACGCCGGAAATCGCATGGGAGCTCATTCTGGCCGAAACGTGGGAGATCTTCGGCCAGACCGTGCAGCTACTTGCACTGGAAGACGGAACAGTTGTGGGCAGAGACGAACTGTACCTCACGATTAAGACGTTGACCATGAGCAGGATTCCTACCACGCTTGGTCAACACGATGCGCCGCTTTCCATGATGATTTGGTTCAGCATTTCTTTGTGTATTCTGTCGCAGAAGGCAGGAGAAGAAGCAAAGATGGAAAGACTGGTGAGCGGCCTGGCGATTGGCGAGCAGGAAAATATCAAGATAGACGACCTCGTTGACGCGCTTATGAGCTGGGTCTAGTACGCATTTCTCTGCATGGCGTACATCCTTTTCTTTTCTTTTGTTGCTGGGAAGCCACAAGCAAGCGAAGGATAACGAGGAAGAGTTGGTTCCTACATGTCTCTAGCGTTCCATCACTTCTCCATCTCCTCTACCCCCTTTGCGAAGTCTTCACTGTTCATAGCAAAGCCCCAGGTTTTCGCTGCATTGAACTCTATACACTGCTGCGCGTACGCTGGTGACGTAGTTCCACAGCAGTCATTCAGCAGAATGCAATCATACCCCTTACTAAAAGCATCTGTGAATGTCCCGCTCACGCACTGATCCGTGTTCACGCCTGCGAAAAGAAGGCTCTTGATACCGTGAGCTTCGAGGAACTCTTCACACGGGGTGCTCGCACCCCACATCCCCGACATCCTAAGGGGTTAGTTCTCATTACAAGAGCAAATTCGCGTGACCACTCACCGGTTCTTATGGATCCAAACATCAGGCACCTCGGACAGCTTCTCGCCCTCTTTAAACGCCACATCCAACGGCGGATAAAGCGCCGCATTCCACTCTCCCCGTACTAACAACCTCCCTGCATCGACCGTCTCCCCGTTTGCCAGACTCACAATCCCGCAAGATGACCCAAGACCCTTGTAGATGCGGCCGCCTTTCCCGTTCTCCAGCAACGCATGTCCGCCTCGGAACTTCACATCGCCGTGCCTATCGACGCCGATACCGTCAGGCCTCTCTCTGAATGGGTCAACGTGCGGCCTTCCCTTAGCCGTCTCTTCAATGTTCTCTACGATAGCTTGGAAACCGAACGCGCGCATCACTCCTGGCGGCATCTTGTTCAAGTCTTCGTCAGATAATCCCCAATTCAGCCAGATGATCTGGATGCCGGCTTTACGGGCGGCGGGGATGGCATGGTTAAGGAGGTTGTCAGCAGCCTTATGGCCGGGGCCTTTGGTTCGACCGAAAGAGGGCGAGAGGAAGAAGTTTTGCATATCGATTATCACAAGCGCAGAACTGGCAGGGGAGAGCGTGATGGGCGAAGTGCTGGTCCTGAGCTTGAGTCTGGGTCCCGGCGCTGTCTCGGTTGGTGTTTGGGGGTGAGTGAGGTCGAAGCCTGTGCGTGTTGAGTGGAGCCAGAAGTTTGAGGCATTGCCTATTACGGCGGTCCTGTGCTCTGAGGGTGGTTGTGATGTCATTGCGGATAGGTGCCTGATGAGGAGATGAAATGGGTATGAATGTAACTGATCCAAGGATGCAGTAGACAATATGGGCTACATTTTAGGGGATTCTTTCATGAGAGAGCGGGAAAAAGCACGTCAATCAAGGTTCTTGATAAGCATTGGAAAGGTGGGGTAGGGTAGTACGTAGATCTGACGATGTCATGCACGCTTCGGGATGCTCGGCTCATTCATACAGCAGTGTCTACTCAAGAATTAAAAGGCCTTTCTTGACATATAGGTAACTTCAAGAACATGCCAAGATTTGTCGTGGTTTGAAGAAGTTCGTGAGATTGTAGGCGAACATGCCGTCACGCTGTGCGAATCTTTCGGTACGCTAGCAACGACCGACTCAAAGTCGACCTCCTTCTAGGAGGTATGAAAGAGGCATTGAAATCTACTCGTTCCAAGCTTGGATCGAGTCTCCTCCCCTCTATACACTTTGTAACGGGAGGGCTGTTCTCAAGAACTCAGCTTCAGGTGGCAAAGGGGGATCTAGTAGCACTCGCCAAGTATAAATAACAATGCTTTAACAGCAGAGAATTCATTCCCGCAAAAGCGCTTCAGGACTCCTTTCGTTACCCCTCCTCGTGGTCCGTGCACCTTCCGCTTCTGGCAACTCGGCATCGAAAAGTGTGGAGTACAGAGCGACCTCAACCGAACTTCTAATTAATTCATGTAAATCCAACAACACGTCCTGAGGACCTGTCCTCCGGTTGAATAGAAGAACAGACCCACGCGAAACTTTCTACCGTGTCAGAATTTGAATAGAGGCGTTGCTTGTGGAGATGTGGTGGTTGGGTCGGATAGTGCTTGAATCTTGGAAAGTCCCTTGAAAGCGGCGGAGGGGCGGGGCAGATTCATGAGTATAAACCCCCAAAGACGCGTCTGCCCCGTTTGTCGCCGTGACTAACGACTTCAGAAATCTCTTGATCATACTGACGAGCATAGTGTACAACTACTCGGAATCCTTACATTTTGACCGCTCTGAATCGTAACCCTATCGACACTTCGAGAGTGACGCATACACGCTCACCAGGTCCTCTCCTTCATGGCAACGAACTCTTCGAACTCGGATCGCTGATGATCCACTCCCCACTTCCCGCGTCGCCATCTTTACTCAGCGTCCTGGGGCCATGATCGACCGTAACCTCCTCACTAACCTGGATCCCATCCTTCTGAACGACAAGCCTTCCCTCGTCTTCCTCAGCATCAATCCCAGGCCCAGACGCCCACGCGAAATGAGCCTTGTCGCCACCGCGTTTCGAGTTTCTGTCGACGCGGCTCGTGTGCACGCGTGAACCTTTGCTATCCTTACCAGGGAGGGACTGGAACGGGAACGACTGCGAGAAGTGGGTGCGCCCGGTGGGGCCGGAAGCTGACCGTTGCGAGGAGCGGAGGAAGCTGGGGAAGAAGCGCGAGAAGAACGGTTTGGTCCCCGGGAGACAACCACAGATGATTCCGAGGTCGACCTCAGTACTAGACAAACACCAGAGAACGGAGGCTTCCCAGTAGGGATTTGGGGAGTTGAGGTAGACGAGAAAGTACCACATGCGGCATATCCCGGCGACGCAGACGCTGCGAACGGGGTTAGCAATGGGGCTGATGGAAAGAGGTTGAAGCCTGTGACAATCCGATTGCGCTCGTTGGAGCGGCAAGATGGTATAGCGGAGTTGAAGAGGGCATACGCACATGAGGCCGACGGCAAAGACGAGAATGAGGGCGACTCTTTGCTTGAGAGGGAGCTGGATATTCCACAAGGAGCGGGTGGGCCAAAGGAAGACGAGGAAGTCGCTGAGACTGTTGAGGGCAGCGAACGAGAGAAGTGCGGCGCGGAAATCGATACACTTCTTGTCAACAATCGAGATATCCCATACGGCCGCAACAGGTCTGTTTCGGACAAGAGAGTCAGCTAACGTTTCGAAGAGATACAGGACATTGCCGAATGTCTAGGCGCACTCGTGTACCATTGCTCATTATGTCCCACATCTTTGGGCCTAGTACGGTAGGCTTGATCGCAACAGCTTCCGGTTCAGGGAGGAAGACCAACACGGGGAATACGTACATGCATGCGAAGATCAGAACAAAGATTGACGCGATAGCCCAAGCAACGCAGTAGACGATGGCGGTCCAGCAGAAAATCTTGTTGGACCGGGAAGGGAAAAGGCGGAGACTGCAGCTATCAGAAAAGTGTATTCCTCTCATCGGTCCTCGACGCTACTGACTAAGTAAGGCATAAAGAGATCTTGGTAAGGCTCATGGACATCGGGATGAGGGCAATATTGCCTATGCACGCCTGCAAGATATCAAAGACCATTCTTCCCTGGGCTTCTGCTAACATACCTTCGCATATGTCTCCCCCCACCCAGGTTTGAAGTTTGCACTTTTAAACCCTAATCCGAAACCTGTAGCTGCACACCCGAGGAGGGAGACAGGTATGGCACAAAGCTGGACTCGAATTAGCGAGAGCTCGATATATGTGTGACATATGCTAGATATCTCCTAAATTCATCTTCAGCGAGAACAGACAGAAAACTTACAGCCGCAGCGACCATAACCCAGTCATCAGCGGCTATCGACGTTTTCAAAGTTAACTTGGAGTAGAAGCGGGCGAAAACGAAGAAGATCATCAAGATCATGGAGGCAAGGAGCCACCCAAGGGTCATCGTTCCCCTGGTGTCAGGAGCTCCATCATTTGGGGGTGGCACTTGAGCCATGGTCCAGTGTCGAGAGTGAGCAATAGCAACGATACTCCCAACACGAAGGAGAGAAAAGAATGACAGACACACCTACCACTTCCGGGTCGGTAACGATAAGATCGAAAGAAGTGGAGTAAGTGAGAAATGAACAACACCGGGCCCTAGGGAAAGATCCACCACATTTGTGTATAGATACACAGGCACGGCAGCCATCTCGCAGAAAAGGAAACTTAACGGCACAGCTGAGCCAAGACGGACGAAGATCACCGCATGTCAATTGCTAACTTTCCAGTCGAAACAGCCCCAAGAGCGGACCCTGACTCGGCTATCACACCTTCAACCAATTCCCCCAGCTTTTCTACGGGTGCCAGTGGCTTAGTGAGTGGAGCTAGTCATGCTATAGGTTAGGGCGTGCGGGGAGACGGGACCCGGCATGCGGAAAGAGACGCCTACCAAACCTTAATCTCGATGAGGTCCGTGGCGTGCACGATGAGTGCCAGTAAATCATAGCTGGGTGGTGCGGATGGAGGGAGAGTTGGCGCCAGCTGCTGGACTGGCTTGGTTTCCCAGCGTTCAGGCTAGGTCACGACGTTCCCTTCAATACTTCGTCTTGTGAAAACACCAACTACTGCGCAGAGTGAAAAAAGCTCACCAAATCGTCGTCCGGATGGGGGCACAGTCAGGCGCTATTCCTGGAATTGCATCGATAGTCTCGAGTAAGGGAGATACAGAGTTTATCAGGTAAGATCCCTCACATCAAACCGAGAAGGATTAAAGTTAGCAAGCGCACGCCATCCCCAGAATGTGGCGTTCGACAGACCTCCCGCGTTGTCTCCACTAGTCGAATCTTCCAACCAAGCGACTGAAATACGATCGACGCTTCTTTTCACCGTGTGTAGCGACTGTGGCGCCCGTAGCCAGCGTCCAACAAATCGCGGGATGTGCTTTTCAACACAGGGTATGCAGGTACCTTTGTAACACTGGCGTTGTTAACTGACGTTACTGGCTAGGAGGACGACCTAAGGTTCCAGAAACAGTCATCCGAGATACCGAACATGGATAGTGGCTGTGTCAAGGTCTCCACTGTTCGGTCCCTGCTTCTACGACTCTCTTTGACTTTTGTGTGGCGTATAGCATCCCGACTCCCCGAGCCGTGTCATCAACTAATTCCTCGGGACGACAGTTGGAGCGACGTCCTTCCGTCAGATCCTTGAGCGGGATATTTCTGGGTATTCTCAAATATTGCCTTTCTCCAAAAATGCCTGATCACGCAAAATGAACACTCCGAAAGATAGTCCGAACGACGCGATCGGCGAAGCATCCCGAATCGAGAAGTCAGACCGCGACCCAGATCTCCGATTCACGATCCCCTTCTGCGAGCGTAGATCATTCAGGGCTGCACTCTCAAAGCCTCAAAAGACTCTCATCCTCTCTGCACTCCATGCACCAAATTTGACCTCGTAACAAGAGGGCTCTACTATTTAACAGCATCCCGGACTCACCTAAGACAAAGCCATGGTGCATATTTTACCGCGATTCAAGTCTCATTCCTCGACCAAGCCCCGTATCAAGCCCGTCCCCACGCTCGTACTAATCGCCAAATCCAACTGACAGTCCGCCACCTTCGCGACCTCCCTACAAATGTATAAATTTGCTCAAACGAGTCTTTGAGCGACTCGTCAGCCCAAATACAGCGTCTGCTGCCATCCAGCACATCAAGAAGCCTCCATACCCCTTCACTTCCCCCCCCCTCCTCCTCTCCTCACTGTCCGCTGGCTCCTTTGAACTCTCAAACGGGCCCGTTTCCCGGGGAAACTCTTAGTTGCCTCCAGGAAGCCCAATCGCCAAGTCACAACGCCGTAGCGTAACGGAGCGACGTCTTGGGAGTGTCTGACCCTACCCTACCACCCTTCGTAGCTGGACCCTTGGGCCGTACTTGAAGCCGTCGGCGTGCTGATTAGTGCAGCCATAACCGTCCGACGACTATCCGACCAAGCAGATTTCATTATCTAACGATGCTGCTTCATAGCGGGCGCCCATTGAAGGACGATCTCACGATGCTCGGTGGTACGAAGGACAGCACCGTCGTAGGTTCAGGCATATGGGTGTTCTACTGCTTCAACGCCACTCTTGACCATCTGACACTATCGTCAGGGGTAGGTCCGCTGCCTAGTAGCTGGCCGGGCAAGAAAGCAGCCTAATACCCATCTTACCGAACTATCCATCTTGTCTAGAGTCTTAAAAGCTTTTGAGGCACCCCAGCCAGTGGCAAAACACTGCGAAATCAAGACTAATACAATCCCAAAAGATTTACCGAAGTCGGAACAGCAAACAACTTTGTCTCAACACACGTCAAATTAAGCCTAATCTCTCCATAATCTGCCGTCATCTCGTTTCCCGCTCGCATTAGACATCCTATACCTCAATACCATCCCAAAACCCTCACTCAAAAAAACAATGAGTACAATGGAGAATAAGAGCCCAAAACCCTTCCCAACTTTTGTGTGTGTTTTCCTTAGTCCAAACCTACCCAGCCCCAGCCCCAAGCCAGCCCCCTCCATACCATCACCAGATGGCAATAATACGCCCCAAGTTCCCGACCGAAGAAAAAACACGAGCTTGAGTTCTAGCGCACCTCCGCAATCCGCAAAACGCCTCAATATAGGGCAGGGCCTCGTGTGTCTTTTCCCCAAAACAAAAGAGGTCCTCCAAGGGGGGTATCGTCAAAGAAAGAAAAAAAAGAGAAACTCCGCATCCACTTCACTTCAACCACAGAAACCCAACTTCCTCCTCTCCTCATCAACACGCCGCATTAAGCATCCTTCTACACTGCTCGTTCCCCTTGATGAGCTGGTCCAAGAAATTCGCCGCCTCCATCAGCACATTACTCTTACTCAGCCCCCCATTCCGCAGCTCAGGCACCAAATCGTGCAGCTCCTCAAAACCCGACTTGATGAGGTTGCGCCGCTTCTGCTCCGACAGGATGTGGTTGCTGCGTTTCTGCTCCTCGGTGAGGTTCTCGCGCTGCGCCTTCTGGCTCGCTGAGGGCGACTTGCGCTTCCGGCTGGCGGCGTCGTCCTGTGCGCTCCGTCGCGGCTTGCCGTTTCGCGACGAGATATTAGTGATGCTCTTACGGTGGGTGTTGCTGGAGTTGTTGTTGTCGGCGGAGTCGCCGGCTTGGCTGGAGTGGTGGTTGCTCTTCCGCCGCCGTTTGGGCGCACGGCCGTCGTCGTCGTCGGAGCTGTCGTTTTCCGAGTGCTCCGAGGGCGCCGGGCGCGAGATGCCGTGGGTGCTGCTGCGCTGGACCACGGGGCTGGATGGACGGGTGTTCTCGGCGCTGGGCATGACGGCTTTGGTGGCGGGCTCGAGGGTACGGAGGTCGTGCATTAGCCGTTTGGTGACGGCTTCTGCGGTGTCGGACGGTGAGGCGACGACGTAGCCTGCCGGGTTGAACGAGTTGTCGGTGCCGTATGTGTATTGCCTTAGGCGAGGCCGTTGGCTGTCTGTCTTCTGAACCTGGTACGTGTGCTGCTGTTGTATTTGCGCAAATTGTGCCGCAATGGAGGCACCGATGGACCCGTCCTCGTCATGGCGTGGTATTAGAGCTAATTGCTCGGGTAGGTGGGAGTTCGAGTTCGAAGTGGGCACCGTTGGGGATTGGTAAAATGTTGCTGTTGGGCTCGTATGACTGGTGGACGGTCCGGTAGAGTCGTGTATAGGCTGCAGCGAGTACAAGACGCTGTCGGGATAGGAGTTGGACGCATGCTGAGGGTGTTGAGGGGCTTGGTTGGCAGTTGGGGTATTGCTGTAAAGAGTGGAAGAGATAGGGAGAGGGTTGTGGTTGGAGGCTATGCCATTCGTCCTCCTGTCAGCAGTTGTGCCGAAGCCGTGGTCGTTGTGGAAGCCGGACATGGGTTGCGTCTGGTTCGGCAAGGTGGACGAGATGCCTTGGACGGTGGGCGGCTGGTCGTAGGACCAGGAGAAGTCTGGAAGGGCATCCCGCGAGTGGAAGCCATGGTCGATGTTGTACTCGTCAGTAAAGTAGTTGGTGTTGGAGAAGAAGTCGGTCATGATGCGATTCTCATTCTCGGTTAGGAGGGGCGGCGCATCGGTCGAGAAGGCTTCGGCGGCGGCAGCGAAGTCGCTAGCATTGAAGGTGTCTGGAAAGTAGAAGACGCGATCGTTAGCAAAGACGGCGCGCATGGCTGAGCTCGCAGTTATACGCACATCCGAACGGGGACGAGTCTTTTGTAGGGTGGGAGGGGTCCATGCCGATGTGCGCCGTCCGCGGTGAAGGCCCGGGACCTCCCGCCAACCCCGGAATCGACGAGAGGACGAGGGTATCCAGCTTGGCTGCGAGGGGGGTTTGGGCTGAGGCGTGCAGTCGATCGGTCCCCCAGACTCATGGTCTGACTGGACTGGTGGGGACAAATGCTCCGGGTTCCGCGACGGGCGCTCGAGATAGCGCGATGCTGGTGTGCTGGAGTCGAGACGGGCCGGGTAGGAGGACAGTCAGATCAATCCGTACCTGCAGGTGCCGACGCGGGTGCTAACTATGGCAGTGCGCTTCGGAGGCGAGGGCGTCGTGCGGCGAGCTGGAAGCGGGCGAGATGAGGGCGATGTTGACAGCGGGCGGATGCAGACCGGCCTCGGGACAGCGGGAGCAGCGTGCTCGGGGGCGTCGGATGAGGGAGGGTCCAGCAGTTCAGAGTGCCTGTGCGAGGGAGACGGCGTTTCCAGCTGCGACAGAGGGCTGGCTCGGAGGGTGCTCTGCCAGTGCCATCTTATGCGTGGTCGAGTGTTGAGAAGAGTTGCTGTCACATGCCACGCAAAGAGCTTGCTCGGCACCACGTCGGCACCTTCCCCTCACCCGCAGCGCAGGGCTGGCAGCCGTTGGACTCGGCGCCACTGGCCTCCCGGTCGGAGCTCCGCAACCACCACGCAAACATCACCAGTCTTGGCCTGCACCCATCACGACGCCTCGTCCTGCTTCAACGCGTTTTCCAACCAACGCGGTCCACCCGCCGCTTACCCACCCAGTTGCTCTTAAGGGGGCAGTACGGAGCTAGCCAACGCGTGCTGTCTCGCAGTCGGCTGCCCACCTCCTGAAGGGAGCTCGCCACCCTGGCGCGACTAGGTATGTTGCTCATCACAACACCGTCTCTTCTTCTTCTGCACGCACCACGGCCGCCAGCCCCGCTTGAGCAAGACGCACTCCTTTGACGTGCAGAACAAATGTTTCAGCCCTCCAAGTTACGCCGTCGGCCACGCGAGCGGCCTGCTCGTGTCCTCTAGCCCCCGTTGTACCCCTGGGCCCCCGCCTTTCCCCAGGGGAAGCCGGGGTGTAGCGAGCATGGGAGGATGCACAGGAGTTTTCGCCGAGCCTCCCGCCCTCCAATTCGCACTGCCGGCGGAGAAACTGCCCTCTCCACCCATAGCCAGCGCCTCCAACGCTATGCCCCGGTCCCGCCTCGGTGTCTCCGCGATCCTATGACGCTCCTCCATGCTTTCACTGACGCTCGCTAGCCTGAAACCCATCTCTGCGCCCAGTTCGACTGTGTGCTGTACCGAGAGGCTGCATTGGTCCACCTCAAGACGTCTGGCATTTGATTGTTCTCGCTTGTATAGACGACATCCCATTCACACGTTTCGGCTACGTCCTCGCTGCCACGAGGCCTTCGCCGCTGCAGTGCATGCCCTCCAGGACTCCCTTGCTGTGCCTGCCTTCAGGTGCGCCTTGTTGGTGACATGGCAAAGCTCCACGCCGAGCATCGCCATGTTCAAAGCGTGAGACCGTAAGTCATTATCTTTACTATCACGACTCAAACCCCAACATCACTGGTAGTCATGCATCTCCTGTTCTGTCACTTTCCATCATTCCACGCTGTTGGCGCTAATTCGACGTCTTTCACAGCCTTGTGCGAGCATATGCCCTCGGCTATCTCTCAAGCGCAAGTCCGAGGATCGTCAGCGTATTGGTTGCGCTGGCGAGGAAGAAGATCGGCTTTGCCCCAGCGTCTCACCGGGTATGTGGCGCGAACGCATGGCTTTTCATCATTCCAACGTTCCAGAGTCTTCCCTTTTCTAGAGGTTCAGGGCGTTAGGGTCTCACAAACCACTGCGCCTCTCGTTCCAGGTCATGTCCATGTTCGGTTCCACTTCCTATCCTGGCCACACCGCGGAGACTAATTGCTTTGGCACCATAGATACTCCAGGTGCTACGCCGGTCCGCCGCATTTGATGCATTCCCGGCCTGCTGCGGCATCCTCGTTGGAGGATCGACTCTGCTTCAACTGCCCCTATTGCGTCTGGTCCACATGATTGTACGGCAATTTTCGGGCTTGAAACGCATGGTTGACGAGCGCATCGCCCTGAGATTAGCGAGATTCGTGGCCGCGCTCATTTCCGCCTTCATCAGTTTCCTTGTCCTTAATCGCAGACCAGCAAATCGCATGGATCGTAAGCCTAACAATGTAGGATTAAGTAAGATGGAAGTAACTTCCAAAAACGCCATCGACCCATTCGATGACCCCCCAGAAACACCAGCAGTCTCCTTACCGTTGGGCACTGCCAACGTGGCAACATTACCGCCTGCCCTTGCTGGCAGGACGATGGATCTCACCCTTTTCGCAGTGATACGGGCTCTAGACGTTGTAATCAGCGAAATTTGGGCACGAACACCAATTCGCTCTACCTCAGTTCGAAGTGTGATAACGAATATCACTCCACCGGCTTTATTCAGCGCCTCTGCAGCCACTATCATGTATGCGTGGTTCTATATGCCCTCTCGATTGCCTTCCGCCTACAACAGCTGGATATCCTCAGCCGCAGGGCTAGACCGCCGCTTGCTGCTCGTCCTTCGCCACGCTCGCTATGGTACCTTCGTCTATGGCAAAAATACAGGATTGGCGCCCATTCTGGAATCGATGTGCAAAGACTACGACTTACCAGAGGTCTGGGGCGATCCCGCAAAGACCGTCCCAGTCCCCTGCGAGCTCGTCCACATGGGATGTGGCAAAAACTGCGAGACGCATGCACTTTCGCGCTTTTGGCAAGGCTGGATGTTCGCCGCCCGGATGTACGCCCCCATCCAGCTCTTGGTGCTTCTACGGAACGCCAGGAGCAAAGCCCGTCTTCATGGGAACACGAAGCTTCTCATCACCGCTGACGCGGTAACCAAGGCCGTGCTTGACATGGCGCGCAGCTCAGCTTTCCTAGGTGCTTTTATTGCCCTGTTTTACTACGGCGTCTGCCTTTCGCGTACGCGGCTCGGGCCCAAAGTCTTCTCCCCTAAGACCATCAGCCCGCAGATGTGGGATAGCGGGCTCTGCGTGTTGGCAGGGTGTAGTTTATGCGGTAGCAGTGTGCTGCTAGAGAGCGCGCAGAAGCGACTCGAGATTCTGTTCTTTGTGTTGCCACGCGCTGCAGGTGTGTGGTTCCCCCGGCGCTATCTAAGGGAGAACATGTGGAAAGAGCAGATCGCGTGGTCCATTAGCACGGCTTTGGTCTTTGCGACGGTGCAGGAACGGCCGGATAAAGTTAGGGGATTCCTAGGGCGGGTTTTGAATGGGGTTCTGGTCCAATCGTAGGGGTTCCGAACCCTGGTTCTCGGGAGTGCGGGGTGACGAAGAGGTCGAAGCGTTTGAAATAGTTGGAAACCCCTGGAAGCGACGTTAGGTTGGGGAAGAACACCTGATCACCTTGCAAGGCGATGAGATCGTCGACTCCTAGGATTCAGTCACACTGTTTGATCACCAGTGCAGTGAGTTTGAAATTACTCAATGCGAGAGAGTGCGATGAGCAGGTCGTCAAGAAACACATGTGAGGATCACGTCTAGGTTAACCCTATCGAGGTCTTTGTGAGTAGCTATAAACTTTTCACCGCACTAGTCTTCTGGTTTTTCATCAATGAGGGAAGGAGAGTCGTGATTCAAACACTTTTGCCGCTACTTCGGATGTCCTTTATTACCATCCTCGCCTATCGATACCGAGACAGGCCCTGACACTAAAGGAGGACTGGCAGTACTGCGAATTCCTCATGGGATCTGTCAACGATCCGCCCGTGCGTGTGCAGTCGATTGGAGCTGGAGTGGCTTCTCGTCCGCGGTATTGAACGCTGGATATACGACGAAGAGCACGCCCGTGGCTACATCGACAGCGGAGTCGGTGCACTCGGTTGGGACACCACTTCCGTAGAACACGGGGAACGATCCGATTGCTATATCAACCATGTCTTCTGGATCATACAATCTACCATTGTCGCTGGGAGATCCAGTTACGATACACTCTCCACTAGCGACGGTAGGTACACAAACGCTGGTCTTCGACCCCGAAGACTCGGCTGTCGTTATTGAGACCCATATGCTCACGCCGGGGCGCACCACCTACCACCATTGACGGCACACTTGTCTCCCTGGGTACTGGCGGTTTGGTACTAATAGGCTGCTCGACGCTCGGTATACCACAACTTGCATCCCAAATCGTAGGGCCAATCGCAACGATATGGACGCAACCACTCTTATTCGATCCCTCGAACTCGGCTGTAATGATCAGATCTCGCACCCTCACATCCGGCGCACCGCCTATTACAGTCGATGGCACAAATGTATCGCTAGTTACTAGAGGAGGTCTTGCAGTAGGCAGTTCGACTATTGCGCTCTCTTTCATGGCTGAGCCCTCAGGCATGCCGCTGGGCCAAACCCCAGCTCTGACGCTGGGGCTCCACGACCCCGTCCTCACCACCGCCGGTCACACATTCAGCCTCGGCCTATTTGAGCTTGTGATCAAATCCCACGGGTACGAGGACGATCGCCTTCTCTGCAGTGCCAGGCGGGCCTGCAGACTGTTACGGTTGAGAAAGCCGTATATGTTCTCTCGATGGGCTCGAATAGGGTAGTGTTTGGAGTGCAAACTATGGCGTCTAACGACATAAGCTTGCAGCCACAGCCACAATTTATTCCGTCTGAAACGTCTGTTTCCGCTGCTACAGAACTTGAAGATGAGGGAGCTCCTACAAAGGTTCCGCCTAGCTGCCCTGCGGGGAGTAATGCAGCTCGAATTATTCCAGGTGTGGCAATGTATACGGGAAACACGGTTGCGGGGCATAGGAGCCTTACCCAGCGACTGTTGTACGGGACGAGCGGGATTTCTTGGATACTTTTGTACTTTTGAAGAGCTGGGTTATGGTCTAGCTAGCTAGTTCTAATCACGTCATAGGTTGATGTCTTGAGCGGTATTGAGGTTTCATCACGTAACGGTAAGTCATCAGCGCAGTTCCTGTGTGGTGCCCGACTTGCCTTTTCTTTTTATTAAAGTAGCTAAGGGATCCGTATAATGGTGATTCGATAGCTCCTCTCACCGCTAAAAAGAAAACGAGCAAGTAGCAGCTACAAGCAATAACTAGGCCCTCTATCCCATTAACAGTCTATCTCTAGAGCAAAAAAGTATTTCCAAGGAGCAAAACACCACCCTCCTTCGAGGGTGTAGCCACCCCGGATGGGGTTTCTCTATGTCTCGCCCGCCCGCGGTATTTTTCAATTCCGTCATCTTAACCGGCGTTCGCAGACGCCTCACGCACCAACTACATACATCCTCTTCACCAGGCTTCCAAGCCTCTCTACGAACCAGGCCGCCCGAAGTCAACTCGACTTTTTAACACCGAAAGGTCGAATCGAGAATCGAACTCAAGACCCAGGTGAGGTTGTCGACGGTAGTGAAACGCTACCTCGGGAGGTATAATGCCTGCGATCCGGCCGCGGGCTTACACACGATGTGGCCGATTACCAACCGAGCTGCTGGGCAATTAGTAGAATGAGGGGTTTGGGTTTTATTCGAAATATATAGATAGGTTCACGCTCACAGGTAAACAAAACATGACGTAGGGAACTCCTCTCACCTAGGCGGCCACGTCTCGTCTGTCGGATCACATCATATTTCATTTCACCACTTGATGCGGCATTCCTGAACTAACAGCTATTCCGAGACTGGCCGAAGCCGTCATGACAAAAGAAACACGCATCAATTCTCATCTCGTCTGCTCGCCAGAGGACCCATCCCCGCTTCCTCCATCTCCGCTCGCTGCTCTACAACAGCGTCTCCGCCTCCAAGATCTCGAAGACCGCGACATCCTTCGTCTTCGTCTCATACGCCTTCGCCACCTTCTCCCGCACAGCGGCCTTATCCTCCTCCTCCGGTCCCTCAGACCGGCGCAGCGCATCCCCCACAGCTCCGTAGAGCCCCTCGTCCCACATATCCACCAGCTCCCCCTTCCGCTCCGGGTGCTCGCGCAGCAACGAGTCCCGCGCAAACGTGAACGACGCGAACGGGTGGTTCACCTGCACCTCCATAATGGACCCGACCGCAGGAAGCCACGCGTACACAAAGCAGCACAAGTCCTTCGGCGCGCTGGCGCAGGTGCTGGTGCTGTCCTCGCCATCCTCCAGGCACACCTGGCCGCCCTTCTTGTCGGGCTTGACGTACCACTTTCCGCCGCGCTTGGCGACCGCGGCCACGAGACGCTTGACGCTGTCGAAGCGTCATCTCCGGGACGCGCGCCGGCATGCGCATCGCGATGAAGTCGTTCACCGCCTTCCAGGCCGAGTCGGAGGGGTTGCCGTGCTTGTCGTGGCTCCCGAAGGAGGCTTTGGTCGCGAAGCGGGCGAGGGACTTTGGGGACGCGCGGGCTGCGAGGATGAGCGTTGGGTCGGCAGTGTGCAGCAGGTTGATGGCGGCGGCGGTGAGGGCATGAGCGTCGTTTAGGACGGCCTGGTCGACGAGGGCATGGAGGGTGTTCCAGATGGGAGAGGACGGGTTGAGGTTCTTGGAAGAGGTGGAGGCAATGTCGGATTGGAGCTGGGCCTTGAAGACGGGAGGCTCGAGCTGGTCGGGGTTGGCGTAGGTGCTCGTATACTTGATGGTATTGGTGTCGCTAGCCATTTTGCTGAGATTGGGTGCCCTTTGGAGTGGAGAGATGTTGGTTTGGGTGTTATGGGTTGCGGATGCTGTTGAAGGTGGTGGGCGTGGGAGGAGTGGTTGTTGTGTGATGAAGAAAAGAGCTGTTGAGCGAAGGAAGAGCTCCCTTAGGTACCTCCTATGGCGACCAGAATTTGAGTCGATGGCGCTGCTTCGCCTGCTGCAGCGGCCGGCTGGATGCCTCTTCCAGTCGCTTCCACGAATACCTCGATCTCTACCTTTTATTCACCTCGAAGCATTGAGTTATTAGCCAGGGGTAAGCAGTGTACGTCCTTGCCTGGGGGTTTTTGCTACATCGTTAGACTATGCGAATGTCGTAAGATTACGGTATATAGCTCTGGATAATTGTAAGGAAGTTCGGGAGAGGTAGGGGAGCAGAGAGTCTGTTGGAGTATAACAAGCACCTATAGCAAGCAATGCGCTTAGCAATCCTGGCACCACCAGTGAGTATCAAACTATTCAGCACTAGTCGATATCAACACGTGGGTCTCACGTGTTTATACTCTATCCTGGCCCGTGCGAGTAGTATAAAAACTCTACCGAGTTCGTCTTCTTTTGTCCGTCAAGGAAAGGGGAGTTGTGGCTCGAAATCAAAAGCTGCAACAAACCACACCATGGTTCTTCCTGGAGGGGGTGGCAAAACTCTCTCGGCAACCTCACCATGGTGGGTGCGGCACTTCAGAAGAGATGGTGCTGCGATGGAGGCGGTGGTGCTTTTGCTGGTCTTTATGATGTTTTTCATCTCCTTCGATCACTGCTGAGCATCATTTCTTCCTTGTCCTCACAACCGGCCCCGTCTAACTTTGATAGGAATAGGCAGTAACTTGAATCGTGGGGGGGGGTTGATAAACATCGAGCTGCTTACAGGATAGTAATACACCGAACTCCCAGGCACTACTACACCAACTTAGCGATCCGTGTAAGTGCAGAACTTCAATACCAACAAACGAATGGGATCACTACCAATAACGAATAGCGATGCAAACCACGCGCCACAATTTGGGGAGCCCAACACCATGGTCTTTCAAGTCTTGAGCTTTTGAACCCTAAGACCTCCCACCGCCATAGCAGGCTCTGACCTGGTCAGTTGATCCACTGCATGATTCTGAATGACGCTACTGTTTTGCTCTCCTTGCGAGACCTTGGTGGAGGAAACAGATTGTTGAAACAGAGGGGGAGATTTCATACGGAAGCGGAAGCGAGAACACGATAAGCACGTGATACGAAGTTGAAAGATAAGTGCCGGCTCTGAACGTCGTAGAACTTGCTGACGACGTTTTGTTGAAAAACACGCGCAATTCAGAAACGTTCGTTCAAACTTCAGACTAGGTACATCAGACCCTATTCATTGCCATCAAGTATATAAAGAAGCAGAAGTTTGTCGGTCGTCCCACCTACCCCCTAAACACAGAAAAAAGAAAGGTATCGAATCCACCAAACGCCATCCCTCAGGATATCCCATTCACATATCTCATAGCACATAAAAGAAACCGCGCATAAGAACGAACGTAACAGCCTCATTATCACTCCCTCACGTCCCATCGTAAACCCGATCATAAACCGGCCTCCTATACCCGCTCTGCTGCTCCCTCGTCTCATTCCTTAACGGCCACTCCGCAAACTCCCGCCACTCATTCGACGGCGTCTGCAGCTCCGCCTGCTGCTCATGCCCATACCCATACCCATGGCCGCCCCCATACGCCGGATACGTCCCCCCACCCTGCCCCAGCCGCATCTCCACGCTCTCCGGCGCCGACACGTACTCGTCCGACGAGCTCTCATAGCTATGCTCATTGCCGAACGGGTTCTGATTCTGCTGGCCTGCGTAAATGCCCTGCCCGCGGTCTGGCAGCTGATGCGCATGCTGGCTCGCCGCCCCCGCATGCGCGTCCTCCGCTCTGCCCATCCCAAACGCGGGATTCAGCCCACTACTACTCCGTCTCCGCTCATTCCCCGCGACGAACGCAGGGAAGTTCTGCGGGCTGGAGCCCGTGTCGCCGACGCCGACGCCGCCGCCCAGACTCCCTGAGCGGCTGCGGCGGTGCGGTGAGCGCGGGGGCGGGACGAGGATGCCCGTGTGTTCGGGCACCTCGGGCACGGAGTGCAGGCTGCTGAAGCTGGTGCGCGAGCCCCGCATGGAGTTGCTCGAGTGGTAGGGGATTGGCGGTGGGAGGATGTGCTGCATTTCGCCGCCGCCGTCGCCGCCGCCGCCGCCGCCGCCGCCGCCGCTCATGCCGCTGTCGCGCTCGGTGCCGAAGCCGCTGTCGCGGTTCCAGCCTGTGCTCGCGGAGGTGGGGGAGAGGGGCACGCCGCCGCCGCGGAGGGGGTGGCGGTCTTGGGAGGTTGAGTGCCCGTGTCGCGTGGTTGTGGGGAGGAAGCCGGGGGTTGGAGGGCGGGAAGTACGTTTTGTGGCGGTGCGGCGCCGGCGGCGGAGGAGGCAGCATGCGAGAAGGGCGGCGAGGATGGCGAGGACGGCGATGGGGATGCCGACGCCCATGCCTATCTTTGCGCCGGTGGACAGGCCGTGGTGGGGAGAAGAGGTGCTGTTGGAGGTGGAGGTTGGGGCAGCGATGGGGAGGGCAATGGACGAGGAAGGGGTAGCGGTTGAAGTGATGAAGGAGCTTGGAGAGGAACTGGTTGATGAGGACGCAGCGCTGGTGGTCGCCCATGCGGTCGAGGGGCCGTATTCCCGGACGAGATAGGATTTGATGTCTGCTGGGAGGGCCGTGAACCAGGCTGGCTTGTTGTTATCGAGAAATTCAGACCAGATGATTTTAGAGACGGCGGGGACGTTGGTTAAGGCCATGAGTTGGAGAGAGAGGGGGAGTGCGGTTAGGAGGACGGCTTCGAGAGAGGCGCTAAGAGGAGTTAGATATGCTTTTAAAGAATGATATGGAAGAGTTCAGGGGAAATGGTAAGGAGAATTAAGAAATTGGAGCCCATACGGATCAATCGACGCCCTCCTCCTCAACTCGGCCTCTACGAGAGCCATTGGTACAGGCGGCGGGGTAACTGTGGCCCTCTCAACCTCTCTTCCAACATCGTTCCCAGATACGCAAGCAGCCATAAAGACGGCGGCCCCTAGACCGAATGACAAGATTGAGCGCATCGTGAGACAGAAATAACGACGTCCCAGTTGCACGGGAATCACACTACAGCCCCAAGACCCCGCGCCCGGGACCATGGTATTTAAGATAGTGACAGGTGGACGTCTAGGCGGGCCTATCTGGGGGTAGGAATGATGATCAGTGGCGGTGATCTGCGCCACTTGTGGCGCTAGACATGGAGTCGTTGACGCGAGGTGCAGAAACTTGGTTCTGCCCTGGATGCGGCAGGTAATTCAGCCACTCAGAGGACGGAGGAGGGGCATGTAATATAATCTAGGTCGGTAAGGTGCAGGTGGGCTGAGGAAAGAAGTGCGTGGCAGCTCTTGGAGTGGTCGGCTTTTGGGAGGTCTTGGAGGGCTTCTGCTGGTTTGGAGGGTAATTGACAGTAGAACGATACGATAAGAGGAGCAGTGATAACTTAAACTGCCAGATTTCACAAGTTATCGTGTTTGAAACGCAGTTATTGCTCCTAGATCGTTCAGTGACCGCACAACGGCCTGCCTCCACATTTCAACATTCGCCACATCAATGACCGCGGCGCGGAGCGTGCGAGCCGTTGACCAGCTCGTCAACGGGAGCGATCTGCGTTCTGCACTGCCACATCTAACGCCCGGTTGAGTCAAGTTGTGGCGTCAAATGGAACGGTCTAGCGTTCGCGCCTGTCAAGATAAGATAAGGCTAGAGTGACACAGTGAAAAGTAGGTAACTTTCCGTGTATGGACTAGTGGCTCAGGGATTAGAACAAATCATGGAAACTTGACGTATGAGAAAGAAACTTGGAAGAGGTGGAGCATTTTACCTGTGGCTGTGCATCGAACGTCTGCATTGGTGCCTTTGGGAGAAGTCGACACTTCTTCTTAACCCTGGATCGAATACCAGTGCCCGTGTCTTTCATGCCTTTACCACTGAAAAGTATTCAGCAAAGATAGGTACTCGCATTGCGGCAATTTCTGGATTGTGGACATCCCTGCCGGCTGTACGTGGAATGACGTTTTGCCGAGCAAAAGGATGGTGTGATAGAGCACTACTTGACGTCGTAGCTTCGGAAAATATAGCCGAAACTTATAGGCGTGTAGGTATTACGCTCCTAAACATCAGAAGAAGTCTCCACTATTCTAAGCTTGGCGTTTAAATCGGTGTCTAGCGCCCTTCATATATACCCTACCTCATCCGGGCCGTACGTGGATACTCCTCAGCTCAAAAAATGCGTAATACTTATAAAGACTTGTAGAGATCTTGGTTCAAGTATGGAGCGTTACCGAGACGAAGAGCCACCTACCTCGGCCAAGTTCAAGAATACTTGCAAATACGCCTTGTTCTCCTGTGCATCTGCTGCCTTGCAGCCGCACCGTGGGATCAGGAAGATTGGTATCAAGAGGTTACGACGAGGAAAGAGCGGAAAGAAATGAGGAAGCGGAGGGAGTAGTTTAGGGACATCAGGGGACAGAAATAAGTAGCGAACAGGAGTACGAGTTCAGTCAATCAGACCAAATACGTCGTGAGGTAGATGCCATGAGACTTCTCATGAGTCCGCTTATCGAAACCTTTTGAAACCCATAGCGTGCAATAAATCCATCAACTCCACGTCTCCGGCACCGGAAACTCAACCGTCGCCCGCTCCATTTCAACCCCAATGTTCCACCTCGGCAGCTCCGGCCAAAAGTTTGGGTACACCTCATTACCAGCAGCATTATAATCATTCCCTGTATCATCTCCCGTCCCTTGATCCAAATCAAACATCACAGGCGTCGGATAATTACTCGTCGCGCCCAGCGGCGTCTCCGCCCAGTGCGTTGTGCCCGGCAGCTCGCCATAGCTGCCGTTTCCGACCGGTAATGGAGGCTATCCGATCGTTGGTTCAATGCCCAAATACTTAAAGACGTCGAGATTGATAGGGATGGGGAGAGGCGCTGGGGTGAGAGGGGTGTATTTCAATTGGAAGAAGGGGAGGGTAGAGGGACCATTCTCGTTCGGGGAGCCCTGAGTGTCGAAAGGGTAGATCTTTAGTGAGGTGCTGCCGTCGACGCCAGTAGTCCAGTCGAATTTGGCGAGGTGCTTGGGGATTTTCTAGTCTATTTCTGCGTCAAGATGCCTGGCTAAGGTAGAAATTTTGGGGGAGTTCTACATACTCACGCGACCATTGTAGTTTGTGTACTTCTGGCTTACGTAGAAACGAGATCCACGAACATTTCTTGGAGCTTCGTGGTTCCATCACTGTATTTGCTCGTGTACTCGAAGTAGCTGGGGATAATGGCGAACTCGTCGTATGGACCGACAGGAGTGTCGTTGTAACTGACAATGAGAATTGCGCCTACGAGGCCTATGAAATTGCCCTCTGTGGCGGTGCTGTTACGTTCAAGTGGGTAGTATGCTTTTGCTGGTAGGGGTGTGGTAGGTATTATTGGAATCGCGCAGACGGTAACATAGAGAGTCCATGGTGGTGGGACGTGGATGATTGGCTCCGTGGAGTTGTTTGTACAATCAATGCAGGCATCTACAGTCTGCCAGACCAAGACAGCGAGAAATGAAAATGGAGAGCCTCATGGTGGGTGGCTGGGCGAATATGAGGCGATTCGGAACAAGTGTGACTCGCCGCCGGAGAAAGGAAGCTTGGCTTGTTTATAGGCATATTCTGAACAGGTTCATTGCACGATGAACATGAATTACTGCGTCCGAGGTATGTCCACAGTCATACCACTGATCGTTGATGTTGTCAGGGATTCTCCGGAAGCACGTGGAAATCGATATTGTCAGGTACCCCATCTTCGCAGGGATTTGTGATTTCCGCCCTCTAAGTTTACTGCTTACCTTCATAGCTGGCAGGGGGTTATGCGGAGAAATCTACATCCAGATATCGTCAGCAAGTATAGGAGAAGAAAGTTTGAAATGCTAATATCTGGACAACGTGGTGGGACAGCGCAGACCAGAAAGATCCGAAATCCTCTTTTCTTCGTCAATTCGGCTCGGACTACCAAGTCCAGCAAGACAGACGTGAACACGTGAGAACAGCCCAGGTAATTTGTCCTTTTAAAAAAGGAGACTCAGATTGGGAGATCACGTGGTATAATGTCCCCGAGAATCTGATTTAGCCATGCGGAATGTCCATCTTCGCACAGCCAACTCCTATATTTTGAGCGGCTCAGAGAACTAAGATGGATCCTTTGGCCATTTAGCAAATATCCCGACTTGGGATCTCGTAGCTGGAAGTGTCTCAGTGCGTCCGACAAAGCGTCTGGGATATAACAATAGCCGTGGCATTCTACCACAAAATGCCTCTTTTGATTGCCAATCATTGCGGCATAAGTTCGTATCAAACCGCTTGTGCGGGGATATTGTGCCCTATTGAGTGCTCGGGAATTGCCATCTCTTTCTTCGTAACTCGCTCGTCTTGAGGCGTCGGCGCTTCACGGGAAGTCCCTTCTACCCGTGCTGAAGGCTCCAAGGGTTAGACCTCCCTTCCCCTCGTTGACCGGCCTCTTCGCAACCCGTCCCTGTGCCTTGACGCCCTCTACTACCTTGTCAAGTTGTGTTTCTATCACCACTCCTCCCACTATGAGCTCGCTAAGCGTGGCATGTAATGTCTCGAAGTTGAAGATTAGGTCCAGCTCGCATACATTCTCGAAGAGGCGGTCAAGCGCTTCGACGAAGACTTGGATCAGATCCAGGAGAGCTAGGGGCGACTCGGTAGAGGTGGATATCACGATAAAGTAGAGGGTCGCATAGTGGCGGTATGTGACGAGCGAAGGGGTATCGTTGTGTGGGGTGGTGGGAGTGGAGGATTTGCTGCTACTGGCGAGGAGCGGTGGTAGTCTGAGATGGATCAGAACAAGCTTCGAGGTAGTATAGATGTTCGTACGGGAGAAAGTTGCATGCTGAGTTGGGTCGGTTCGCGACGAGGGTGAAGATCTCTGATATCAGCCGCTGCTGAACGCTTGTTTCCTGTGCTTGTTAGGGCGATATAGGATTCATTTGGGACAGCGCATACCAGCTGGGTATAGAACTTGGTGAGACGCGGCTGTCCCGAGTTGTTGAAGACGAGGACCGCATTGATCATGGTCGTTGTCGTGTATATAATGGATGAGAACTGGCGACGCGGTGTTGAGATTCTGCGGGGCGTTTCGTAGCGTCAAAGCTCCTCCGCACCTTTGCCCGCAGCTCCAGATTCCGTCATCACCCTACCAGAGCTGGGCTGTTCGTCAACCAAACACCATACCTGCCATTCGTCCACCTTAACTTCTACGAAAGCAATGTTCTCCAAGCCAGTCCTCCGCCTCAGGGCTCCTGCTGCTCGCCAATCCCTTCGATTGAATCTTCGCCAGCAACATGTCTCTCCCATCTCAGCCGTCCAATCCCCTGTCCGATATTCCGGATTACATTCACGTTCGGTAGCGACCGCGAATCGAAGCACATCCATCTTCTCCAATGCGAGAGCTTTCAGCTCATCAACTACCCGCAATGGCTTAATGCCAGACTCGGCCGACCCGGCACCACCAGAACGCGAAGCACACGAGAGCCTGGCCAAGGAGCCAACGGACATAACGTACGAGGAGTATCATCAACACGCGGATGCGTATCTGGAAGAGCTGGTGAACAGGCTAGAGCAAGAGCAGGAGAAGCGACAGGATCTAGAGGTCGAATACGCGGTAGGTTCTCCCTCTTCCTTGCTTTTTCTTAGTTCAACACTGAACCATCATCACGAATTTAGTCCGGAGTCCTCGAAGTCGCAATTGTTTCGAAAGGGATATACGTTCTGAACAAGCAGCCTCCGAACAAGCAGATCTGGCTAAGTTCTCCCTTGTCCGGACCGAAGCGGTTCGATTGGGTGGTTGTGGGTGAGTCGATGAACCAGAAGCAAGGCTCAGGCATAGGAGACTGGATCTATCTCCGTGATGGTACATCGCTCACGGCTTTGTTAAAGAAGGAACTTGGAGTTGAGCTGGGCGTTGATCAGGATATTGCGTCGGCTACGACGAAATAGCACTGAGGCATCACGCCCATGTCGGGGCGATGCATCTGAGGTGGAATATTAGCGTCTGAAAGGGCTAAGGACGCAACATATTGTAGGATCAGCAAATCAACGCTTTTGATGTCACTTGTCATGACTCAAGCTCATGTTCAGACTTTCTGCATCACTGCTAGCATGGAGGACCTTTTCGTGACCAACATCTTAGTCCGTATAAATTCCACCTCTAATTGGGTGATCTCGATTATCGCCTGACTAGACTCCAACTTAAGCCCCCATGACGACTAATGAAAGAAAGTATGCTTCCGAAAGCAGTGGTATATATGCGCTGTGCAATAGAGCTAGACCCTTCCATAGTCACGATACTTCCGGAAAGTCGCCATCGATATACTAGAAAATAGTTAAGACACACAAACTTCAGCTCACCTAGCAGGCGTTAAGGAAATGCCTCACTAGTCTATATATCCTATCAGCTCGTGAGGTTCTGGAGGCCAAGCTCCCCTGTACCAATAAACGTCTAGTCCGGCGATTGGGAACATTTCGGAGATAAAAGGTGCACCTCAACACCACGACATCTCTCACCAAAATCAACGTCACCCGTCTCCACGATATCACAATGGCCTCGCCTAGCCGAGCTCCTCCAAAACCCAATCCGACCTCTTCCAACAATGCAACAATCGCCCTCCCAAAACCAACCGACCACTGGTCCTTCGCCAGCCTCCTCGCAGACATACTCCGCCTGTAGGCACCATACACACCTCAAGTAACCCCGATCTCCACTAACCCACCCCTTCCCCCCCTCACAGCCCTCCCGAAACCATCGCCATGTGCTTCATCTACATAAACCGCTTCACAAAATACACCCGAACCGCCACCGACGCGCCAAAACTAGATCCGCACGTGCGTCCCCCCTTCTCCTCCCCACACCACCCCCCATTTTCAAACCCCTAGCTCAACAAACCCCCCCAATCCCAGACCCTCACCCTCGCCGCCCTCTCTCTGGCCACCAAAACCACCGAGTCCCCGCGCCGCCTGCGCGCCCTCCTGCTGCCCGCGCACCGCCTGCTGCACGCCCACACGCGCGCCTACGTCCCCCTCACGCTCAATTCGCAGACATACGCCGGCCTGCGCCGCACCGTCGTCGCGGCCGAGCTGCTGCTGCTACGGGTGCTCCGCTTCGACGCGCACATCCCGCTGCCGCTGGATTTCCTGCCGCGCTATCTCGACCGCACGGTCGGCGAGGCGGGGACCGCGGACGTGGATTTTGACGAGTGGGGGAGGGGGGAGAGGGAGGAGGTGGGCGTGTGTGGGTTTATGGAGACAGGCGTAGGGAGGGCGTGTAGGGGGGTGGGTGTTGAGGCGTAGGTTTGCTCTCTTTCTCTTTATTGGAGGGGGATAGGGAGGCTAATTAGGGGGTTAGATGTAAGGATTATAGGTTTGCGAATTTGTTTGACGCGAGGACGGTGGCGGCGGCGGTTGTGTGGGTGGTGTTGAGGGGGAGGGGGTTGGAGCTGGGGGAGGGGAGGGCGTGGGTGGAGGAGGTGGCGGGGGGAAAGGTGGATGGGGGGGATTTTGAGGAGGCAGTTGGGTTGCTGGAGGGGTTGCGGATCTCGACGATGTAGAGCATGGAAGGAATACCATTCTTGATCATTTGGTTTGGTATTGGTTTGTATTGCTTGGTTTGTGTATTCTTTTCCCCTACTGTTCAGGGTGCTTCGAGGTCTTTCTAGCATACCCAGAAGCTCATCTAAGTGATACTGTTCCCTTCCCGGCTCTTCAGCAGTAGGAATATTCCTTGTTGGCGTTTCTTGCTACCGCTTGGGTACTTGGAGGGAGTTCGGCATAGTCAAGTAGTCAAGTGGTCAAACGGTGAATAGGAGGTTTGATCTTGTCAAGCTGAGAAGTTGCGGCCAAGTAGTCTCCCTTATCTCTGGGCAATTAACTCATTGTTAGCAAATAGGCCTATTTATGGGAGTCTTGAGAACCTTACTTTTTCGGTGCAGCTCATTTTCGTCCTGCCGAGCTTGGCTCCGAGCTTCCCTCTCGGTTCGTGTATATAGTGGCGGTATTTCTCCTGGTCGCTTCATATACCCAGAGATCTCATTGTCCATTTCGAAGCTGGCGGAGTGAGCGGAGATTGTTGATTTAAGCTGTGAAAGGTGGGCGTAGGGGGTCAAGTTTAGAACGCGTCTCACACGGCCGAATCGCAATTTATCCTTCTCTCGAAGCGCCAGTGAGGACATGTCGATGAATGAGCTCGTCAGGAAATTATCGGGGGCACCCGACATATGAGGCGGCACAAGACCAGGGATGTAAGTGGTAGGTGCTGTAACATCTCGTCTACACTCTTTGGACAAACGCGGTGGGAGAACAAGGTAGCATGTTGTGTTGTACATGCGGTCGTAACCAGTGCCTTCAAGCATTCCGTTCCATGAGGTTTCTGGTTCTACCGAGTGGTGAATGATCATTGCCTGAAGGCCAAAGTCCTTCAATAACTAATGAGTGGTCCTCATGTCAGCGTTGAAGATCTTGATATGCCGACCAACAAGAAAGGGCGGCACGCGAGCGTAATAAGATTCAACGTACCTTGTCATACTTTACGAAACTGCCTTCTGCAAGATTCTCCCTCTCGTTGGCCTTGCACTGACAGACTTGACGAATCCACTCTGTCTTTTGCTTGTCGCATTGAACTTTGAACTTTCTCTTCTGCTCCCAAGTATGTGTTGTTGAAACTCCATCTCTTTTTCTCTTTTATGAAGTTGTACAGGGCCCACTTGTCCGGATTCTCAGGCCATCCGGACTGAAGGACAAGGTGCTCAGAGAAGTATTCAATCTGAGCCTTCCTGAGATACTCCCCGCGAAGGTGGTTCTGGACTGAACATTCCGCCCGAAAGCAAGACAGGCCGTCTATCCAGGCTCGCGTGTCTTCGATGCTATCTGGATGTGCTTGAGCCCAAATCTGGTCGACGACTTCCTCCAGAAGGTCTACCGGCAGCTTGTTGATGTGTACTTCGTCACCCTGTCCGAACTTGACACAAAGTCGCAAGGTCTCAACCGCAGGAGCGCACTTCATGTATATCTTGAGGGAAGCTCCCAACTGCCAGATCCTGACCGGCATGGCCCAGATGAGCCCCGAAATTATTTGAGCCGGAGCGTCGGACTGGCTCGGTGGGCGACACATTGTAGGACTTCAGGCGGCGTCGATCTTGGGCACAATTACCAGCCACGGGTGTGTTATCAAGAGGGTGATGATAAAGACTAATTGCTGTTGGGGTGAGAAAAGAAGATGCGAGGTTGAAGGTGAGGTGAAATGGAAAGGACGACACCGCGTCATGTGATCACACCGCGAACTTTCAAGTGCTGGACATAATCTGCAGCTCTTGGAACTGCTTCAGATCGGCCTGAAAAACTTGAACTACATGTGAAATGCTTTTCAGCGTTCTTTTGATTGACATGTCCTTCGAGTGTCCAGAATGTGAGCTAAACCATCGCAAGGAGTAACAGATGTATCTCTGACCACGTGAGGTGCTTACCAGTGCGATATAGACCGGCTTTTGTATCTGCGCGATACTGAAGTAAAACTAAATTTCTAAAGACATTCTTGCTACATACTCAGGATGCTTCAGCTCAATCCCAGAAATTTGGATGAAATGGGGATTGCTTGCTGGCGAGAGCTCAACCAGCTTTCGAATCCTCAGGATCCAATTGCTGCGCGGTAGGACGTTCGCGGAGGGAGTGTCTTTATTGTGTATATCGACCGAGATATGAAAGTGCTTCGAAGTATCTTGAAGAGTGGTGATGAAGTGTATGCGGACCCATCTGCCGGTACTTCGTCCAGAAAGGATCAATATTCCATCTACACTTTAGGACGATGCTGCTCATGAGTATGGTAGAAACATCCACATAGACTAGACCAGATCACTGTGATTCTAAACGACTCCTATCATGTTGGTAGATGAACTAGAATTGGTGTTGAAATGCTTTCTGAATGAATCGGACTCGTTTCGCAATCCATGCCGACTCCCGAGCTCAGCTCATAGGTCCAGTTGACGAATGAGTCTTTAAAAATTGCAACACAAAATATGGCAGCTGGCGTAGGAAGGGCAAAGGATCAGTGAGGAAAGCATGAGTTGTATTGAGGTGCTAACGAGTGGCTACATAGTGAAGAGAGAAGAGAGGTTTGCAGATGGCAACGGTGGCAAGCAACAGGCAAGCTGAGCATTCAGCTGAGTTCGAGCGAGCTGAGAGGAGTGAAAAGAAACGTGTTACTGGCTGCCAAAATATCATCCAAGCAAGCTATTTCGTAGCCAACAAAGTAAAATCCCACGTTTGACTGGCCATATGCTGACCCTTCCGTTACCAGAGAGCTGCTTACCAGCCTTATAATAGTCTGACTTTGCAAAGTTGAGCAGCTGAGGCCAGGTTGATTTCTCAATCACTGCTCAACACACTAGGACTATACAGGAATCGGAGACGGGAAGCGTACTCTTGTTATGGGCATCAAGCATCGCGCGGCGAGCGTTAAGTTTCTCAACCACCTCCTCTTTCTTCCAATAGTCGTATGAGCCTAGTTCAAACTTCGGTCTGAATTCGATCCCATTGTTGGCATCTTTTGGACAAAAAGCAGATAAGGTATCCTCAAGCTGCGTGTATGAAACAAGTGGTACAAGGCCGAGTAATCACTTCGCTCGTCCGAAGCGCAACTTCTGTGCATCCGTAATGTTCAGAGATGATGGGTCGATGAAAAAGGTAGCCAGGGTGTTGCCAACAAGGTCTCCATAGCGATCGCTGAAGATCTCCGATGAGCATTCAGGAACCGCAGGTCGTTGGCCTTCATATGGCATGATATTTCAGACATTTTTGCTGGGAGAATGAGGTGACAAGTCGTAGTATGGTACTGGTCATGTTTGCGGAAACCGGGGCTGTACTTTTGAATTCTCAGATTTCGATATTCATCATGGGAGAATATGAGTGCTTGTAGGCCAAACTCGGATTCTAAAATCTATTTCAAATCATCGTAAGACTCGTATCTCAATTTTGAGGTAATAAATGATTGGAAACTTACCTGATCGTACTTCACGAAAGCGCCTTTTTTCGTTCCATCGCCCGTAGTAGGACACTGGCAGATGAGTGATATCCACCTGTTCCTCTGCGCAACGCAGCGGGGATCCTTATCACCCTGACCAACGGCCTTGGCCCACCAGTACTGACTTATCTTTTCGTACGAGCTCTTGTCGCAGCGATCTGGGTCCGGGATTTCTCCAGATGACCTCTCGAGCTCGTTAAAGTGTTTGGATTGTGGGTCTTTGTTCCATGCATGGTCCGATAATTGACAACGATCTTGAAAGCAGAGGAAGTGGCTGTTCCACGTCTTGAACGCAGCTGCGCGAATGGGTAGTTGAACCTCTTCGATAACCTTCTCCAGAAGTTCATATGATAGCTTGTGGATGTGGACATCACCACCCTGGCCGAATCGGTGGCATAGACGTATAGTGGTGACATTTGCTTTGACATAGACTTCAAGGTGAGCTCCGAGCTGTGCGATGTTGACTGGCATAGCCCAAATGATGCCAGAGACCGTCTGGGCCGACGAATCTGCTTCGGTAATGGGACGACACATCGTGTCCGATGAGATAAATGGGCGGCTGATTACGCGTTACCCATGAGTCTTCTGTTCAACACTAGACGCGTTGTGCTCGGCTAAGCATGGAAGACCGATGCATCTTACCTCAGATGCGATGTCGCCCGCTTGGAAATGTCCAAGCCGCGCAACGAACACCGGACTACGCGTCGCTCGCGAGCCTGCTATCAAAGAGAAGCGATATCAGCAATGTAAGAAGCATAAAAGAGACTCTGAACTCACCGGAGGTCCGATGCAGCACGATCGGGTGCTGTCGAGGTGGAGGGTGTGGCGATGAAGGAGGATGGAAGCAGAAGTGAGGTGAGGTCGATTTAAAGCCTCTGGTGGAGTCATGTAATCCACACAACCTCCACGACACAGATCGACTCACATTCCCAATGATTGAACTCGATACAAGTATTTGAGGGCCTAGATTTTATAGGATCAAGGATACTGACATTGGTGGGTTGAAACCACTCTAGTGGGCGCTATGTGTGAGTTGGCTAGATGGGCGGCCAAGCGGTCAAAAGCAGGGCATAATCAGTCTAGATCCGAGGGATCATAATCCTTAAATCCGATCTAGATCACTGAAAATATGTTGAAGTACCTCAAACAGTGGCGAACGAGTATGCACAGACCAAGGAAATGATTGTGAACTTAAGATAAATCTACCTGCGTGATATGAGGTGGATTTCAAAATGCCCATGAAAAGAGATATACTCCAATGTCATCGTGATAATCAATGAAAATTCAGGAAGGGAGCAACATGATCGACGCTGCCTGAGGTCGCCTGAGTGTGTAAGCCGATCGATCCAAAGCCTCTGGAAACCCTCCCAAAAACTACCGCCCAAAACTTTACATCCTGCTCAGATATTTTAGGCCCCACGGAAGCACCTCAAGTGCCGGCAAGAGAGCGTCAGTAACGACGAACCCGCAGGTCGAATGTGGTCTTGGCGATGTTGAGAAGCTTTGGCCACTCCATGAGCGCAGAGACTTCAGGGAGTAGGACTGTGCATTGTTAGCAATTAAGTAAGCATAGTAAAGAAGACAACGTTCACCCACCATTCTCAATCTCTTCCAAAACAGCATCTGCAGCATGACGTGCGCCATGCACTCTGCTCGCTTTGAGACGGTTGATGGCGTCGTTCAACTTGGTCTTGGCAGCTTCGAGGGCGGACTCGTCGCTTTGTCCACCACCTTCGCCCGACTTGTTGCGTGTGAGCCTCGTAATGTGAAGCTGAGGGCCGATACCGAGGACGCTCTGTACATGCTTGAAGCGCAACTTCTGGTTGTTCGTAAGTTTCAACAGATCCGGGTCCATGTAGCATGTCATGAAGGACGAATTGCTGTACTTCTTCCACCCAGAGGGGCTTGAGACGGGCTCTTCGGCTAGAAATCCGTCATCATCTGCATCTTGCTTGATCGTTCCTTCTGTCAGTGTAAGGTAGCACACTGTGGTGTTGCAACTACTGTCCCAGCCTGCGCGTGGGAAAGTAGAGCGCAATTCGTCTGGTACCTTCCTGTGAGCAATAAAAGCTTCGAGTCCGAAGTGGGTCTTGAGGATCTATGATTTGAGTCAGTAACGCTTCTGGTTTGATCATGTGTTGGCGCCGCGAGGGGTGGCTCTTGAGGCTGACAGCAAGCAGCAAGAGAATGGAGTCCGGTTGGTTTGGACCCATGGGCGTGCTCCTGACAGCGGTGAACGAAGGTACTCACCTGGTCGTACTTCGAGAAACCCAGTTGTATAACCGGCCACGTACTAGGGTCGTACTGAGTAAGCCGACGCTTCCACTGCATCTTGCGCCGGTAGTGTGGGTGAGACTCCCGCACGGAAGTGGGTGGATGCCACTGGTATGCCAGTAGGGCCTCATGCAGTCGCATTTTCTTCACATCATCCGGCAGCAATGAGGGGTCCTCGTGCTCGAAGTACTGCAAGAGTAGGTCATTTGGGTCCAACCCGTCGTGGCCCTCGAAGTGAGACATAGCAGTGCAGTTGCCTTCAAAACACTTCAATTCACGCTCCCATTCCGGCAGCGTAGTGAGAGCCTCAACATGGCAGAGTTCGTTGATGACCATGTCCAGTAGCTCGTTTGGAAGCTTTGTGAGGTGCACGTCGTCACCTTTGCCGTACCGATGGCACAGACGAAGGGTCTGTAGTTGAGGAAGAAGCTTAGCAAACCTATCCAGGCTAGCACCCAGTGTGACGATGGAAACTGGCATGCCCCAGGTGATTCCCGTGCTTGTTCGCGAACTAAAGACGGGATCGTAGGCGTTCATCTTGTGAGGCTCGTCGTGATCATGGAAAAGGCGCTGTTGTAAGGTGTAGAGATGCTGGTGAGAGAGTGATAGAGGAAAGAAGAGAGTAGGAAGGAAGGAGCAATGGTCGTCGGCGAAGTGGGGCTAAGGTGAAGTGAGATTCGCGGATAGCGGCAGCTGACTTGGCCCAACGAGTCTACCGACCGTTCAAATCGGTAGATTCTCGTGCTACTTGGATTGGTGAAAGTGTGTAGAGGTACCTCAGACAGCGGTAGATAAGTGTGCACAGATCTGTTTCACGACACCTATCGAGCCGCTGCTACGGATCTCACGTTTACGAGGTGCTCAGACACCCACATTTTTACTTCGATACCTAGATTCACCGGAGATCGGTGGAAATCGTCCAGCTAAGAGCTTCGAGATCCAAGAAATGATTTGTAGATAGCGCCGCATGAGGTGCCCCAAGGAAGTTTCCTACTGTTCCGCACGATCAAGTCCTATCTCGCCCAGAATTCTTAAAGCACGCTGGAGTACCTTTGGCAGTGGCAAGAAAGTGTACACAGAACTATTTGGAACGAGTACCCACAAGCTACAAGCTCCTCATACCTCTCCCATGCCATAATCATCGTCGTTCATTTTAGTTTCGTGTGATCAGCTTCGTTCCTAATGCAACGCTATCAATGCTTTTTTCCCTCAACCTCCTTAGTCCTCTTCCTCACAATGGCATCGATCCTTCCATCGTCAGTACAAGGGTTACAGAACTGCTTCCGGAACAAAAATACCTCTGAAAAGCACAAAAGCCCTCAATAAACGTCGAGGACATCCACGTCCACCACAACGAACTCCCCACCGGCACCGAATGCTTCCTCAGCTTCGTCGTTGCCATGAGATAAGCCTCAGTCCCATGAATCACAACCATCGAAGCCAGCGCAATGTACGCCTTCGGGGCCATGAACTCGGCGAAACTCGGTACGTGCTTCAGGAGGATCTCATACAAGTAGCTCCCCGGTTGGAAGTTCGCTGGGCGCGAGAAACTAAAGTAGCCAAGGAGGCAAGCGAGAAAGACGCCCAAATGCCAACCCCGCGGACGTGTGTACGTGGTCACGGTGATTGGACTCCGGTCAAGGCCTTTTACAGCCTCCTGGTCCATGGCGATAAGGCGCTCGCGGGCTTCGCTCCAGGAGGCGAGAGGCGGAGCCAGTGGGACCGTATAGCGGCCGCCGGAAGAGCGAATGGTGAGGCTAGAGAAAGATACATCTTCGAGCTTGGCATTGCGGGCTGCGAAGGAGGATACGTGGAGGAAGTGCTCCAGGTAGCGGCTTATCTGGGAGATGGTAAGCCTCAACCATCCACAGACTGCTTCTTCATCGACGTGATTTCTATGCCGTTGGACAAGAACTGAAACAAGGGGCCATACCGAGTCACCATGTTCGCTGTTCATGTGGGGAATGATGCGCCCCTTAGCTACCTGGTCTTGGGCTGCCATACTGATGGAAGCTAACTACTTAGAGCTGGCGATGTGGTAGAGGCGGTTCTAGAGATGGAAGACGTGGTGTTGAGGCCGTTGTCGGCATCCAAGAATAGACGGGGAACTATTCTACCTCGGTACTTAGCTCCATCTGAGCCGATGCCGGTCTAGCGCCCCCAGTGTCTTGGCTCCCGTTGATGAGGCTTTGTGCCCAACCACCACGACGTCGCATCACCGCTGTGCTCTCTCATATGATGTATATTTCAGAATCGTGCGATGCTGTGCGATGCTATCGAGCATTCCAAGTCGGCAACTCGCCGAAGGGTGCCACGCCGGCGCGATGGTCGTCCCGGAGCCGAAGGACCAGTTTGCAGGACAGATGATGGATGAGACGCCACAGAAAGGCCAAGAAGTTGGCCAGCGTCATCGCAGCTTACATCATTAGGCCACAGGAAAGCAGGTGCACGCGGCGGAATCGCAAGCACGGCCACACGGCCACACGGCTGTAGTTTCACCAGTAACATGGTGATGCACGCTCCGCGGACCAAACGCCACGGCAGCACGCACAGCGGCGGGGTGGGCAGCAGGGGCCGCAACGGGATCCGCATGGACGTTTTTCCAGAACAGATGGCGGCGAGGGTTGCGACTTGTTTTCCACAGCCGACTGCTGGGATCCCCCGCGGATCGCGTCTCGGTGGGCACGCAACGCACGCGTTGCGTCAGTGTGCAGCGAGGGATGGCCTGTGTACGCAGGGGTGTCGACGGCACTCACCTTCAAACCGGTTGCTGCGCGCTGTCTCTTTTCTCAAGTCCAATTCCACTTTCTTCTGTACTCTCGCATCAATTCGCAATCTGTCGTCTCCAAACTTTCTGCAACTTTCCAACTCCACTTTCCATCCCAAAACCGTACCAGGCGCAACATGGCCGACAAGACCACCGAAGACCAGCAGTCCTCCGTTGGAGCTGAGGGACAGGCCCAAGGCGGCGCATCCGTTGGCGGCAAGGCCGGCGCTTCAAGTTCGAGTAAGAAGACCACCGAGAAGAAGACCCCGAAGAAGCTAGGCGGCAAGAAACCTCAACAACAACCCACTCCCGAGCCCACTCCTGCGCCTGAGAGTGAGGAAGAAGACGCTGAAGCGAATGACGACGCAGAAGTAGCTACCAACGGCGGTGCCGAGGAGTCAGAGCCCGAACCGCAGCCCCAGAAAACACAGTCAAGACGCCGCCAATCTCGTGGCCGTGGCCGACGAGGCGGCGCCACGGCTGAAGTGAGCGAAAGCGACTACCGCTCTGATCAATCTGCCACCGGTGGGCGACGAAACCGTCAGCGCCAGAAGAAGCAAGGAGGCGGTCCCCTGGATGGCATCACCGAGAATGCGCCTGGTGGAGAGCTCGTCAATGGTGCCGGCGAGATGGTGCAGAACACGGCTGGAAATGCTGTCAACCAGGTCGGCGACACTGCAGGCCAAGCTGTAGGAGGCCTGACAGGCGGCGGGAAACAGGGTCAGGGAGAGGATGACGAAGACGGCAAAGGCGAGCAGCTGCGCCTGCGGCTTGAACTGAACCTCGACATTGAGATCCAGCTCAAGGCGAAGATTCACGGTGATCTTACGCTGGGCTTGCTGTAAGTGGATCTTGACTTTACGATTGCAAGCAATGCGCTGACTGCTCTCACAGCAACTAAACTCGTAAGCAACTAAACTCGTACACAACGCTTCAGGTCTGGATCCAATGCTGTTTGTTCGCGCGGAGAAGTCAATGTGGTCATGAATATTGGGCTAATCACAAATGCACTGAGTTGGGACGGCGTTGGGTTCCATTGATGTAATTATTAGTCGCAGCACCGCGAGATAGAAAAGCTATTTGCCTCTTATTCCAGTTGTCACCTGGAGATTGAACTGTGCCTTGCCCGCAACGTCGAATTCAATTTCTTGAAGCTCGCGGAGGACCTCGCACAGAATGCACTATAGTCGTCCGTGCTCAAGCTTCAGCAGGTCTTCCCAGCTCCTCGAATTCGCAACCAACACACCAGCTGTTCTCCACGCATCCCCTGCCGCACTCGGCGCGCTTTTTGCCGCTGACGCAAGTTCTCCACACCCCATTCACTGATTCAGAAACCTCCGCCGTCTGTCGCTCCGGGCGTTACAGATGGCAGCCGGGCCGGGGGCCTCGTGACGTCAACGCATCGTCGATGGAGCCGCGCGGGGACATTCTCGTGTCCCGATGGAGCCCCCATGCAGCACCACTGGGCCGTCTTGCAAGCATCACCGCATGCACGCGCTGCAGCCAGCCGCCACATCGCTCAATCTTGTTTTCCTCCTGGCCCGCGAGCTGGTCTAGGTAGTGGCCCGTCCATCTTTCTTACCATCACCTCTCTCGTATCCCGCTCCCTCTCTCATCCTCCATCGCAGTGCTACAGTCAATACACACCGTTTTGAGATCTCCACAACTCTACATCTATCCTTAATTTCCAGAAACTTCCCCCGGTCTCACGTCTCTCAATCCCATATCCAACATGTCCGACTCCGATTCTGAACCCCATGCCCGCACCACGATGCAGCAGAACAAGCAGCTCGAGGCCAAGAAGCAACAAAAACGCGAAGCCGGCCTGCAGAGCGCCCGCTCACGATCCTCCTCCCGCCGAGACCGCCGCCGCCGTATTCAGAAGGGCATTGAAGACGGCAAATACATGAAAACCGCTTCACTAGAAGCCCTCGAGGAAGCTGATGCCAACGGGGAGCTCAACAGCATGCAGGCCTTCGAACGTATTGGCCCGGACAGCACCTCGATGGATGGTCCCGTCACAAAGGCGAGAGCAATGAGAGGCGAGATACCTATGCGGGGGACGGACCCGAACCAACCGTATCGCATGGAGCAACAGGCGAAGCCGTCAGGCGGCTTGGATGAGCAGGACGGGCTAAAGCTCAAACTCGAGGCGAATCTCGAGATTGAGATCGAGCTCAAGGCTAGCATTCGAGGTGATCTGACGCTGTCGTTATTGTGAGTAATATGCAGTTTCTTTGGTTGCGACCCTGTCGTCCTGCGTTTTCCCCATTACCAGCCAATCGCAGGCTGATTACTTATGGCAGAGAATAACAGGCAATAATAGTGCATGAGCGATTCGAGCCGATCGCTCTCCGTTTGCGAACTCTTTCGCAGTCATCCGGGTCTATTAACAGCGTCGGATTGTGGAGGACGACGACTGATGACGGCTTATGAAGTGGGCACGTGTATTGGATTACGATTCTTTCGCACCGAATATGGCGTTTGGCTTCCGGCTACGTCCACGGCAAATAATTCAAGATAAAAGAAGGTTCTATTCTGCATCCCAGCTGCTTCGAGCTTGAGTCCTGCCAATTCTGTACCCGGGTATTTAGTATTTGCCCGTGGAGATTTCCATAGCCAATCTGCTACACCGAGCAATTACTTCTGTGCCTGTGCTCCTGATAGGTGCACACAGGCGGTTTCCATGGTTCATCTTGTGCAGCCAGTTGCAAGAGCAATTATTAGATGCTCCCCACAAATTTCCTTTTCTCGCTAAATCAAAGGCTCGTCTTCTCCAATTTCTTTCGGTACCGCATGGACCATCTCTCCCATGACCCTGTGTTGTCTCCGTGCTTCTCCCATTACTGGGATTCCAAATATACTCTGGACGGACCGAACCATGGTTCTTCCGCCACGAGATAAATCCTCCTTGGGTTAAATGCTAGGCTTCGCAGTCTCGATCTACACCAATCTAGGGTCCTCTGTTGGTATTCTCAGCCGCAGTTCTGATCATGTTCGCGTTCCAGCCTACATTGACAGGTTTTCCATCCCCTCCTTCAACTCTGATGGGGAACGCGAGCAACAGAACATGGTTCACAACATCTGGACCACTAAACTCAGTCAGTCGATGACACAGTTGTGTATTTTAAGGTGGAAAAGGCCAGCTCTCGAACTTTCACTGTTACTTTATCTTCTCAGACAGCCACAGCTTTCGCAATGCCATGATTTTCAGCAACTCAACTGACCGGTCTTATATCATTCAACATGTCTAACCCTCACGCTCAAACGAAGAAGACGCCATCCAGTGCAGCAGTTGGAGGCTTGTACGGCACCTCCAGTCCTCAGGATGGAGACCAGGCCAGAGAACAGTTGGCCCTGCCCAACATCCCAAGGCCTAGCAAAGAAGCAGCTGACCACATCGCCAGGCTGGAAAGGAGACATCCTTGCTATGTTCTCCGTAACAACATCCCCAAAGGCGACAGATATAGCAGCAACACAGAAAGCGGTCCAAAAGCCCGCTCTGTTTCCCAAGCCCACCTTGATGACGATATGTGTGTCGTTGGGCGTTTTCTCACAAGTGTCTTGCGCCTGGACCGATTCTCATGTGGCAACCCTACAAAAGACAGCAACGACACGGACGCGCCGGCTAGACCTACTGTCCCATCGCCAACTGAAACGACCAAATCAATCAACAAGAAGAGATTAAGGTCATCAGGTCGACCTAGCCTCCGCCACCCACGCTGGGAAACCAGCGCCGCCGTGAACGAGCCCGTCACGGGTCTTTCTCCCTCGCAGAAGACCGTTACGTTTGGACCAGAATCTCGAGTCGACTCTGTGAATCCTAAAGGTCGCCCTAGTCTATCAATCATCATCCCAGATAGCAGATTAAGTCTGGACTCCGACGACGAACCACCGACGACGCCTATTCGTACCTCGTTCGACTTTCCGCAGACTCCTCTTAGCTATCTTCCGACTATTCAGGAAGAGCTGGACAGCTTCTGCGTGGTCAAAAAAGAGCAGGAAGATGCCTCCCCTTGCGTGCGGAGGAAGAAGTTGTTCATGGTACATCCCAACTCGCGAATCCATGAGTCGAGTGGGGAGATGGCTTCGAATTCCCATCCAGAAGACCCCAACACGATTGCCGCTAGAAGCCGCACTTTACGCAGACGCGGAGCCATTGACTTCGGCAAGGAGCATATGAAAGAACCTCAAGAATCCTCCCCATCCCCCGTCCTCCCAGAGAGCCCAAACCACACACCCCCTTGCCCCATTTCACCAGAATCCCCCACCAAACCAGCACCCACCCCCGAAGCCTGGTGGACGTGCTTCCCGCCCGCCGCCGTTCCCCACCCAAACGCCCTCACAGCCTCAAGCCCCCTCTCCATCCACGCCAGTGACGAGATGGCTACGCAGCAAAGGAGTCGACCTATCAACGCTCCAATCAATCTCACAGACGTGAGCCAAGCACACTCCGCCACCAGTCTCACATAGGCTCCCGCTTCCACCGAAGAGTCCTCCCCAGTCTTAGTCCGCACATCCCTCGGGCGCGGCGACGAAACCACCGAAGCGCAGTGGCGGACGCATGTCGGTGAGCCGAATTCCTTCGTGGGCAGGAGCCCGACATCCTCGACGGCGGGTGTTGCGGGGACGCCGCCGCTGTCGCTGGTGCCGGTACTGGCGGAGGCAGACGATGCTGCGACTTGGGCTGGAGACGTGTTGAGGTGGGGCTTAAGGGAGGTGGTGATGGGGAGGGTGAGGGGAAGAGGGTGATGTCGTGTTAGGTTTAGGGGGGGTTAGGAGTGTGGATTGTGGGAAGTTGTTTAGCGGTGTGTGGGAGTTTGGGGTTGTTTTGAGGGGAACTGACTAGGGAGGTAGGGGCGTATGGTATGGTGTTTGGAGCGTGGTTGGTGACCCTCTAGGCGCACTGGAATATTTTGGATGATAGTTTTCATTGATAGCTTAGATCTTGCTTACTCACACTTTGGACGATGCTGTGTTTGTGTTTTGGAGGATGTTGTGTTCAGGGTCTGATTGATATTTTACTTTCCAACCCTGGATCACGTTCTGCATTCATGGTTTGCAACGAGAAATAGGACCACAGACTGAATGAAACTTCGCAGGAGAAAATCCTATCAAGATGCTATCTTCAATTTATGTTCAACAGTGTCCAAATCAGTCGTTTCAAGTAATCTGCACACAATAGTCGAAGTCATGTACTACCTACGGTGTTTCGTGCGAACTAAGCATTCCCCACAACGTTCCCCTGTGACGATCCGCCGCCCCACAGCTCACCAATGATGATGATATCAAGGGGTGTAATTCCGCTACCTCCGGGGTTGCTGGGCGCTGATTTTTTATACAAATTGAAAAAGTCAGCCCGCACTTAAAGACTTATATACACACGTTCTAAAACCCTTCAATCCATCAAACCAACCCCCATCTCCCACAATGCCCCCCTCCGGCCTCGCAATCCTCCTCGGCGCCGGTCCCAACACCGTACCCTCCCCCTCCTTCCATCCTCTCCCCCCTTCCCCCAACTAACTCCCACCCCAGGGCGCCGGCATCGCCCGCATCCTCTCCCATCCCTCCCACGGCAACCTCGCCGTCGCCCTCCTCGCGCGCCGCCCGGAGCCGCTGCACGCCCTCTGCACCTCTCTACGCCAATCCAGCCCCGACGCGGTTCTCGAAGCCTTCCCCACCGACACGTCACCAGACGCGCTGAAGAAGGCGTTCGCAGAGATCAAGCAGCATGCAAGCTTCCAGGGGCTGAAGCTGCGCGTGGCGGTGTACAGCGTCAAGCATAGTAGCCGGAAGCCGTTTATGGAGGTGGGGTATGACGTGAGTGCTCTAAACCGCGATTGGGAAACGCTTTGGAGGTTATTTTTTTCTTGTTTAGGGGTTGAGGCTGATGACATGGATCTACAGGAGTTCACGGAGAGCCTGGAGACGTATGTCGGGGGTGCGTTTACGTTTGCGCAGGAGTCGTTGACGCGGTTTTTTGGGGATCATGGCGAGACGCCGCTTTCGGAGGGCGGAGAGAAGAAGGGGGTAAGTGGTTCTCTTCGACCCCGCCTCTTCTCCAAAAGTGCTTGGACGTCGTGGACTGACTGGTTGACACCAGACCCTCATCTTCACGGGCACGCTGGGCGCGCTCCGCTGCAGCGCGCAGTACGCCGCGTACGGCGCGGGCCGCGCGAGTGTGCGGCAGCTGGCGCAGACGCTGGCGCGGGAGATGAGTGAGAAGGGGGTGCATGTTGTGCATACGATTGCGAACGGGGCGATTGAGGATGAGGAGGGGCCGGACCAGAAGAGTGGGAGGAAGATGAGTGCCGAGGCGGTGGGGGAGACGTATTTGTGGTTGCATCGGCAGCAGCCGTGTTTGTGGACGCATGAGTTGGATATGAGACCGGCTTGTGAGAAGTTCTAGGGTAGGGGAGCGCTGGGGGCCTTATAGGGGTAGGGGTGGGAGAAGGGGATGTTCGAATCAGTGAGTGATTAGACGGAGAGGATGCTAAAAGTGTTGCTTGAAAGAGGAGAGGATTGGATTGTGGTTTATATTAATCTGTTCACAGGTGTTCACGTTTTACTATAACTATGTTGTCGCCATGAGAACTTACTTTCGTCGAAAGTAGTGAGGACATGACTAGTGACTCGCACTTCGGGATTCAACGCTACAAATCAACATTTCATTCAATGCACACAAGCCATCAAACGGCTCTTTCTATCAACCAAAACATGAAGGATAGGCTCCTAAAGCGCCCAATAACACAACTCCGTCTTAACATCCTACCGCATCCATCGCCCAATCTGACTAAGCCCTAGTCCCACAGGTACCAATGCCATGAGTCTCACCAGTAATATTTTGAGCCTATACGCCAGCTATAAGACAGTACGCTACCTTAACTACCGCTCATACCCCGCTTTCTCTACTCTCTCCTACTTCCCTTCTACACCCCAACCATACATCACTCAAATCCAATCCAATCTTTTCACAAACATCTAAAATGGACACCATAACCTCCCTCCTCCACCCCACCGAGCTCATCCTCCCCTCCAACCCCCTCTACACCCCCCTCTCCCTCGTCTGGTCCGCCCAGAAAAACCTCTCCCCCCGCCTCGTCGCCCGCCCCGCCTCCCTCGCCTCCCTCTCCCGCCTCCTCGCCGCCCTCAACACCACAGACCTCGACTTCGCCATCCGCGGCGGCGGCTGCGGCTCTGCGTCCGCGTCCGACGTGCTGATCAGCCTCGACGCCTTCTCCGAGGTCACGTTCGACCGAGCGACCGAGACGGTGATCGTGGGCGCGGGACAGGTGTGGGGCAGTGTGGATCGGAAGATGGAAGCGGAGGCACCAGACTACGCAGGTACGAGTCTCCGTTGTGCTGCTCTCCATTATTCTGGGGCTAAGCGGGGCGTGTAGTCGTCGGTGCGCGCTGCACGTACGTTGGCGTGGGCGGGAGCATGCTGCAGGGCGGCGCGGTGTCGTGGATCTCGTCCGAGCACGGCATGGGCTCGGACCCGCACAACATGCTCGACGCGCAGGTCGTGAAGATGGACGGGAGCGTTGTGTGGGCGTCGGTGGAGCCGGAGCTGCTGTGGGCGCTCAGGGGCGGGGGTGGGAATTTTGGGGGTGAGTTGACCTTACCATGATTCAGTTTCCTTGAGGGAATGCGGATGCTGATTTGGGGGAATAGCGGTTACGGCGTTCAAGCTGAAGGCGTATAAGTATACTTCTGATGTTTATAGCGGCATGATCATGTACCCTCGCTCCGCGCTCCCGGCGCTTGCGAAGGCGGAGTCGGCGTTTGCGGAACGGTGTCATGATGCCAAGATGGCGATGCACTTCTTCTGTCTTGATCTTACGCAGGGCGCGTTTACAGGGCAGCCGACGCAGCCTGGGGTGGCGATTCTCGTGTATGATGCGCATGGCGAAAAGCATGGGCGGAGTGAGGCGGGGTTCAAGTGGGCGCTGGAGATTGAAGGCGCGACTGATGCGACGAAGTCGATGAGTTTGTGGGATGTGAACAGGCAGAGTGGTAAGCTTGAATTGGAATACGATTTTGCTATGTGGACTGTACTGACGGAATCGATATAGATAACCTTGACGCGATGAGAGGACTCACGAATCAGATGATGTCTGCTATAACGATCCCTGCGTTCGACGAGGCAATGATTCATAGGACGTGGAATTGGTTTGATCAATTGTTGGCGGAGGAACCATTGCTGAATGCCGGGACATTTGTGCTCGTGGAGCTCATGCAAAGAGTATGATTTCTTTTTATTCTCATTTCTCGAACAATAGAGACTGACGATAGCGTAGCCGGCTTTCAACTCGACCAAATCCTCGGAAGACACCGCATGGCCTCGTCCGAGCAACCGTCATATCATGCAACTAGGCACTGGTGGCCTGAAAGGCTGCTCGCCGGAAGTCCATGCCAAAGCCGTGAAAGGACTTGCAGACGCGCAAACCACAATTTGCCCAGAGAGCAAAGCTTCAGACCTGATACCTAGGGACTTCGAAGTGTTCCATGACCCCAAAGCCATGTTTGGCGCGAACTGGGAGAGATTGGTAAAAGTAAAGAAAGCGGTGGATCCGAAAGGGAGACTGAGAGGTGCATATAAAATTCCTACGTAAACATGGTATAGCAGATAGATGTCCAAGAAAAGGAATACGAAAACAAACTGTCAATTGCATGAATGGCCCTTGCCAATCAAATCTTAGTCTTCTTCGAGGAACCCTCCTGTGTATCGTCCGTACTGCGCTTCGCGCTTTGTCTAGCGCTTTTGCGCGTGCCCTCTGCCATCGGCTTTTGCTTGGCTGATGCTTTCTTCCTAGCCTCGCTTTTCTTCGTCACATTCGACTTGGAACCGCTTTTGTTCTCACTAGAATTCGCTTTAGGTTTCTCCTTGGGCGTCGCGTTTTCCTTTTCTCCCTCTTCCTCACTCTTCTCGGCGGACTCGTCCGCCTTCGCCTTCTTAAGCTCCGCATCTTTCTTTTTATCAGTCTTATGCTGTGGCGCGCCTGTCTTTGGTTCGTTCTTCGAGCCAGCTTCGTTCTCGTAGCTGCCGCCTTTCTTCTCGTATTCTTTGGAGAGCTTTGCAGCCTTGATCGCATGTCAGTCTAGTCAATTGGAATAAGTGCGTATGGTATACACACTTTCCACGCGCTCCACTGGCCCTTCCCGCCGCCATCTTTGTTTGTCTCGTTCTTGACGTCTGCGAAGGATTAGCGTCGCGCTCGTAGCAGTTCGGGTATCGCGCGATTGGGCGTACCATTCTTCACCTTCTCGCGCAGCTGCGGATCCGTTGGCTTTCCTTTGCTTGAAGGCATATTAGAGTAGTGAGAACTGGGATGTTCGAGGTAGAATGCGGTTGTTCGAAGTGGAATTGGGTTGTTCGAGGTTGAGGGACGCGGTTGGGAGTGCGAGAGGGGAGTGTCAATATCATTATGACATCACGACTCGGAAACGCGAATTCACGTGATGTGGTCTGGAACGACTGCTATTGAGATTCTGAGTGATTATTAGGCTGCTCAGTTAAAAGGAGCATGTAATATTTAGTTGCTGTAGATCTCGGATTTCTAGGTGTCAGAGCATCTGCGGAGTCGCTTATGGGTTTGCCGGTAGGGCGAACATTCTACGGAGTAGTCTCGTGTTACATGAAGCAATCGGTTGTCAACACATAGCCACCTGAAGTAGCTACCCCCGATGAGACGGGGCTGTTGTGGAACGTGTCAAGAAGTCCTGGACAACGGAACATGTGCAAGTATCATACCTGACGACGTGGCCTCGTTACCGTAGCACAAGCCCTCGGAGCCCTGCCGTCACGCCTGCCAGCGGCTCCGTGTACAGTTACACATGGTGGGCTTGAGAAACTGCTGACGATGCTATTCGCCAAGCGCGGGGCTTAGAAAACGTGGTGTCGCTTCAGGGCAGTACCGCTGTGTCGGGATCCAAAATGGACCAATCGATCTATCATGACACCTTGACCACGAGAACATATCGAAGCCGAAAGATAACGCACCTGTCACCGATAGTCAGTATTCGCGTGCTGCTGCTCACAGCACAGGCCCTGGTAGGGAATGGTTCCAGTTCTCTAGCGCTATGAAACGAAAATGGTTGCATACGTGCATGGCTCGTTATTGTTGCCAGAACCAGTAATCTATATGAAATAGGAGGTCTCGTGGGGTCAGGCCGTGTATGATCGGCCGTACAATATGTATGAGAGGGAACCAGCCTCCATAAGAAATCCGAGAAGGGTAGTTGAATGCGCCGCTAAATGATGCCCCCTTGGGCAGTCATGCATATTACTTCGGAAGCGGATACTATCAGCATTCCGGGCCTATGAAACGGTTCCAAGCTCGCCAAAACGTCCACGGGGTCGTCTGAGTTCCAGCAGGCTTTGGAAGAGGCAACATTGCGGTTGTTGAGATCGTTCCGACGGGTTGGCGTATTCCGATCCAGAGTTCGATGGCTTCAATCTGGTCGGGCTGCTTGCCGCCGCCCAAAGAAACAACACTATCACGTGGTAGTTGATACGCGGCGATCTGCACCCGTTCTTGTTCCATGAAACCGGCCTTTGCAAACACAGGGACTCCCATTTTGGCCGCTGAAACGCCCACTGAGACGCCCTCAATATCAGCAAGCGTGGTGCACCACTTGGTCAAGTTCGAGCCATGTCCTCGACGCCAGTAGGCTGGATGGACTGCCAAAGTGGCCAGTTTCATGCGATGGGCCAAGTACCTGCGTGAAGTGAAGCGTAAGCGACTGTTGTAGAGAGTGGCGTGGGTTTCATTTACTTAGTCTTTGCGGCAGCGGTAGCTTTGGAGTAAAGCTCGCCGCCTCTTGAACATTGGTCCCGTTGTAGTGGAGTTTCACAGGGGCTTTTCTGCACAAGATCTGAGATAGTTGAGGTCAGAACTGCGCTAAGAGCGGACATGCACGACAAAAGAAACAACTACTTGCCAGTAGGTTGCAAGCGGCCCGACCAGATGGAGCCAGGCGTCAGAGTGATGCTCGAAACTCCAGTGATAACGGTCTTGCCCGGCGTGGGTGGGCACGTTGACAAAGTGATATCGTGCAATGCTCTGTAGGCCTTATCTAGCTCCTGAGGGTCTTGGATGTCCTCAGCTACGAGGACTACGGCGTTGGGGTCGTGCATGGCGGCTTCGTACTCGAAGAAATAGCTAGCTATCGTGTCCTCAGGATAGGCCTCATAGTGCGGCCTTTGGTACTGGAACACAGGGGAGTAGAAGAATCCGGCGGCGGCGACGATGGCTATTCGGGGCAAGTCGTCAAGAGTCGCGAGTCTCACTTTGTCGAGCTGAGGAACTTGGGGGTCCATTTGGAAATGTGAACGCTGAGGGTGAAGCAGGGGCGATGTCGTCGGGTCGTGTGCACGGCGCGGTCACCCTATGATTGAAGATGAGTACCCAGAGGCTTGAGTCACTGTCTGAGGCACGGTACCGTCGATTGGCATACCTTCTCACACTGAGTTGGCAGCTCCGGAGTGGGTGAAGGGCAGTGCCAGCATAGTCACTGCCAATTGGAGGAGATAGGCACAGGTCGCGGACAGAGGAGAAGAAGCAGGATATGGATATAGAGGTTACTTATAGCCGCGATGGCCTACCGTCGGCACTTGGCCGCTCCCCTCGGATAGATAATGCAGCGGGCCGTACAGCATCTGCTTTTTAGAGGCAGGCTGTCCGCGCCCAAGGGGAGGGCAAGACATATCCCATTCAGCGAGGATAGCCGGGCACGTTCTGGCAGCGCTCGATTGGCTTCGCCGGACGGGCTGGTATCTATCGCGCTGCAGATGACTCGCATGAGACATGGTCGCTCGGTGCTACAAGCTACAAGGAGTCGGCGCGCTGGAGATGCGTCGTCGACGAGGTTGAGGCCGATCGGTGAAAGACGCCCGCAACCCGGCCACGGCCAGCCTGGAGACCTGGCGCCCCTGCATGCCGGGGGCGCTGGCTTCACGGACGGCACTGCTGTGTCGCCATGGCGTCGCGCTGGCGCAGGGCGACCGCGCAGAGGGCCCAGACGGGGCTGGCATGGTTCCAACAGCGCGTCGGGGGGGATCCGCACGTTGTGTGGTTGACAGAAACGAGAAGCCGTTCGCACCCCCAGACCCCCACGCCTCAGCTCCGTGGGCTGGGCGACGGCGAAGGCTTGCCCTCACCGCCTGACTGCCCAGGGGCGACGCTGAGCGACGACAGAGCGACGACAGAGCGACGAAAGCGACCGCGAAGCCACGCTGCGACTCTGCGACTCTGCTGCTGTCTGTGCCCGGCTCGGAGCGCTCTCGGACTGCGTCGTGCAACCTCCATCGCCCTCAAAGCGCCGCAGAGCCGCATCCTCGTCCCCAGCATCACGACGTTGACCCGCCCTCACCGCCGACGGACCCCCCGACGCACCACTCGCCGACCCAGCGCCCCATAGCATGACTATTCAGACTCTTCACCGGTTACACAGGACGCTTCCTGCGCTTGGAGCCCGCTGAGAATCCTCTTGCCCCACCGCTCGCCATCTGTCGCCCGCCATGACCGTCCACCACTGGCACCCGCCCGTATCGGATGCCCACCGAGGGGACACTATGCAACTTTCAGTTGGCGACCCCTCCGTGTGGTTTGAGCACCAGCAGTCCCAGCCGCTGAACGGTGAGGAAGACCCGAACCCGTATGCTTCGACCCGCCAGCAGCAACCAAGCACAGCACCGCTCTACTTGCCGCCAGACGCCGCTCCTGGACTGTCTGCCATCCCGTGGGCCCCGTCGTACGCGACGAGTCTTGCCCAGGAAGCACCTGGCGCGCCCACCGGACTTGCGTCTTTTCCAATTGACCTCCCAGAACAGACGTTCCAGCAGACCGGCTTCACTGGTGTGGAGTACCCGGGCTTTCAAGGCGATGGATATGGTTTCGGCGCAGCCCCTATGTATGGGCATAGAGGAGGCGATACTCTCACTATGTCCGTTGAGACTAGTAGAGATATAGAGGTAAACTTTCACCTGTCAAGTCCCCGAGATCACGATGCTAAACACCAGCAGCATCACCCCATCAATACCTTCGCATCGCTCCCCTTTGCCTCACATTCCCCCGATTTCGTGTCACCTCCTCACCCCCTGCAACCACCGTCGTTCCTACGCCACCAGCAGTATCAGCCGCAGCCGCCAATATGCAGCCAACCGGACAATGACACAAGTCTCATGCCTACGCAACACTACATTGAGCACTGGAGCCACGCGAATGCCACCGGTATACCTGGTCATCTGGCCAACAGCGCAGGCAGCTTATCTAGTACGTCATGGGACGTGGTTAGTGGCATGCCGAGCGCTTCAAACACACCCATACAGGAGAAGTCTTCCGATTCTGATGACCAAGAATGGGTCAACGTGGATGGCCTTCGATCAAGTCACACAGCGTCTCACTCGCCCTTACACAAAGTTGAGACCGCCACCTCCTACTCGCCGCCCTTCTTCCCTCTTCAATCACCCATACAGTCCATTAGCGAGGAACAAACTTCGTCAAGACCCAAGCTTCCCAAAGTTGCGTCTTCTTTTACCCAGCGAGCAACAAAGTCCAAAGTTTGTAAACGAAAAGGCAAAATGAGTGACGAGGGCCGTGCTAAGGCTGCTGAAATGCGGAAAAATGGGCCGTGTATTCGTTGCAGGCTATACAAACTTGGGGTATGGTGGAGTCTTCTAGTCAACTTGATTATCTGACTGACAAGTCTAGTGCGATGGCAATAACCCCTGCAAACGATGCTTGAAGGTCACCGATAGTGCTCGCTCTTTTCTGGAGCCATGCTCTAGGGCGAATTTGGACTCCGTCAGTCTTGTTCGACACAGTAAGGCCTGCCCTTTGGCTTCTTGTATCCCAGCTGACGTTTATGCAAGGCAACGGGCGGTTCAACCAAGTCAACGTTACCTTCAAGAATTATCGCTGGATCAACGTGGACGAGAGATGCTTGAGAATGGACATTCAATGGAACCTGCCTGGCTGTATTCCAATTCGCGGGTCCCAAATCGCTGTCCATTTTCGCACTTATCGAGAAGACCCGTCAAATGACTTGAATACCACCACATACCACTGGCAAGTAGGCGGAAGTCCCCAGAGGGTTAAAACGCAGCCCTATGCCATCTACGACACTGAATCGTTAGTAAAAGACGTCGAGATCTTCATCGCCGACAACCAGGCAGAAATGGAAAGGTGGATCCTCAATCGTTCACAGAGCGACCCTTTGACGGCGACCACTTATGAAGAAGCCATGAGGTATCGATCAAGTCCTGGAAGTTCCATGATCACGATGGCTCTACAAATGCAGTGTGGCGCAATCATGTCTCAGGGCTTCGGCTCTGCAATAAACGGGGATATTCGCGGGATTGACGAAATTGACTATCGCCGATTCGGCGAATGTGGCTATTCTGCATACGATAGGAACCTTGATCGACCAATCCCACAGGCAATGGGTCACCAATTAGATGTTGCCATCCTCAAGTACATCAACAAGGTGCAGAAAGAGCTCCTGAGAGAAATTCGCAGGAAGATCTTTCAACCTGGCATCAAGCCGTGGTACGAGCTATTCCTTACGTTCTTCATCTTGCTCTCCAATCTAGAGTACATTCATGATGGAGCATTGGGATACCTCAGATCCAAGAGGAAAACGGTAAGCGTCCCTTGCTCTTTCCGACTCTACACTCGCAGTACTGACTAATAGCCACGCAGATGCTCGAAAGTCAGGTCAGCTATGTGGTGAAGAGTCAAGTACAGGAGTGGGAAGTCTCTGCGGGGGTAATGCTTCAGTATTTTCGCTGCGTGCTACGAGGCTTCTTACCATTTCAATTGGCGCGCGACAATCTTGATGAGCTCATTCATCAGGCAAAGCTTGATCCAACTTCTGTTCACTATGTCACAAACGCCGTGCATCTTCTAGATCAGCAGCGTAAGTCTTGCCATTTGACCTTCGACTGCGACATGACGAGGACTAAGAGTACTAAACGCGACCAGGAACATCCCTCGCTGAAAAGCTAAACGCGTCCCCATCCACGGAGATCAATGTATCGGCCAAGTGGATCCCACAGCTATTCAACGAGGCATACGCTTGATTAGAGACCCCTCACGATTTAGCTTTCTCACCAAACTTAGCGAGCTCTAACATCGAATAGCTTGACGGCTATCCAGTATTCTCCAAGTTGGCATCTCTCAGGGATAAAGAGCAATATCTAGTCTGCTAGAAGAGAACCGACATTAACTTCGTGTGGCCGTCGCATTGAAGAGAAAAACTGCTAGCTGTTTACATTAGGATGACTACTACCAAACGAATTATATGAGTGAGTCCAAATATTCGTCAACGTCGTTAAGACAAGCTGTGTACCGTTCAATGAACTAATCCAGATAGCCAAGCCGTGGGGATATCAAGCATCAGATAGCCACCATGTACGTCCGTTGCAACTTGCGGTCGTGTTAGCCGTGACTCTCACGACCTGTGATCTTCCGCCAGGGATCCATGTCGAGGATTGGAAGATTCTGTTCTCGGCCTATCGCGAATGGGTCCTCGAATTTTGGAAGATATCCGTAAGGCTTACTCCACGCGTTTTTGGGGTCCCTGAGAAACATTCGCAAAAGGTGTCTTCCACTTCTGCCCTGGGATGGCTTAGTTCCATAAGCCGAACGAGCATGCATGATGCTCAGATTATGGATGAATTGAATGTCTCCGTTTCGCCGATCGAGCTTCGTGCCAAAGCGGCGAGCTAGACCCTCGACAACCTCCAGCGCGTAAATCTGATCTATGGAAAGTGGCGGCATAGACTTTGACCTCGGGATCTTTGGACTTCCGAGCAATGGTGCTTTCACAAGCTGACAAATCGGCTTGCCTCCTGCTAGGAACATTGCTGGCCCAAGCTCGAGGTAAGGCTGCTTATGGACACTGTTCGACTCGACTTATCAGTTTTCATATCTTGGGATCTATTGCTTGAATGTACTCACGGATGTTTCAACTCGAAAGGCCAATTTGGTGCCGCAAGAGTCTCCAACGCATCTGGCGCCACATCCAGGAGCTCGTTGTATATTCGACAGAAGCTTGCGATGAATTGTTCACCGCCGCCGACACTAGAGCCATCGTTCCGTACATATAATGCTAGTACGTCTCCGGAGAATCGGTCGGCATGGAACTCCTGATGTCTCATAGATCAGTACTTGTTATGAGCTGCAGTAGTGCGCATGGACGTACCATTGCTGTTGGGAGCTTTGATCCTGCTAGGCCGAGCTCCCGTGCCCAGTCGGGAACTTTGTCCTGGGTGGCGTCGCGAATGTGACCTGAGTTGTCAGCACATTGTCCAAACCATTTCATATTGCGGTAGACACTCACTCAGAGTCTGATCGGCGAAAGAGTCTGTCGCCCTCTCGGGACAGACATGAGAAGATACTCCAGCGAAAGCAATCACAGCTTCTTCGTCGTTGAATCCCGCCGCATGCAAGCCTCGGACTACAACCACCCCTCGACCATTGTGGATTTCTTTGCTTAAAGAGGCCAGTTTGTTGACCAGCCCCAACTGTAATGGGAATGTCTCTTTGTCGATACGACTCCGAGGCAACCCAAGCACTGTTTCCTGTTAGCATTTGCATGGCCAATACACATGGTACTCTCAATTTCTTCAAGCTACAGTACGAGTGTCGTCTTCCAGAGTAGTCAACCTTGATGTTGCAGTCGTTCCCAATCTGATAGTGTACGTTGGTTCGGTTTAGCTTCTCTTACATTTGAAGGAAATGACGGCTGCCCTGATATTCTCAATCTCATCCGTCTCTAGCTCCACAACATATTCTTCGGGTGCGAGTTCACTGCCCTCCCACGCCAAACGACCGGTGACGGCCGGAGGCAGCGTGTCCGGTTGCGATTGAACCGAGTTCGAGGAGGCATGAGAGCGCAAGCTTTCCAGAGACGGTCTCTCACTTAAGCTCGAGTCGGACATGGTTGATTAACGAAGTAAATATTTAGAGGTTTCGAGACTAGTGCTCGGGGAAGTGGAAACGATGATTGCAAAACAGACGACACAGCTAGCCCTTCCATGGCCATGCCTATATGTACCCAGCAGACCTCCAAGCATGCTGATAACTTGACTGGCCGACAGAGCCTCAAGTTGCGGAAATCGAGCCGTCTCAGTACACCACTGAGAAAACGGTATACTCCAAATCCTGTGCCACAACCAGGGATCGCATTCACTTTGGCGTTTGGCCCGTCACTAGCCGTCAGCTGATGCTGCAGCGACGCGCTTTCCGGGAGATTACTCGGTTGCGTTGATTGTTTTTTCTTTCTCTATTCGTTATCCAGTTATGTCCAGCAAGGATAGCTATCGCAGCACTTGATATCGACACCGCCCGCTAGCTCCGATTTCTGGTTCCACCAACACGTTATCGATGTCGTTTTGATATACTCGTCCATACACCAGCCGCCATTGACCCACATGTTCTTTCTTGCTGCGAGATCGCCGCGGAGCGCTTGCTTACTGCTAGCTAGCTGTCTATGGAGCTGCCGTGGTCCCTCTTCCACGATGCAGGACGAAGTCTGGCTGGAGTGCTTGCATCCTGACAGTTAGTCCGGCGTTGCAAGCGTGGCCGCTACTGATTGCGTGGCCGGGCATCGCTGGCAGCCTTATATCAAACCACACACCCTTGTATCCTCGGGCAATCGGCGGCGATCAAGGCAGTTTCCAGCGAGGTGGTCCTGATCTAGGGTTCCTCGACGTCCAGCTCAGCACGATCCTCGGCACACCCAGGCAGCTCGCCGCCCACGTCTTGGACTGGCCATGGAGGGCGACATCGGTTAGGTCCAGCAGCTGCTGAAGCCCCGCTACGGCAGTTCATTATGCAGCCAATGCATCATGCTTTGCCTAGATCGTCACGCGTCCGGCGCTTGCTAGCATGACGCACGCTGCATACCCATGTGCAGCCGTTTCTCTCGTTGCTTTTGCTTTCCTTTCATCCCGCGTGGGGTTTGCTACCGCTCCCCAATACCAACGAGGCCCTCCAGCTTTTCGGATCCAGCTTCACGATGATAAGGCGGTGCACTGACCAGTCCGGTATAGGGCTGTCCACTGCCAAGTCAGCCTCGATATTCCTGGTTGCTGATTGATCCCGGCTGGTCCTCCACCACGAGTAATGTGCACAAAAGCCAAACGTGTCATTGGACGATCCGGCGGTATTCGTTGGAAAACCCGCCCTCTTTTTCCAATTGGCTGCAATTATCATCGTCGCGTCAGCGAATCCGGCCACACGCCGAATAGCTCGGCAGCCTTTCCTCCTCCTGCTCCTCTCAAGACTATCGGCACCACCACTAGCTACGTTCAAGTCCTAGAGCGAAACCGCCTCATTCCGGGTATATCCAGCAAGATATTCTCCGCTCTGCGACTGCAGTACGCCACCACGGAGCACCCATGCAGAGCTGATCACTTTGCATGCTGTCCATCAGCATTGCATTATCCCGGACAGGGACCTTCTCTAGCCCATGTGGACTACAAGCTCTCCAGAAACACTAGACCTCTAGTCCGCGCAATAGTTTCCTACTGCTGCTCCACTCAGCTCAGCTAGCCACCAACTACTTCTCACGACAGTCCTCTGGTGCGCTGTCAAATGCCCACCATCGTCGCCACCACGGGGCCAATCCCGAAGCCCCCATCTGGCCAGCGACCTCACCTGCACAGTCTATCACATCTCGACTCAAACACTCACCGAACACCCCTGTCCACCCAAATGCGCGCTGTCGTGCATGGCCGTGATAGCTGCCGCTCGCACTAATTTCCCCGGCAGGTCCGGATGCCATTCTCCCGCCCTAGCAGTGCGCAATCGAGAATCCCGTAGCTGGGAACTGGCGCCTAAATCAAAATTACCCGCCAAGCCTCCCCCCCGTGTCGTGCTCCACGTTGCTGTCCAAGCCACTGGGAGGGCTTCCGGCCGTCGTCCCGTCCCGCCTTGCCTCGCGCCTCGCACCGATACCGACCGAGGCTGTCCGTCCGGCCCACACCTACTAAAGGCTGTCGAAACCCCGCCCCGGGTTTTGACTCGTGGCGGCGTGCCGAGTGGTTGGCTTGCGGGCTGCGGGAAGTTCGATGTGGACGGGGGCCAAGAGCGCGGATTGGCGCGGCGCGGTGGCTGTGAGCGTGATGACGGCCAGAGCGAGAGGTGTGCGAGGGCAGATGACGACGGTTCGGGTGTGTGGGTGAGGTGTGAGCGCTGGCAGGTGAGCCTGTTGTGGGGACACAGTGAGGCGGGAAGCGGAGACGGCGACGGTCACCCCAGCCAGCTCAGACCACATGTGGGTGGTGCGCGAGAGGGCGAGCGGATTGGCGGCCGGATTGGTAATCCGACGAAATGCGCGGATGGTGGGCCACGCTGGTTTGCTGGATTGGTGCATTGGTCGGTGGTGGTTGGAGGAGCCAGTTATGTTTTGATGTTGTGGTGGACCAATTGTACGCTCGGCTTCTTCGGCAGTCGGGCCCGTGCGAGTCCGGGCCGGGAGAGGGCGGGCGGGCAGGTAGGTGTGGCCAGTGGAGTGGCGTTATTAGTGTAGATCTGGGTGAGGGAGAGAGGCGACGACCGGGTTGGTGGGATTGGGGATTGATGAGACGGCGAGCTTCAGACTATGGTGGAGGGACGGTATGGTGAGAACGAGTCTCTTTTTTCAGTTCGCTTTCAAATCAATACTTTGATGCTCTTTGCAAAGACCTTTCCAACCTGTTTTCTCAAGTCCGAGTCCTGTGCGAAAAAGTTTTCCGCGAAATACCCCTGAGTAAGCTCTTCGCACAGCGACCTCACAACCACCCCCCTCCCTGCCAAGCGCTGGGCGAGACCACAACTTCTGCTTTCGTACCCAATTCAACAGCTCTCGTGGCATCCAACGTTGCAAACCCTCCACTCTCGCAGGCCCGCTTCCATCTCGCCACGCAGCTGGAATACAGGCAACGTCTATTGCAGGCTCCGAGGTAATGCTCTCAGCCTAACGCCCCAAACTTACCTCCAATACCACGCCCGGCCCCCTTTCTATCTCAAGCAACCTCCTCTGCGCACTACGCTTTCGGTCTAAGACCGGTCACTGCACCCAGCCCCTCTCCCCACGCCCCTGTTTATCGGGGGTGTAGGTGCATACTATCGCAACCAACAACCCCACTTACGGTCTAGCCCCCTCTATATCGGGGAAGGGAGAGAGCCGGAAGTGAAGCCCCTACCACGCCTCTGGTTGACGTTCCGCTCTCGCTTCCGGTAAATCGATCTTTGAGGACAAGGGCGCGTTGGGATCAGGACGCACCGTGGGTCGCGCTTTCGGTCGAACTGGGAATTTTTGGACGGACAGCGTGTTAGGGGAGGGGGTGCGGGGTGGAGAGGAGTAGCCTGGCGGGCCATAGGGTCGAAGGGGCTGTGTAGAGGAGTGGGTTTAGACCGGGGGTGTGCTTGGTGTTACGCTTCTGCTTTTTAGTTACCGATCGTAGATTGGAGGGGGTTGTTGGATTATGCAACGTGTAGTGGGCATTGTTTTGGTTGAGATGGGGATGTTTCGACCGGAAGCGTGGTTGGGGGGCCAGGGTTTTTGGGATAACGACTGTGGGAAGGCGTGCGTAGAGGGGAGGGGTTTGGTGGGTTAGGGATGGATTTTGGATTGGGAGGGTGGGGAGTGTTAGAATGTAGGGGTTGCGCTTTTGGTGTGCAGGCAACTTAGATCTTAGGCCGAAGGCGTGTAGTATTAGCACGTTCCGTAGGGGTCGCGCTTTCGGTCGAAATGGTGATTCCAGGACCGGAAGCGGGTTCGGGGACGAGGCTCTCGGGATGAAGACGGTGGGTGAGTGATGGATCTTAGACCGAGAGGGTGGTTGATGTTGACACGAAAGGGCGTATGTTTTTGGTGTAACCGCTACTTAGATTGTAGACCGAGAGCGTGAATAGCATTAGCACGTTATAGAGACCACGCTTTTGGTGCGATTAGCAGCCTTCACACCGAAAACGGGGCTAATGTAGGCATGTGGATGGGGTGGGCTTATGGGCTTTTTTAGTACTATTAGTGCTTCTTAGGTCGAAGCGTAGTTGGTATTGCACACGGGGTGGCTACGCTTTCAGCCTAAGTAGTGCTTTCAGTGCCAATTGGACTGGAAGCGTGGTCGATTTTGCACGCGTAGTCGCCGCGCTTTCGGTACAGTTCGAGGATCTTGGACTTACAATGCAGTGCATATGAGCACGCATAATGGTTACGCTGACCACTTAATTAATACCGCTTAGATCGAATGCTTGCCGCTGTAGCTTTAAGGTGATGGGTTGATCTGACACACAAGTAGTTGTGAGAACAGTTAGGCAGAAGGACACGACATGCGAATAACTTATTGAAGCATACTTTCATTCGCTTTTGTAGATACCCGGAAGACCGTTCCAAGTCACTCCGTTTGGAAGATGGAAATAAGGTCGTTCAATAGCAAGGAAACGCCATGCAGGCATGGTACATTCTCCGCATGCAGCCATACAAATACATTACTCCGCCGTCAATCACGGTCCTCCCACCTTCATAGCACCCTCTTTCCAAATGAATCACTAAGTGGTACTATCGAACCCGTTAGTATGGGTACATGTATCGCACGCGTGGGTGCAGAAGGTAGGGCAAACTTACTCACAATAGCCCAATAACTATATCACCCTTGACTCGCGCATAGATCTCAACCTATCCCAATCGTCAACTCCGGTCCACACCAAAGGGTGCGCTAGCACGACACTCATGATGCAGGACTTACATATCTACATAAGTCCGATCGTGATGTCGCCCTTCACGCGGGCATAAATTTCTACCTCAACTTCCAAGTCCAGCTCGATCTTGATCTTCAGTGACGAGTCTTTCTCGCCGACTTTGGCGGGGCGGTCCGCAATGCGCGATTGGTGCACCGGGACGATTCGCTTGGAGCCTCCGCGGGGCTTGGCTGCAGAGTGGATTAGTATGAGGATGATGGTTGGGTGGGAGGTATCGGATGGCGGAGTAGTGTTAGAACGACGTGAAGTGACGTGGATGACATGAGTAGTGTGAGAGAGGATTGGCTACATTGAAAGTAGATGTAGGTAGTGAAAAATTGGAACGAACCCATTGGTTGAGGAGCGGTGGGTGCTGCCAGTTGTTGGTCGTTGTTATCGCCATCCTCCGACATCTCGTCAGTGGAGTCGAGGTTCTGTTGCTTGTCCTTGCTGAAGTTCAATGTTAGCTACGTGGGAGACATAGGACGCGTAGTCGTTGATAGGATAGTACGGACGTCTTGGTTTGAGACATGGCTGTATGATTCTGCTTCCTCTGCGGGTAATCAGGAGGGAGGACCGTGATGAGGGATGGAGGCCGAAATTTGCGGCGTAGTTTTGAATTGGGATTGATGAATGGATAGTTGCTGATGAGAAGAGAAGGTTCAAAGCGAAGAAAGTAGTGTTTATGAAGGCTGGCGCAGAAGGTCTAGCCACTATGACGACGCCGCGTCAAGCATCGTTTCTTGGTACCATCCTTCCCTGGGGCACACTCACAAGATCTCCAAGGTATGGCGAGCATGCATGTCAGCGCGGCGAACGGTTCGAATAGGAAGAAGAGCGCGGATGCTGGTCATTAAAATCCTGCTTCTGGTTCGCAGTCTGAGATATCCGCAACCACGTGCCCGGATCATACCGGTGAACAGTTCATCTTGCCTTCATTGCACCGATTTACAGGGTCCTTGTGCTTCAGCATGCATGCGCAAGTGGATCATCGTGCACCACTCGGCACACCAGACCCTGATCCACAGCGGCGCCGGAGTGGAACCCCGCGATTCTACTCGAGGACCAACTTTGATGGTGGGGATCCTTGCAAGCTTCCAAGATTTCTGTATCTTTTCTGAGACACTCGTGGTGGGTCCACTGTCTGTGGTACTGATCTTAGGATAATCCGGCAAATGGCCGTTTGGAGGCGTCTCCGGGATGCGGGATGACGACGGTTACACAAGGTATACGATGACAGACCCTTGAAAGGTTTGAAAGCCTTGTCGATGGGGAGGCAGCTGTTTTCGCCGTTAACTATGTTATTCAGGACATCGCCAGCTCACCAAGCTCGGATGAAGGCGGCAGGATGCGTGACTGCTCACCCGTTGCTTGTTCGGGAGGAACATACTTGGGAGGGCTGGAGTGCGAGACGATGCTTGGCACATATGAGCAGGGGTGAGCAGCGCACGGACATTCGGTAATCTTGCTTTTGGATCTAACAACCCCTGGTCAAGCACGAGCACTGCAGAACGTCGTCATGGGGCGGAGTGGGCAGACAGTCTGGCATGGTGCGCGGGGATGGATGAATGCCCATGGGACACTGCACGGGAGGCGTTGTGTCTCGTTAGAACTTGAGTTTAACGTTGCTCTTGCTGCTTGTCTTGCCGGTCAATCTCAAATCTGTGTCATTCAACGTTTCCATCTCATCATTCCTTCGTGTTGACTTGTCGAACCATTACCTCAAACGTACAGCTCAAACACGAAACAAGATGGTTCTAGGAATTATGACCGCCATAGCGGCGTGTCCAGCCATTATCGGCACGACAGAAGCTGTGAGATCGGGACAGAACAAAAACGCCAAAGAAAAGCATCGGGGCGTGAAGTCAAACCTCATAGTCGGATGTTTCAGCAGATCAAGGAGCGCCAGCGAGATAAATGGCTGCATGGTGGTGTTGCGAGATAATAAGGTACTTGAGCCGCTCCAAGACTGCTCAAAACTTACAACCACTAAATATTTAGCTCTATATTGCCTCGCCAGACGCCACTCGCTCGAAGCCTGGAGGCCACCTTTTCGCCGGCTATTTTCTTCCATTTCCCGAGGAGAACTGGGGCCGTAAAGGCGAAGGCATGGTCACCACCATCTCGGACGACCCACCACAACTCAACTGGGTGTATATGGATTCTTTTACTTGCGAGCTCAAGTATGGGCTGCGCGTTGACGCAGAGCCAAACATCGTAGGGCCGTGGACGGTGACGCCGATTGAACGTCGCACTACACTAGATGGATGGGAGGGGTTTATGGCAGTGAAGGAAGATGATGGGTCGTGGGCGCTCTATTTCGACTATAACGACGATGGGTTGTCGGGGTTCGCTGATGGCAAGAAGAAGATGGAGGTGGAGTTGACAAGGAGAGAGAGGAGGGTTGCAAAGGAGTATGACGACGAGTGAATGTTGAGCTAAAAGTGAATCTTTTTTGATATTAGCGGGCGAATGGCGTTGGGAAGCACTCATATTCCCCGTATATACCCTGTACTGTAATCGCTCTTTTGATGTGCTTCTTGAGCGAGCTTGATAGTCACTAATCAGGTTTTCATACATATGCGGACTTTTCCAGCATACTATGACGCGACAGATGAACGACCTATCAGTGAGGAGAGGATTTCAAAAGACTAATTAGCTATGTGATACGAAGCCCCGGTAATGGGCCACTATCACGCTAGTAACATGTTTGCTCGACGGGAATATGCATCTGCCTCATTAGGCTTCAACTCGCGTAGAGCTAGAGATACCACTCTTTCCCAAAGGTTATGTACGAAATAACTCATTGAGAGTTCCCAGGAAAGTAGCTGAAATCCCTACTCGTCCGTTCAGAGTTGTCCCTTCTGGGATCCTTTCCTTTTGCCCTTTTATGCGATCCTGTTTGCATCAATACATTTTGCTAAGCTTAGCTTTGGGTTCGAGACGCAAGTTAACCGGGAAACTTTTTTGCATGAGTAGAACATGAAATAATGTCACAGTCGAATATTCCTGACATTAAGTGAGACGAAAAGAATCTCTCGAAATGCAGTCAGATGCCAGACGAATAAAATAGCTAAAGACGATGCTGACAAAGTCTGGAATTTCTACAGTGATATACAAAGGTACAGATCTTATATGTACAAGCTTACGAAACAACTGCCGGAGTCGAGACAACTGCAGGTGTAGCCGACGGTAACCTCGCAGCGGTCTCCTCAAGTGGCAGCTTCCTCCTCGGCCTCCTCAGATCAGCCTCCGTGATACCATTTAATCCAACCTTCGTGATACCCATTACTGGCGGGTCGCCCTTCTTCACGAACTCATATAAACCTATGAGTTTGTCAGCCTTGCTTTCTCCATTCGGACTTCAATACAGGAAATTGCAAAAGTCCAACTCACCAGGTAATTTATTCCCAGCCAACCGAAATGCATCCTTCACAACCTGCTCGTGCAAATCACCCTGAATCTCAAACAAAATTTTGCTGACTGCCACTCTGCTTGCCCAATGGTCGAAACTGCCCTTTCCCTTTCCCATTCTGCTCTCGTTACCACTCGTGTATACACCAATGTTCGCGGCGATCCGCATATACAGGCGGAACTTCATTCCACGTAGCCGCTTCCTGATGGTCTCTTCGGCAATCTTCAGCTGATGTGCGGATATGCGCCGATCGTGGTCGCGCATTCGCAACCCATAGTCACCCCAGACAACAGTCGTGCCGCGCGTGCTTCCGCCGGTGGGAACGCGGCAGCGGCCTTTTCGGGACTTCTTGTTTTCGCCACCTTTCGGCATGAGCCAGTTGAAGCGGGTTGGAGTTGTGGAGAAGGCGCGGATGGAGGATCGGAGGAGTGGTTGAGGCCGGGGGAGAACTGTGAATGTTTAGCTTCTACCCAGATGGAGGATATTGGGACTCGTACGTCTAGGACGCACTGGCGAGACTGCCAGCCGACTCAATTGAGCCGTTAACAACGGACATATCCTCGGGGGGGGCATGGCTGCTGGTTGTGGGCGATTGAGCCGTGGTGGTGAGCTTTCAGACGGAGGTTTGATGAAATATATTACGCCAAGCATTGATGATAAATACAGCTAGCGTCGTAATTTAATAAAGTGCAGCTCGTCGCGCTTGCCCGTCCGGCGTCATGGACGCGTCGAGTTCCTTCCCCTCAACGTGAATTTTATTACCTCCATCATTTGCCAACACCACAACACTGTACAACAATCGCCGTTGTAGCGTCGTTTGCCCATCGATTCCGCTGTCCAGGAGGCCTGTTTGAGTACGTTTGGCGCTATGCCGGCGGACATTCGCAGCTTTTTTGGCGGTGGCGCGCAGTCGAGAAGTCAGGGGAGCCAGCAGAGCCAAAAGCCGCCTTCGAAGAAGGTAGAGGTGTGATCTACTGTTCTTCACTTCCTCCATGACTCTTTGCCCTGCTGTTCCTTGTCCACCCTCCAATTAGGCAGCGCTGACATGGCACGTACGCGATTACAGACCAGTACGAAGAAGAAGCCTGGCAGGCCCGCTCGGAAAATCGTTGAGGACTCTGATGATGAAGAGGAATATGAGGAGAAGTTCGTGGTTTCTAAGTGAGAAAATAGTGTTGGACTGACACCTGCTAGGCCAAAGAAAGCTACCCCGAAGAAACCGACACCAAAGAAGCAGATGTAAGCCACACCTGTCATGGTATACTGATTGGCAGGACTAATGTCTCTTGTGTCTGCAGAAAGCGAGCCCCATCTCCGGAAGGTGAAGCGACCACTACATCAGAATTCTTTGGTAGCAAAAACAAGCCAAAGCGGTCCGAGGTGGTAGTCAAGCCGAAGAAGACTAACGAATCCACCCCCAAGCCCACACCCTCGAAACTCAATGGCAAAACTACGAAAGCTCTACCAGTTACACCGTCTACCAATGGCAAAACCTCTGCTCGGGCAAAGAAGCCAGTCACGTACGCTGCGCTGAAAGACGAAGATGAGGACTTCTTCGACGACGATCTCGATGGTGGAGACGATATATTTACCGCTAATTTCAAGAAGAACGGGAAGAGGGACGATTATGTTGAGATCGAGGATGATGAGGATGATGATCCCATTGTTCTGCCGGTTCGTGCCACTCCGAAGAAGAGTGCCCAGAAGAAGTCTATCAAAGATGAGGATGATTTCGAGCCCAACGAGGATATCGATATGAAGGACGCAGACCCGGAGGATGATGAGCGTATATTGGTCGACAAGCCTGCGAAGGCCAACGCGAAGAAACCTCGTGCTACCCTAAAGCGCAAATCAGTGGAACTTGACGATGAGGAAGAAGAACCTCCGAAGAAGGGTCGAGGTCGGAAAGCTCAAGACGCCAAGAAGTCACCCGTAAAGAAGAAGGCGAAGAAAGAGGATGCTACCGAGAGCTCTGCAGTCCAGGCAATTTATGACAGCATTCCACTCGTTCGCCCCCCAACTCCACCCCCCCAGAATGAAGAAGCGGCTAAATTCAAATTTGGTGGAGGCAACCAAGGTGCTCAGCCCACTGGTGGTAGCATGGAAATGCCTACTGGAGCTGAGAATTGTTTGGCTGGCTTGACTTTCGTCTTCACTGGGGTCGGTCAGTTTTGGCAACGAGAAGAGGCGCAAGCCCTGGTAAAGAGATATGGTGGCAAGGTCACCACAGCGCCGAGTAAGAAGACGAGCTATGTGGTACTCGGCAGCGATGCGGGACCGAGCAAACTTCGTAAGATCAAAGAGAACGGCATCAAGACAATCGACGAGAACGGACTTGCGGAGCTAATCCGTCGCTTGCCTCCAAACGGCGGTGACGGGAAAGCGGCTGCCGAGTACGAGAAAAAGCTAGCAATTGAAGCAAAGAAGATCGAAGAGGCTGCGGCTGAAATGGAAAGAGAGGAGCGAAAGCAGGCAGCCCAGCGGAAGAAGGATGAAGACATCAAGCAAAAAGCGCTTGGTGGAGCGAGCGCCAGCAAAGCGCCATTGCCTGCCGCTAAAGGCAATGAACCGGAGGTGGACAGTAGGCTCTGGACTGTCAAATATGCACCGTCTAGCCTTGGCCAGATCTGTGGCAACAAGGCACCAGTCGAGAAATTGCAGCGTTGGCTCAACAAATTTCAGAAGAATCAGAAAACGGGCTTCAAAATGGCTGGTCCGGATGGTAGCGGCACCTTTCGAGCAGTCATCATTCACGGACCACCTGGTATTGGCAAGACGACTGCAGCACATCTGGTTGCGAAGCTAGAAGGTTATGATGTTGTCGAAAGCAATGCTAGTGATACCCGAAGCAAGAAGATGGTTGAAAATGGTCTCAAAGGAGTCCTGAGTACTACATCTCTCCTGGGTTACTTTTCTGGTGATGGGAAGCAGGTTGAAGCGTCCAAGAAGAAACTGGTCCTGATCATGGATGAAGTCGACGGAATGTCAGCTGGAGATAGAGGTGGTGTGGGAGCTTTGGCTGCTGTTTGCAAGAAGACTCAAATCCCGATGATTCTCATCTGCAACGACCGCCGCCTCCCGAAGATGAAGCCTTTTGATTACTGCACCTTCGATCTGCAGTTCAGACGGCCGACTGTCGACAACATTCGGTCGAGAATCTCCACAATCGCGTTCCGCGAAGGCTTGAAGCTTCCGCCGAACGTCATCAATGCACTTATCGAAGGCAGCCACGCAGACATTCGACAAGTGGTCAACATGATATCAACAGCCAAACTAGACCAGACATCCATGAATTTCGATAAAGGGAAGGAAATGTCTAAGTCCTGGGAAAAGCACGTTATTCTTAAGCCGTGGGACATCACGAACAAGATCCTTGGCGGCGGCATGTTCGCCGAGAGTAGCAAGGCAACGCTTAACGACAAGATCGAGCTGTACTTCAACGACCACGAGTTTAGCTATCTCATGCTGGAGGAAAACTACTTGGGAACCAACCCCATGCGAGCCTTGTCGTATCAAGGGCGTGAGAAGAATCTTAAGCAACTGGAACTTGTCGAACAGGCCGCAGAGAGTATCAGCGATGGTGACCTTGTTGATAGGATGATTCACGGCTCACAGCAGCAATGGAGCCTCATGCCAACGCACGCCGTTTTCAGTTTTGTCCGGCCAGCCAGCTTCGTTTCGGGTAGCTTGGCAGGCAACCAAACTCGCTTCACGTCCTGGCTTGGGAAGAATAGCAATCAGCAGAAGCTCACCCGTTTCGTCAAGGAGATCCAAGGACACATGCGACTGCGGTCTTCCGGTGACCGCCATGAGATACGGCAGCAGTACATTCCTGTACTCTGGGAGAAAATGGTCAAGAAACTCCAAGTTGAAGGAAAGGAGGCGGTGCCAGAAGTTATCGACCTCCTGGATAGCTATTTCCTCACTAAGGACGACTTCGACGCAATCATGGAGCTGGGAGTTGGGTACATGGATCAAGAGAAGGTGAAGCTGGAGACGCAGGCGAAGGCTAGTTTCACGAGAATGTAAGTTTCCCGTGCTGAGATATACTTGCGGTTATAGCTAACGTGATCATTTCTAGGTACAATCAACAGTCCCACCCGCTTTCATTCATGAAAGCGAGCTCGGTTGCGGCGCCCAAAAAAGCGGCGAAGGAAAAGCCGGATCTTGAGGAGGCTATCGAGGAATCTGACGAGGAAGAGGTTGTCGAGGAAGCAAAGGACGATGACGACGACGCTGATCTGAGCAAGGATAAGTACGTCAAGCAGCCGAAGAAGAAGAAGGCTCCCGCTGGTAAGGGTAAAGGAAAGAAAGTGAAGGATGAGGACGACGACATGGATATCGATGAGGACGTCAAGCCGAAACCGAAGGCGAAGGCAAAGGGACGCCCGAAGAAGACTTGAGTCACGTTGAGTAGGCGCTTTCGTTATGTCGACTAGCCGGGATGCCTTCTCTCTCGAAGCATATTTTCTGGGTAGCTATGTCGTTATGGTGGTCCTTTCTGCAGCATATTTGGCGCTTATCTGCCTTGCGACATCATCTCCTTGTTAAGGATGGGCTGACAAGAGGCTGATGCGATATCTTGTATAGTGTCTACACTATTCGCACTACTCGCAATACTCGTAGGATAGGCCGTTAATCTTGAATACCTTTTCCAGAGCCTACATTGCTTCGCTCAACATGACTTTCAAAGATATCATCATTTACATTACGCAAGCAGTCACAGTAGTCGTCAAAATACCACTAAACACTTAGATATAGCTACTCAATTTAACTGGAATCTGCAGGTTAAGTTTTAGCTCGATTGGCCCAGAGCTGCGTGACTCGGTTGTGTCGAATTCACCGTTTCAGATGATGACGGCTTGGCGGAGGTAACAGCTTTTCAGTCCTGGGCTGACTGATTCTAGAATGAATAGGTAAGTGCAAAAGAGCCTAGGGTGCTTACTTGGAAAGTTTGAGGAGGATAGCTTGAGAGCTGCGGGTGTTATCGAAGAGGAAAGATAGGCTGATGGTCTCAAGGTCACGTGCACAAATGCGCTAATTATGTAAGCATGGGCTCCCATGTGGGTCAACTTCTCTCTCAATTACACGCCCAAAGGACAGGGGGGCATGCTAGAGCACTCGGGCAATATCTAAACCCTTATGAGACGATGGAGAGACGGAAGAATAGTACGCCGCGAATCATAGTTTTTCAAAGAGTACCCAATAAACCAAATCAGCGCTCACCGCTCCTGTAGATGTCGCTACCCATGCTGCAATCCCCCGTTTCCCAAGCACCGTAACACAACTAAATTCCAAGAGCAACCGATTATACTCATTTCTTCCGTTTATCAGACCGCTCTCTAGACCCCTCGTACTCTCTCCGCTCATTCGCCTTCTCTACGATCTTGACGGCTTCGTCCATGACATCACTCCCCACCCGCCAGCTGCGCAGCAAAACGCCCTTATCGCCAAGGATCTGCTCAGCCCGCGCCCACCGCTGTCGCCAAAGCTGCTCTTTCTTGTTCATGCCTTGCCCGTTTCCGCCCCCGTTGCCGCCGTTCGTACCAAGAGTCGAGTCGTTGTTTCGGGAGGGGTATTGCTGAGAGGACGTCGTGCTGTACGCATTGCTTTGAGACTGAGAGATATTGAGATTGCTGCTTGCAGCGGGGTTGCCGCCGCTCCATGCACCTTGCACTTTCGACGAGGCGTATGAAGCGGCGGCGACGGGGTAGGAGGCTATCGCCCTCCGCGGCGGTGGGGGAGGCGGCGCTGTGCGTTTCGTTGACGCTTCGGAGGATGTGCTCATGCTGCGCACCGAGTCGCTGGTGGGTGATGTCTGGTCCTGTGGTGTTCCATATAGGTATGAGGAGGCGGAAGGGAGATTGTTGTATGCGGACGCGAGTTTCTGGCGGGCGGAGTCCCTGTAGGAATATGATGGCTCGGCGCGCTCTGTGGGTGGCTTTTGTGCTGGTCTTGGTTTGGGGGATTGAGTCTGGACTTGGTTGGTTAAGGGGCTGGATCCGTGGATGGAGTTGGATGGACGGCGAGGTTTTGGGGGTATAGGCGGCTTTGATGAGGTTGTAGAGGATGCAAGCGGTGCTTCTTCGTTCGAAGTACTACGCAATGCAACAGGCTTCCGCGGTAGCTTCGGTGGCATCGACTTTGCACTGGAGGTCGAGGCTACGGACTTACGCTTCTCAGAATCCTCAACCTCAGCTGAAGTATGGACACGTCGAAGTGGCGATTGGTTATGGAACCCAGGATCCTGCTCACCGTCCGAAAAGTCTATGAGATTCTCCTGCGGTTCTGGCTGACGTGGCTGTGTTGATCTACGAGGTGGCAGCTGAGGTCTCCTCTCTGGGGAATCCTCCTCGTGAGGCCACGAATTGATGCCCTTCTTGTTCTCTCGTTCCATGTCCTTAAGTGAAGCAGAGATTGCTGCCTTGAGATGAGGGTCGTCATCTTCTTCCATGGGTGTCAATGAAGCAGTCGCTCGGCCATTCCTCCCACCTTGCGTACCTGTACTTGACGACCTCTCGCCAGTCAAAGGTCCCATTGAGGAATCAAAGAAGCCCCCCTTGAACGTAGGTGTTGTTACGTCTCGAATGAAAACTGCCAACACCCTTCCCGGGTTTTCTTGAACAAAGTCTGTGTAGACTTCGAGATCAGCTTCTCCACTGTCGCCCACAAGAATGAAGCTCCTCTCCGGAAAGTCTCTGGCAATCTTATCGAGTGTGCCCTTCTTTCTTTCCGCAACTGGCTCGAAGATACCTTGTAGCATGCCATTGTATTGCTTGAGATGAAAGGATCCGGATGGAAGGCCAGCCAGTGTGAAAAACTTCGTTAAGACTGGGTAAAGCTGCCAAGGCGAGTTGGAAACGTAGTGGAACTTCACGCCCATATCAGCCATTCGATTGTACCATTCTGTAACGCCTTCGATGGTCAAATCGCCGAGTTCGCGAATAAAAGCGTTACGGAAAATCTCGCGCGCACCGCTGCCGATTGCAGAGTGTTTGATAGTATCATCGATGTCACTGATGAGACTGATGCCCGTGGGATCGGTTATGACCACCTCCGTCGTAGCAGAAAGACGTTCCGATGCTATTATCCGTACATGAGTTGGGATAAAATCTAAAGCTGCACGGACGTTGAAGTGGCCAGCCGCGTTGGTGTACACCGTTCTCTGCTTTGACGTATCCTCGTTATAGAAGAAAACGCTAATGGGCTCATTCGCCATAGGGTTCGACATGAAAGGTTTTAGTCGCGCCATTAGATGGTTGTTTGCTTCTGTAAGCTCAGTAGGGCTCATATTTGCTGGTTGATTCCATGATTGCCGTTTCTGCAATGGAGTTATATCGTCATCTTTCAAGGAATTCAAGGACTTCAAAGAGGCGGCGTGCTTCAGTTGATGTGACCCTTTTCGTGAGTGTTGTGCAGGCGAATCGTATGGGCTGTCCGAATCGTCATCTCGAGCAGCCTCACTATACCCGCCCTTGGCCGCAATAGCACCCTCTTTCTCGCCTTTCATTAGAATAGCGTCGGCTTCTTTGGCAACCATGTCTTCGTCCCGTCTCGCTGCTCTTTCTTGGTGGCCACTGTGCGGACTCGGATTCCGGCTGCTGTCGCTGCTCTTGGCTGGAGGTGCATTTATACCAACAAGGCTCCTCGCAACCCCTACAAATAGGCGGTGCTTTCGAGTTAGCTGTCCCTTGTGAGGAGAATATATCCACCCGCGTACATCGACATCCACAATGGCATTATCGTCCTCATAAGCCTCCCACTGTTGTTTCCAGAACTCAGCATCTCCAGCACCAACTGAGTCTCGAACATCTCGTCCGTCGCCCGGCGTCTCCTGAATTGTTCCAGGCTCCGCTTGTGGCTTCTTCTTGATATGCTTCCTGGAATAACTCGGAAACAAGATCATCTCTTCCTCTCCACTTCTGACCACTGCAGCATCCGGAAAGGCACCTGGCGTGCCGTCATCTCCATCCTCATACCGCATATCCCGGTTACTGCTCCATCCTTGGGTGTAGCTCTGCTGGTAAGACTGCCGCAGCTCATTTGCCGCCTTTAGATAGCCCGCCAGTTTCTTCCTCCTCGCTCCAGGCTCCCGTCCCTCGGACCTATACCCGCCCATGTCTTGACCAGCACCAGAACTCTCCATATCGTAGCCGTTAGAACCACGCGACTGGTTCATCATGCGCCGTCGGGCGACAACATCGTCTCTATTAGAAGTAGTTGTAGGGCCTGGTCTTAGCAGGTGCCGTCCGAAGCTGCGGAGTTGCTGGATGATGCTCTGTGGGTCCTTTGCCTTCTTGAGCTTTGTAGCTTGGCGGTAGAGGATATATCTGCAGATACGGGACTGGGCCCTATGCTTGAAATTCGGGATGGTCTCGTGGCGGAATCGTGAGAGCTGAGCGCGTGCTCGGGTGCGCGTGGATGGGAAGATGTAGCGGAGGAGAGAGGAGGTGGCGTGGGATGCGGGCTTTACGCTGCGGCGGAGAGAGGGCGGAGGAGCCACCTTGGGCTAGAGGAGAGTGATGTAGGTTCGCGCGTTGGAGATGTGCATGTCAATGGTGCAGGCTGTAGAGCATGGAGAAGTTGAAAATACCATATTGGCTGGGACGTCATGGGGCGATCATTGGGACGGAATTGGGCACGGGCCATACTCATCTTCAATATTGCCAAGTTTGATGGAAGTCTCAGGGGTAGCTCCGATAATTGTAGATATGTATTGGATTCTTACTGCATACATTATACGATGCTCTAACGAGGGTGTCCATTCTGTGCGCAAAACTTATCGAGGCCAAACATGATATCTAAAGACGAGGTGTATCTCAAAAGGCTGCCGTATTCTATTCATAACTTCTAAGATTCGGTATTCTAGGAAAGTAAGGGGATGTGGGATTGCGATCCAAAAAACACTATTTCACTCCTTTGGCGGCCTCAATGATCGAGTCTATACTTCCAACATCCTTCCTCAGCGCACCTATGACTTCAGTCCAAATCTGCTCCCGCAATTTTTCTCCCTCTTCGCCCTGAAGTAGCGGTGGATCTCTGCAGAGACGTCAGCATCGTATATAAGTACAGGGCAATTGAAGCATACGGTCTAATCTGGTCATGGTACCAAAACTTGCCATTTCCAGCCGCTCCCAAAGTCGTCCCACTGACAATGATCCTGGAACCAGCTTCGGCACTTTTGGAGAAAAGGCCCAGGAAAATCGGTACTATGAGCTTGAAGTACCACGCATCAAACTCTCGGGCCAAGTTGGTGTTGGCGGCGCCAGGACACACGGCAGTAATAACGACGTCAGGCTCTTTGACGTTCTTCGAAGTGATGTTCGCAAGGGTTCCAACGATGCTCATGATGAGGAACTTCGATATTGCGTAGTTAACGTGCACGTTGTAGGTCGATTTTGCGTTGAAGGACGTTAGAATGGCGTCTTTATGGCTGGCCGGAATGCTGGCCGCATAGTGACGACTTGATCCGACAATCTCGAGGACAGGCTCACTTGCTGCAGTTTTGGAAGCCCTCAACTTGGGTAGCAAGAGGAAAGCGAGTAAGGATGTTGATAGTGTGTTGACTTGAAGTGTTTCTTCCCATCTGTATTTGCTTTGTCGATACTCGGGAACCGTGACCCCAGCGTTCAAGACCGCAATATCCAGATGATCCAACTCTTTCGAAGCACGCTCGGCGAACTTCTGAATACTGTCGTATGAGCACATGTCCACCTCCCACACTTCAAGTTGTCCAGTCTTGTGTGTCCGGCCTTCGATAGCGGACTTTGCTGTCTCGCCTTTCTGTACGGATCGAACACCAAGGATGACTTTCGAAGCTCCGAGGGCCGAGTACTTTACTGCTGCCTCGAACCCAATTCCAGAATTGGCTCCTGTAACAATGATGTTCTTGCCGGCGAAGGAGGTCGTTGTGTCGCGAGAAGGGAACCACTTCTGCTTAATCATAGTGAGTGACATGTTGTCTTGCAATTTCGAATAGGGATGCTGGATTGGATTAAGCTCAGGTTGGATTTTCCAATGGACAAGGAAACAAGGGAGGTGTCTTGCTCTCAGAAGAGGATTAAGTTGGATTTTACGCCGTTTACAGAGGGATGTCGTGCTGGATGGCGCGCCTCAGCGGACGAAATGCATCGGATTCTTATGAACTGAATACCTAGATAGACCTGTTTTAATGGACTATGCATTGTCCTAATCAGGGGTATACCGAAGTAACAAGGGGTCTAATAGGGTATACGCGAGTAAATCACTGTCTACTAGGCCTCATGAAGGTAGACATCCGCCGAATGTTGTCCATGTCATTGTCCCTCCTGGCCAGGCTAACACCGGCAAATGAAGGATAGTACTGGATTGCTAGGTAAGCAGAAAGCGAGTCCCGTCTCGTTTCGATGGTCTTCCATTGCAGGGACCTTAGCTGCGGCTACCGAGTCGTGACAGCGGATTTGAGGCTTGCAAGTCAATTGAAAGCAGAATCACGAAGAGACAGACAGCGCTGACACTGTAGGGCTGACAGACGAGCACGTGACGAGTAGGTGGGGCAGCAGTCGCGTGTAAAGCTCCTCGTCAACGCCAGAGCTTCCTCACTCCAACACAAAACATCCAGAGCTCGATCAGTCAACCACCACGAGCCTCTTGGTCCATCACAACCCTTGATTCAACACTGACCCAAGCACTGACCTGCCATCATGGAGAACATGAACAAGCTCAACGTCAATGACCAGCCGCCCATGCTTGACTGGGAGGCGCACCTCCGCGCTCAGCAGCAACAAGACCACGGTCCGACTGAACCTCCGCAGCAGAGCAACCCCTACGAAGGTCGCGTCCTCGGTGGCGCGGTCCCTCGAGATGTCCCTCAGCTCCCTCCGCAAGCGTTCACGACGTCCGCCCAGCTCCTCGAACTCGTCGACAGTAAGTCCCTCTCCTCAAAAAGTCCAAGCCGCGTCTCAAAGCTAACCACCTGCTTCCACCTATAGAGAAGGTCAACGTCTGCCTGCGCGATGATAAGTTCATCCAAGGTGTCATGCGCTCGTACGACAATTACGGTAGGCCCACCCCACCTCCATATCTCGACTACCTGCTAACGCAGCGTCCCACAGGCAATATCGTGGTCAAGGACTCGATCGAGAAGCTATATTGCCATGCCCAGAAGCTCTTCGCTGACGTCCCCCGCGGCATGTTCATCATTCGTGGAGAGAACATCGCGATGATCGGCGAAATCGTACGTGTTTTCCATGTCCATTGCCATGACCCTTCAAATCGCTAACAATTCTCCAGGATCTTGACAAAGACGATGACATCCCGGCTGGCTGGACCCGTGCTGACGTTGAGGTCGTGTTCCCTCTGCATAAAGCCGAATCAGAGGCCCGTAAGGAGGAGGTGGAGCGCAAGGAGGCGAATCTGGCGAAGCTCGGGTTCGTTCCGGAACATGGGATGGAGTTCTGAGGCGGCTTCAACTGGGGGTGACACTGTACAATAGACCGCTCTACGGAGCTTGATTCGGAGCCTGCGGGCGTGACGACCTCAAATGCATGCCCAAATCGGGCGGGGGGGTGCTTTTCGGAGCACCCCCCACAATAAACAACTGAAGCGATTCAAACTGCCTGTGTCTTTTCTGAGTGCCTGATTTGAAGTCTCATTGTAGAACCATCTGCTCAACACTTGAAATCGTGATGCCGGCATTTGGTGTTTCCTACGTCCTTGACGCTGTCTGAGGTCCTCCTAGATGTCGAAAAAAAGCACACTATGATGTCAAGTTTGCGGAGGTTGAAATCAAAAAACTGAGTTGCACATCTCTATAGCCCATTGAGGTGCTTCCGATCCTCATGCGATATGCCAACTAGAAGCCTGATCTGCGATGCTGTTTGACAACCTATCTGCCAGCGACCCGAAATCGCGCTGTTATGGTTCGAGAATTGCGAACTGCTTGACAATTTGATAGGCCTCCAACCCTTATCAAAAGGAAGAGCGCTAGGATGTAAAGATTCTCGGGTCGCGAATCAAGCAGCCAGCACGTGTGTGAATGCGCACTCGGAAAGCTCGACGAAGCGCCTCAGGTATGCCCTGATGTCTTTGCAGTGAGTGCGGTTTGGAGTGTCATATGAGTCTCCCAAGTCTGTAGTAGGTATTTCAAGGCCTCTGAAGTCGAGTTTTGCGAGCTGTATCGCGCCGTCAGAGAGACCTCAGCTTGGTCTCCATGATGCGCGCACGATGTCAACATCACGACGTCGTAATTCAAACCGCAATTTGGCACTTCCGGAGGCCATGCTGAAGCACCACTGTAGATGCTAACGAATAACTAGGAAGTTTGGCGTTTGCTTTTAACTGACGTGTTGTCGCGACGTGCAGTTTTTCCGGAGAGGCCAAACAAGGGCGACGACGATGTCTATTTGCGCACCTCCACCACACACCGCAGGATCTCCGGCTTTGCGACACCATCGTCACCGGCAATGGTATATTGGCCCAGGATCTGATGAGGACTGTGCCCGCTTCCAGGCGCTGCGCTGCGACCAGAGCGACAGACGGAGTCCCCAACCAGAGCCACCTGACCACGCGCGATTCTATCAGCGACACGAACTCGGAGACTTCCCGCACGCCCATCCTAGGCTCTAAAGCGAGACGCATTTTGGAAGGACAACTGCTTGGTGGACTGGAGGAGCGACACAGATACCAGGTATCAGGTGTGGCTGGATTGAGACTAATACTAGACCCGGATCGCAGCCTGCAGCTTTGGAAACACTCCACGACCAGAGACCTTCAACGATACTAGCAGACCGTCAAGAGCGAGGAAAGGATACTCCGATCTAGGAGCTTGATATGTCGCCGGGAGGTAGACCTTAGAAAGGCGGGCCCGAACACCACAACATTGGGATTAGTAGCTTGGACTTCTCCATATTCCAGGCGTTTGCCGCTGTTTGTGGTGCCTCAGCGGACTGCGAAAGAGCCGAACAAGATGCTAAGTCTTGTGGGGGCTGAATTGGAGTTTAATTTGGAGTCGTTCGATCTTTGCCCAGTATGATCCCAGAGATCCGGAATGCCACATTTCGTATTGATCCACTGTGCTTTCTGCACACGCTGATGACTCCTTCAGGGTCTCCGCGAGGGTAAAAAATGAAAAGAGACTAAGATTGAGATTGACGAATGGGAAAATGACGTCGAGTAGAAGAGAAGGAAGAGAGCATTGAAGAAGATGAAGACTATGGACATGATACCATTCATTAGGTGCTCGAAGAGAGGAAATTGAAGAAAGAGAGGGCTAAATGTGGCCACATCGGACTGGTTTCTTGACCCAATATGCCAGCTGGTCTTGCCCACCTTGGGATGCTATCTTTCGACTTGAGCTTGAAGCCCCTAAAGAGGTCTCGAGTTTATGGATCCGTCCCCAAAGACCAAACCATTGCAGCAATTGACAAACGTCAGCTCATGAGTCTATAGGACAACTTAGATAGTAACCTCTGTCAGCTAGTAGCTCAATTTCCGTTGACAAGAAATGATGCCGCGAATTGGACCCAGTATCGGACCACCTAGGCTACCTCCAAGGTTCTTTGAAACGAATCCGGAAGTCGTCCTTGTTCGATGACATTGGCTCCCCAATTGCTACAAGAGGATACTTGATGACTCGACGACGCCTTCGTTGTTATACAGGTGAAGACGGTCCATTTGTGTTTCCTCCAGCAGTCGGTGTATGTCCACGAGATCGAATCTATGTGGCTTAGGCGGTTTCGAAGGGAGGTCGATGGCTTGGTTTCGATCATCAATTCTTTGAAAGAAGGCTGACTGTACGAGTAGAGCACAACAAGATAAGGTGACTGTCTCAGGGCATTGAATGCTCAGAGTTGGGCCGCTACCTCGCTTTCCATTCTTGCTCTCCTGTTGTACTGGGTTACGGATGAAGCGTCGGTCCAAGCTACCTATGGGCAGGCACATGCTGTGATCTCGAGACTTGCTTCGCTATTCTTGCTACCATCTTCCAAGCTACCCTTTCCTATCATCAATATTCATCCCTTTGTTTTCTGCTATGTTCGTCATATTCCTCTCGTTGAAGTGGGGGCTGAGGGTGGTGACAACATCCTCTGCTTTTCATCTTTCTTGTCATCTTGATGCCATTTGGTTTAAGAAGATCGAGTAGTACGGTCGAAGTTCTCATTGTTGCTTTGCACCGCTCTCCTTCCGTTGTACTTAGTTGTGGGCGGATGATGAGCTTGAGATACCCGCGGACGGCGGTCCTAGTCGTGGCATTGGACTCTGCTTTGCCAACCTCGCTGCCACCTTCCATCCCGTTATACCCTTGAAGGAGGCCGTGTACTATCGTGTCTTCCCAGCTCAACTGTGGTTCCATCGTTGCGGTAGGCGCCGTATCGTGGGTGTGGGTGCTAGCTGGTAGGGTTGACAACCTCTGTTGCTCCTTCTCCCTGTTCACTGATGCTACAGCATGGAGGTATCCAAGGCCCTGTAGTAAGTGTGGTCCATGTTAACCTTGACGTCTTTTCGATTCTTGTTGACGAGGTCGCTGGTGAGATAGGCGGTGCTTTGTCTGTTGTCCCTGCTCCCCGTCCCTCGTCCTCTGCGGATGCTTGTGGGCACTCCAAGCTGCAGTAGTTAGTGCAGCTATATGTTAGTTCGTTTCAAGCTTGCCCCATTGTGGGTATGGCTCGTTAGGCAGTGAATGCTGTGTGGTCGTAGAGGTTGTGAAGTGGAGGAGTTTCCAAGGTTGGATACGCGACGAGGCGAATTTTGGGGCCGACGTCAACACCACCCCCTGCTCCCTCGCCCTCACCACCGAGCTATTCCACGCCTCCTGCTCATTTACTATCCATAAAGATAGTTGTCTCCTTATTATTCCCTCTATATGGCGAATCCATACCTCCTATTAGATTAGGATGCTCCCCTGCCATCTCCCCCTCGATTCGGCACCTCGCTGCCCCTCCAGAATCCTCCTCTTGCCGAGAATCCCGCCGTTCCACCTCAACTTATATCTTGCTCTCCACGCTCCACTAGTGTATCAGCTGTGTGCCCAATGCAGTCATTCCACCTTCCATGGCCGCTCTAATCCGAGCTACTCCAACCCTTGAAGAGCCACAATTAGGGCTTGACCGGTTATTTCAACAGGAGAACATAAATTCGATTTCAAGGGATAAGTATTTGTACGCAGGGCCGCAGCCTCAAGAGCTGGATGAAAAGCTGAACACTGGCGAAATATAATCTCGACACTCAGTGTGAGCAGCATTGACGACTCGGTTCACGGCGCGGAGTTGTTATCTGAGCATCCCAGCTTACTTCCTTGAAGAGTAGTTTTTCATTATACACTCAGTTAATATAGACGGACTCTGTTCGATAGCTTCTCCTGAGAAGATACTCAATCGCTCTCCAACTCCAACTACCGCGCCTCCTCCCCAACCTCCAGCCTCGTCTTTGGCTTCCATATAAAACTAGCATGAGCCTCTAGAAGATTTCCTCCTAGCATGCCGTGTTTGAATCGGATATAGACAGATTGTACAAGAACAATGAGCAAGTTAGACATCGTGACAGCTCAGTCGAGCGTCTGCCTACCAATGGCTGTACCCGCGATACCACAGCAAACCAACTAAAGCAATCTTCGCAGACGGAAATATATTTGACAAAGGTCTCATCGAGGGAGAAGAGACCAGATACAAGCATGCATCTCCCTGCTGTGGTTACGCAAGATCCCTAAATTGGGAGGCTTACCCTCTGCTACACAGTTGGGCCTGGTAAATGGACGCTGATGCTAGGGAACAGGACTTAATCACCAATTGGAAAAGACTACTGAATTAACAGATTGGACGCTACCGGTAGAGAACAGGCACTGTGTACTTCAAGGTCCATTTAGCTGCCCTTCTTGCCAAACCTCAACGATAGGCAAGTCAGGGTAGGACAGCGCTCCTATGCTCTGTTCAGAAGAGCAGTCTTTCATGTCCAACCTTTATAAGCGCCATTCACCATACCGCCAACCATCAATCAAAACAATCCGGTATGGTGTAGCTGGCTAACACGCTACCAGTACAATTACCCCAGAGCCTGGGAGTGCGACGGTAGAGACCCGGGTTCGAATCCCGTGTACCGGAAACAATTCTTTTTGCGGTCTCATTGATTACCTGAATGAAGAGCGAGGAGATAGCCGAAGGAATGTCCTTGGTCAAAGTGTTCTCGTAGCACTTTAGTGATATGCTGCTCCAACGCCTATATGCTCTTGTTTTTAGTACTCGAGTTTGCTAGTTTTACCACCACTAGTCAGGCAAACAATCACATTTCAGCACTTCTAAATACTGTTTTAGTGCATGATACTTAGCTGGACTCGGCGCGGATTCCCCTTATTCTGTAATCTAAGGGCCTCGCGTGGTGTATACCGTGATCTCCCGGCCCGATGTGCCTCCGGGGAGTAGGATATAACTACAGATGCAGCGGCTACTTTCTTCCATTCTTCATGAGCATTCTGAGCTGGGCTTAGTGAGGCAAAGCACGGAAGCGGGATTATCATGTGAGTGGTAGATTGACAGATCGCAACGGAGCACTCAATGGTTGTGCTCTTGGAGAATGTTTGGATTCTGTTGATCACCTTATGGCTTCGGGTTCTCGAGTGACTTTGGCCACACGATATCGCGCCGGAAGTCATGGGAGCTGGTTCAATCAACAGAGATGATCTTACCGTTCCATGGAAGTTGGGTTGGTTTGGATGCGTAGAAGATGGGCTGCGAACTCGAGCTTCATCATGAACAGAACTCGATGGTTATCAGAGTGAGCCATTGATGTCGGAGGTCTCCATTGAAGCCTGCAGCATACAACGACTACACCGCCGCAATGCCAACTATGATAATCTCTCCGTGCAGCCCAGCGGTATCTAAAGGGGTATATGATCAAGACGCTTTCATTCACCTTGCAACCCTAAGAAACCATACAGCCATCCCGTCATTCCTTAGAACGAACGCTTTTACCCCTAACTCCTACCCCATCAACCTCCCACCCGCCCAGAAACCCGCCATCCACAACGCGCCCCAAGCCGGCTGCACGACTGCCCTCAACACTCCAGGCCCTGGGCACGTCCCATCCAGGCCCCAACCAACACCAAACGCCGCCGCACCCGCCACAAATCGCCAGTCAATATCTCGCCACGTCTTCGTCGGTATGTCGTACTTTGGCGCGTAGGCGGGCGGCCGCTGGAAGCCTCGGATTTTGTTCTCGATGATTGCTGGGAGCATACCGAAAAGGATGACGGCGAGTAGAGAGGGGTCCCAGAACGTGGGGCTGGGGAGCGCGAAGAAGGCGAAAAGCTTAGATGCTTGCGCCATTCCGGAGATGTGGAGGCCGAGGCCGAATGTTAGACCGGCGACTAGGGAGGTTGTTAGGTACGACAGGGTCCTTGGGGAGGGAGAGGAATCCGACTTTTCTGCCTCTGGCTTGGTCGAGAGAGTCGCTATCAATGGTGGGAGTGTATGTCCAATGGTGATCGTTGCGGCGGCGAGGGTGAGAAGGGCGGTAAGGGTGTAAGGGGAAGGGTATACGGGAGTGTAGCAAGGGATTGTGCCGGAGCAGATGGAGGTGGAGAGGGAGGGCTGAGTCAGGTGGAAAGCGAAGACTGCTGTAGGAAAGAAGATGGAAACGGCGGCGAGAGAACGACCGGAGAAGCGTGAGAGGCCACATATCATGTGGCCTGAGGTGCAGCCGTTGCAGCCCTGGCAATGTCAGTTTACCTTCATCCTGTATCGACATCGCGGGAGTCTAACCTTGGTGCCCCATCCCGTCAGAAGTCCTGCCGCTATAGTGGTGAGGACTGTCATCGAGTCCCAGGTGATTTCAGGATATTGTAGTAATTCTGGCAGCACTATACGCAGCGGGAGAAAGCTCAATACCATCCCCACGAAGAAGAGAGCAGTTGAAAGTGTAGGTCCGTCGAATAGTCGGCGGAGCAGGCCCGAGAGTCCAAGGACAGAGCCATTGTTGTATAGTAGGATAGACGTCGACTGCCAGATTAGAATGGCACCGACGCTCGACTCGATCGGCGTGAACATGAGAGATTGAATGTGGCGTAGAGTGAAGAGGGGTTTGAAAGAACTTTATGTGGTACTTTGGTACATAGAGGATAAAGGCTAAGCGAAAGCCATGTGTGGACATAAAGGAAGAACTTGTCTACGCCCACCTCAAATGGATCCATTCACCTACGTACGTAGCCCCAGCGCTCCACGAGTCGACTAAAATTGGCCATGAGGTTGCCAGTCATTATGCCCCTTTGCTGTTTAGTCTATGATAGGTATAGGCTGTTGATATGGTCGGCGACGTAGCTCCGGGTCCACGCACCATCCCACGTGGTGCCACGGTCCGCAGCAGACAGCATGCTGACAGTGTGTTGTGGGGACGCCTTTTAAGGCATGAAGCTTCGGTCTCGGTTGGCTTGCTGAAAGCTTGGGTTTCAAGCTGACGTGCTTTTTCGATCACGAGGCTGGTCAGGAGGGATTCCGCGTTGTTCACGGCATGCTAAAATGTATCGCATTCTGCATCACAATAATGTGAGCCCAAAGCTCTTGCGTGCTAAGCATCGCACTATCTGTTAAGTGCTCCTAGCGCCCCGTATTGCCGGCCGATTTTCCCTAGGTACTACCTCGCCGATGTCGAGTGGATGAACGGCGACGTAAAGTCCGTCAGGAACTCCGACCTCCCGTGATGATTTGGAGTGTTTGATAAGGAAGGTATTAGAGTTGCACATTTATTCTGTATATGGATGGAAAGCATGAGAATGTCAGAAGTGGTGAAAGGAAAATGATTCTTCAACTCCATGGCCCTGATCGAAGATGGTGATACTTGCTTAGTCATGATATTGACCAATAATATCCCCGGAAAGTTAAAAGGTCGGCGACCTGATACCTGGCCCTGGACATATCTGCATCATGTCCAAGCGACGGAGAGATAGGGCCTATGTCTCGGGGAAGGTCTTTAGTCAGGTCCACAAAAGGTATGCTTCCGTGGGCTGGCAGAGCACCGAAATACCTAGAGTCAATGTTCAGGCGCTCAGCTCAGCAGAGTAGTTGATTGCATATATATGTACTGCATAACCTAGCTTGAAGCCATTATGTTACACTACATTTGAAGCAGATTTGAGGTGAGATCGGGTATCCTACGTGAAAACAGTATGGGATACAGGGGTATTTTACATTCCGCAGCATTGCGGTAGTTACCGTTGTCCAAGTCCGTTGGTACGGTGCAGCCATCTATAGCTAGACCACCCTTAATCGCGCCCGAGCGGCACCCATTTATGTTGGTTTCTGGTATGGTCTGAGAACGGGTAGGCACGCTGTTTGGAAGTTTTAGGGTTCGTAGAAGTAGCTCTTAATCAGCTGTAGATATTCGACAAGGCGATCTTATTGTTGGTTCCTACTTTCTCGTGGCGGACGGAGACCTCAGAAGCATCACACGTCCTAGCTTCAGGGCTTGTCGGAGTCTTCCTTCAATGTCTTGGGATTGGGATTCTTCATGGTTGGTTGTAATTGCGCGCCACTATGGGTCCAGATGGAACCCGCAAGGCCTTTATACCAATCACGTATCTACAGCAGTTAGCTTTTACCCTCCATTTGCTCCGAAGCATCACTTACCCCCTTAAACGGCGTGTCTTCCCTTCCCCAATCCATGAACAACACTCCGTAAACCAGTACAACTTCGTTCGATTAGCCATTGCACACCTGAAAGGCCATATGCCTACGTACAAATGATTATCCCATTCTGTGCCAGCTTAACACCCTTTGTCCATCTCGGCCTCGCCCACGCTAACTTGGCCCGGCGCTTGTATCGTCGTTCGAGTCGGAATTGGTGCTTCTGTGACATGTTGTCGAAATTGGGTGGCCATATCTTCTTCGCTTTGTAGGGATTCGACGCAAAATTGAAGGGCCTTGGAGCTTCGGCAGCTCGCCGCACCAGTGTTCGGAGCATTGCGATGGCGGGTGTGTCGTCAAGAGCATCTCGAGATCGAGGGACGTCAGGGACTAGTTCTCCGTGGCCAATCACAGCGCGTGTGGCAGAATGACTCACCGCTCAGCGGGCAACGTTGACTCCCCCACATCCAAACATTTTTCGGAGGCTGCAACATCGGCGCGACACCCTCAACTCTCATTTTCAAATCTAGTTCTTCTCCAAGGACTTGAACAGAACCGTGGAGCTTGGTTTTCTTCACTCTCTGCTCGGACGACCCATCTGGGCCCTCAATGGTCTGATAGACGAGTTTCATCCCACTTCGAGGCAAAAATTAGTCCAATCATGGCGGAAGTCCCAATTCGAGACAGTGTGCCGCACTCGGCGGTGAAGGCCACCCTCACAGTCTTGGACCCGGAGCATAGTAGCTCGAAGACGCTGAAGATTGAGAACACAGAGAAGAGAGATGACTTGATAGCCGTCGAAAAGAAGTATCAAAAGCTCTGGGCAGATCAACATGTCTTCGAACCTAATGCACCAACTTTCGAAGAAGCGCCATTTGAGTCAACGACTCCGGATGAACTCCACTCCAAATTCCCAAAGTGGTTTGGCACCATGGCGTATCCTTATATGAATGGAACCCTCCACGCCGGCCACAGCTTCACCGCCAGCAAAGTCGAGTTTGGTGCTGGCTTCGCTAGAATGCAGGGCAAACGCACTCTTTTCCCGCTGGGCTATCACGTCACGGGTATGCCCATCAAGGCTTGCGCTGACAAGCTGGTTCGGGAAATTGAGATGTTTGGTCCTACATTCGAAAGGTGCCCGATCGAGGACATCCTCGACGAGAACAAGGAGGAAGTTCCAGCTCCTGCCCAGGAAGCGAAGACTGATATGAGCAAGTTCACTGCGAAGAAGGGAAAAGCCGCAGCCAAGTCAGTCAAGACGAAGTACCAGTTCCAGATCTTGCTGGCTCAAGGGATCCCGGTAGAAGAGATACATAAATTCGCGGATCCCCAACATTGGCTGCAGTTTTTCCCACCGCTAGCAAAACGCGATCTGACGAATTTTGGAGCTCGCATAGACTGGAGACGACAATTTGTGACTACCGACGCGAATCCATACTACGACTCCTTCGTGTGCTGGCAAATGCGGAAGCTCAAGGAGATGGGCAAGATAAAGTTTGGGAAGCGCTACACTATCTACAGTCCCAAAGATGGACAGGCCTGTCTCGACCATGATAGGCAGTCAGGAGAAGGTGTACCCGTGCAGGAATACACTGCACTGAAGTTGAAGGTGAAGGAGTGGCCGGAATCTGCTCAAGAGATCCTGGAGGGCAAACTGCCAAAGGATGCCAACGTTTATTTCGTTCCCGCAACCCTAAGTATGTAGGGCCTTGTCATATTCATTACAGTATACTTATGGATCATAGGACCGGAGACCATGTATGGCCAAACCTGCTGCTTTGTCGGCCCAAAGATCAAGTAGTAAGTATCACACTCTTTGAAGAAGTTCAAACCTTTACTAATCGCCAAAAGTGGGATATTCAAAGTTTCAGACAACGAGTACTTCTTCTTAAGTCAGCGAGCAGCCCGGAACATGAGTTTCCAGAACATATTCCCAGAGTGGGGCGTATTTCCTCAAGTCGCTGAGCTTACTGGGTCTGATGTTGTGGGAACACTCATTAACGCTCCCTTATCTGTCCATACCGAAGGCGTTCGTATCTTGCCCATGGAAACTGTCAAAGATACGAAAGGAACAGCTGTTGTCACATCGGTCCCCAGCGACTCGCCAGATGACTATGCTACCGTCACTGATCTTGCCAAGAAGGCGGATTACTATGGAATCAAGAAGGAGTGGGCTGAGCTTGAGATCATACCAATCATCAGCACCCCAGCTTACGGCAACCTCACCGCGCCTGCCCTGGTCAAGGAACTGAAAATTCAGAGCCCGAAGGATACTAAGAAGCTTGAGGAAGCCAAGGAGAAGGCCTACAAAGAAGGCTTTTACAAGGGCACCATGCTCATTGGTGAGTTCAAGGGCAAGCCAGTGGAGGAGGCAAAAACCCTCGTTCGGCAGGTGTTGATCGACTCTGGTGACGCTTTCAATTACGCCGAACCAGACGGATTGGTGGGTCTAGCATTCAAGCCCTTCACTAAGTTGCGTATATTGACGGTTGTAGGTCATGTCTCGATCAGGCGATGTTTGTGTGGCGGCAAACCTGGACCAATGGTATATGAATTACGGACTCAACGGAGATAGGGAGTGGGCAGAGACTGTACTGGGTCATATCAAGGGCGACCTAAACACCTACTACCCTGAAGCACGGCACGCTTTCACCCAGGTTATTTCCTGGCTTTCCCACTGGGCTGTCAGCAGGTCGTATGGTCTTGGAACAAAGTTACCATGGGTTAGTCATTTGTCATATCTCATTTCGTATAGCTTTTACTTATTTCATCTAGGATCCCGCCGTCATGGTCGAGTCTCTCTCCGACTCTACCATCTATCAAGCATATTACTCATTTGCACACCTCCTCCACAAAGACCTTTTCGGCAAGGAAGTTGGACCACTCGGAATTAAGCCAGACCAGCTTACTGACGATGCGTGGGATTACGTTTTTGCGCGTCGAGATGATCTCGACTTTGAAACCACGATTGACAAGAAGGCTCTGGAAACCATGCGACGTCAATTCGATTACTGGTATCCACTGGACATTCGAACATCCGGTAAAGATCTCATTCAAAATCATCTAACCTTCAATCTCTACGTTCATACTGCGATCTTCAAGAAAGAGAGCTGGCCTCGGAGTTTCCGAGTGAACGGACATCTGATGCTAAATGGAGAGAAGATGAGCAAGAGTACGGGCAATTTCTTGACCCTCGAGCAGGCGGTTGAAAAATTCGGCGCAGACGCAACTCGGATAGCTCTTTCTGATGCTGGTGATAGTTTGGAAGATGCCAACTTTGATGAGTCTGTGGCAAATAGCGCGATTCTAAAACTGTACGAGCTAAAGAAGTGGTGCGAGGAGATGGTTCATGATGCCAAGATCGTCGCAGATGGAGAAGAGTACAAGCATGTGCGCGATGATGAGGGCAAGAAGTTTAAGAACATCGACGCTATACAACGCAAGTCAGGTTCGCCATATTTGTTGTGGGACAAGATGTTCGACAACGAGATGAACTCTCTGGTAATCGAGACTCAGCAAAATTATGAGGGAACGATGTATAAGCTGGCCTTAAAGACTGGCTACTACGACTTCACTGCTGCGAGAGATTTCTACCGAGAGGCCACAAAGGCTGCTGGTCTAGGAATGCACGAGGATCTTGCGAGGCGATTCAGTAAGTCGCCAATTACTTCTCTCTGAAAATCCCACCGCTAACAGCCGCTAGTTGAACTCCAAGCCCTTCTCATCACTCCCATTGCTCCCCATTTCGCCGACTACATCTGGCAGGAAGTTCTCAGGAAGGATGACACCATCCAGAATGCTCTTTTCCCCAAAGTCCAAGAGCCGATCCCAGCCCTTACCGCCGCCCGCGAGTACGTTCGCACAACATCGTCAAATATCACCTCCGCGGAAGGCGCTCAAGTGAAGCGACTGGCGAAGGGCAAGACTGCCTTGTTCGACCCAAAGAAAGGTCAGCCATCCAAGTCTTCCGTCTGCGTTCTACAGATGCGCTTTTTTTATACAATAGTTATGATGCTAATTAATCTCTTACTTATAGACAAGAAAATCACAATCTTCGCCGCAACCGCATACCCTGCCTGGCAAACCAAATACATCGACCTCGTCCGCTCCTCCTACCCGGCCCTCGATATCAAAGCCATCTCGAAATCAGTCGACAAAGCCGAGAGCAAGAAGGCTATGCCGTTCATCAACGGCCTCAAGCGCCGCCTCGACAACGGCGAGTCGGCTGAGGTTGTGCTGAACCGCAAACTAGTGTTCGATGAGTTGGACACGCTAAAGGCGATGGTACCTGGCTTGAAGCAGACGGTTAGGTATTGCAAGATTGTGGAGATTGTAAGTGTGGATGAGGGAGGGCAGAGTGGGACGGTGGTGGTAGGGGAGGTTGAGGGAGGAGGCAAGCGGGAGGGATTGCCACAGAATGCGGGCGGTGCGGAGCCGGGAGGTCCGAGTTTCTTGTTTGAGAACATTTGAGGTGTGACGAGACTTGTGAGTCGGCTTGTTTCGTGTCTCTAAAATTGAGGTGGGTGTTGTAGCTGGGCTTTCTCCCTTATCAACAGGCGAGGGCTCAGGGAATGCGTAGAATTAGAAAAAGAAGAAATGGACTTTCTAGTGTGAGCCAAAACTGAATGAAGATGTTGGAGCGAAACAGTCCTTGTGAAGGCATTCATCGGCCAGTCACAGTACTCTCATTCAATGTGGAAGAGTTTCTAGGACATGTGCGGGTCACGTGATGTGGCTTTCCGGGAGGCAATAATCATATGGATCGGTACTCCAGCATGATCGCTCGGCGTCGGTGCCTTCAAAAGAGGTGAGACGGACAGATGATGTTTGTGGCTGGGAGATCAGAGCTGAACAAAATCCCAACTAATAGTGTCTGCAAAAAGGATTCTGGCGAGAAGGCATGGAGGCGGGTTGGTACCTCTCCTCAATGCTCTTCATCATCTCAACAAATTGCTGCACAGCATCAACAGCAATCTAGCTCAATGTCGCTCACAATATCTTGTGGAGACGGGCGCTAGAAAAGGAGGAGGATGAGGAGCATCACTAGCTAGAGGTTGCTGCACCATTTCTCGACTCTCCCGAACCGCCGGCACACAACCATCAGTTCACATCCTCTCATCTTTCGAAGGAGACCACGAACGTATCTTCTTCCAAGAGTCGATGCTCCAGCTCCATGGGAGGCTTTCCAGAAGGTTTTCACACCATTATTGTATGTCTAATCCTGTTTTGCACCGCTAGCCCCAACTCCAGCATGTAGACATACCACGGAATAGGTTGATCATGTCATGGCCCCAGCTACAGAAAAGGCAGCCACTGTATGCAGCGGTGTCAGGTCTGTTTCTGATCTCCTCGGCTCATCCTCCTCCTTGACTCTTCCCCCTCCTCCTTCTTGACTCTTCCTCGAGAAGATTAAGAGGACCGGGGCGGGCGAGGGTTTTATAGCCACGAGAAAGGGGATAAGGGAAGTGCACGTGGTTCAGGGACTTTCACGTGCCATGCTAGGGAAGTTGAGGGAAAGAAATCCAGTCTACTGTAGCCGTCGGTACCGCATGTATGGAGACGGGCGCGCTAGAAAAGGAAGAGGATGAGGAGCATCACTGGACGGATGTGATCCACCACTCGAATCTCCCGAATCACCGGCATACCACATGTTCCTATCTTCCTTTTGATTTCAATCCAACACCCAGCCAGACCCGACCACATGATGGACAAGCACTGGGGTAGTTTGATCCACCCCCGGTTCTGATTCATAGCAGTACGGATTGCCATGTTTTGATCCACTGAAGGCCTCCCATGGAGTCGAACCCTGTCTGGTTTTTTATCCCTCTACCTCAGGGTACTCCTCCTTGGAAAAAGAGGAAGACGAAGCTGCTGGCGGAAGATTTTATACGAAAGGAGGGGCTGAGGTCACGTGGGTTTCGCGTAGGTCACGAGATCTTTTGCTGGGCATTGTATATGGGACCGTGTGCCGAGTCCTACACGTGCTTTGAAACATGGAGAGTCCTCGGGCATCTTTTGTTCACTGTCGGTACTTCACTGGCGAGGCACCGCAGCCACGATCCAGCTTCTCCAAGTCTGCCACACAAGAGCCCTACCGCAGGTGCATGAACAATGCGTGGAGGACCGTCAAATGTTCCCCTGGTGGTCCGAGAAGGCGGCTGCACTGCTGCTCGACATCTCCTCTGGATGATGCCTCTCGTCACTGAGAATAGCTATGTACTGGATCCGGACAGTAAAGCACTTTGTTACCTAGTAGTGCTGTCCACCGCTCCCCATTGCTGCTGGAAACCATCGAAAGAGCGAAGCAACACGACCATCGACTGTTTCGCCAGCTATTTTCTAACGCACCATTTGGACTGACATCTCTTGATTTTGATTCGAACAGCCTCCGCAACATGCGCGTTGTCCTGGAAGGTTTCGAACAAGCCACACAACCATGTGAAGCTTGTTGTAGACTGCATTGAAATTCCCAGTCCCTCCACCACTCTGCCCACTAGTGGAAGCCGAGGAGAAGTTTTTATACCCGCTGCGAGGGTTTGTTACGTTCCCAGCACGTGTGTGTTCTTAGTCACGAACAGATATGGAAGGTATTCTGCTTTCAATGCATTGAACACTGAGATGAGAACGCTGTGGTATAGTCCTTCCTTTTCCTCCTTTTCCCCTAATAGTACCAGTTTGGTACTGTACTTACCCTTTCCCACAAGTGCCTTTAGACGGACGACTTGGAACGCGAACCGTACCGATGGAAGCGAAGGACGAACGATAATGGAATTGTGTTGAAGATAGAATGTCACTCCTCCCATCCCCACGCCTCTTTCAAGTGCGTCTGCGCCGTGCTGGTCGGCCAGGCGTGGATCTTCTCCGTTTTCAGGATGATTTCCAGCAAGGCTTCTTGCTCGGCGCGCTCGGTGAAGCGGTCGCCGGCCATGGCTATGGCCATTGATGCGGTGCTGTAAGGCGTTAGAAGAGTTATACATGGCGTCGGACGGGAGGGAGGAGGAGGAAGATGAGGGTGAGCTATCAAGGAGACACTTACACATAATTCGGCGGAGTCTTCGAGTTCGACTCTGCCATCCCACAGAGCGTACGAACATCCGTTTTGATCTCTTCCTATCTCGTTGTCAGTAACAGCTCATATCAAGGGGCTCGTTTAGCCAAGGAAAACCACAAACTCACATCCATAACCTTCAACGCCGCCCTCTGCGCCGGCCCCAACCGCGGCACCTTGGGATTATGCGCTGTCAGCAGTATCCTCGCAAGGTGATAATGCTGCAGCCCGGTCACCACACTATCACTCAACAACCACACCTCCGGAAAGAACCCAGACGCCTCCGCACCCGCAGGCCCCGCCGTGCCCTTCGCCTCGCGATAAAAGATCGGCCGGAACGAATCCGGCTTGTACGCCGCCCACTCCTGGCTATATTCGACGAGCTGGTTATACGTCGCCACGCTGTCCCTATTCGTGCTGTTCTCCGAGTCGCCGAAGCAGTACCGCAGCACGTCGGCACAGAAGACGACGATGCGGTTGGCCCACACGCAGTCGGACGCGGGCTCGAAGGAGCGGTCGATGTTGCAGTGAGACAGGGCGGGGAGGATGGAGCGCTGGTTGACAAAGGCCATGTAGACCTCCTGCCGCAGCCCGACCCAGAAGGCGGCTTGGCGGAGGCCGCCGAGGACGGTGGAGGACTCTTGTGCGCTGATGAAGATGTGGGTCCCGATTAGGTGTGACTGCGTGTCGGTGCCTGAGACCGGGACTGTGGGCTGTTAGTGAGAGGTCGAGACTGGTGATTATTGCTGCTGCCCAACACTAATGGGCTGCTTGTCCACATGATGACAATAAGAATGAGGAGAGGGGTGAACATCAGCTCCCGATGCATGTGAGTGTGCAGTAGATCGGGTGGAAAGAGGGTCAGGTATCCTCTCGATGCACATAGCAAAGTCTAGCTCGCTGAACCAGGGCTAGGAGATACCATCAGAGGTAATGCAGAGGCGATCACATCACGAGACCTTCTTTATCGAATTGGCGGAACATTCGCCCCTCCGAGGAAGAGGAAAGCCCACATGGTGGAGAGACTTGAAGGCTTGAGAGTGGAGAATGAAAAGGGCGTCCTACCTTCGACTTCCTCCAAAAACCGCAGTATGACCGTAGCGGCCAGCAGATTCTCATCCATGATAGCCGCAGTGTCGTTCAGCATCGGAATAAGATGCTTCAGACATTCTTGGTGATACCTGTCGGCGACATACGGGTCGAACTCGCAGACACGACTCAGATGCCTGGCTGACGCCGCAAAGATGGCATTCAGAAGCGTCGGACACACAGCGGCCCTCTGTGGGACCACTAGAGCAAAGTGGCGATCGGGATCACACAAATCAAACGAGGTGGCCAGATTGTCGATGAAGTACCGCATCAAGTGGGCCTCGTGTCGGTCCTGCAGCGGCCAGGCTGGTGCCTCGAGGTAGATCCTGGCGAGGGTTTCTGAGACGGCCGAGTAGCCTGTGGCGAACTCGCTGCAGTGGGAGTCTGTTGGCTCCAGCGGCTCGAAGCTGTCGGCCCCGTTTAGTATATCCCGAAAGGGCTCGTGGCCGGAAGTAGTCGAGAACGAATCCCGGAGGCGGTGGTGACTAGCTACCGGAGAGGAGATCAGGCGAGAATTGCTGTCTGGAGAGTTGTGGAACACATCGGAGAAGTTGAAAGGCGAGTCTAGCTTCCGTCGTTTCGCGGGTGAGGGAATATCAGTGTTGGGCGTGTCTATGCTGTTGGTCCTGAGAGGTGTGGGGTGAGAAGTGGCTGATGGAGTGGGGACCATGAAGGAGTCAGGGGCCGAGCGGATGCTGCCATTCCACTCAGCGGGAGTGGCAGCACTGTTCGTGTTCTCGGGCTCAGAGTCGCGGTCGTAGATGTTGACCAGCTCCTGAGTCTCGTCTACGAAGCTGAGGGTGTGCGTCGTCCGACACCAGGGCTGATTCTCGGCGAAGTCATAGTCGCACTTGGTGAGACCAGAGCCTTTCTGATTAGCCACGCTTGTCGAGGTCAGCAATCTGATAACGGCAATAACAGAAAAGACAAGGAAAGAGCGATATTGCACAGCCCTTAGTCACGTGCTTATAAAGTATTGGAAATGCTGACATAGGGGTGCGAATATCAATATTGAAGCGTGAGAAAGCTCACCTGGGATTGGCCCCGTGTCTGAATCTGATATTGTACCCTCGCACACAATCAATGCCACTTTTCAGACATCTGGAGCACGAAGGTCTCTGTTCATCGCCTATAGAACATCGTCATTAGCACAGCCAATCACGGGAAGATTGAACAAGCTTACATTTAAGGTGCCTATACCAGGGGTGACATCATAAGCGAATACTCAATGATTCAGACTTCCATTCGTAGAATGCATACCGGACGCGACAACTCTGATGATATGCCGGATTAGGAAATGGAGCGGTATCTCCTGAGCATCACGGGAGACTTACCTGGCACCCGGTTCTTGTTCGTGGAGTCGAGTTGGACATGGCGCGTTCGCGCGGCATGGAGCAGGTGGTTCCGGGTCTTAGCGAGGTTCTGGAAGGAGTTGGAGGGACGCAAGGGCAGCGGGAGCAGCAAAGGGCGAGGGCCGCTGAAGATATCCTCTTTCAGACGGCACAGGAAGTTTCCTAAATCAGCTGACGCGGGCAGCGTTTTGCGGGGTTGGCCTCTGTGGGGTTGGCGTGCCGATTCGTGCGGAGATGGCCCAGCCGCTGGACCACTTGCAGCACAACAGTACGGGGATTCGAATACGGGGGCGTGGAGGACGAGGGGAACCAGACCACGATTGCCAGACTGCTACTGGGGCCGGCTCGCCCTCTGGGCTGACAAGTCATACGCCGTCGCGCCGTCTGTGCCGTGGTCCAAGCCTGCTCGACACTGCTCGGCCCGACTTACCTGCTACCATCATTCCGACAGTCGCCCTGGGTGCTGGATGCCGAACACGGTCGTTTCTGTCTGCCGCGATGCCTCGCCTGGTGTTCGAGGCGCCGTCCGGCCACCATGGACCGCCTGGCCGGATGCAAGGCGTCGTCTGGGGTCCCCGCATTCTGGTGTGCTGGGAGGGTGTGGAGCGCGGACGCGGCACCCCGAACCAGCCCAGGCGACACCAACGCCCCTTTCAGCGTCGGCCGCACGTCGGCTCCCACGAGTATTCACACCCTCCCACGCGGCAGATCGCGGCACCTGCATGGTCTGGATCTCCCTTGTCGCGTGGTCTGCACAGGTGGCGTGCAGATGGGATCAAGTTTAACTTTCGGGCAGCCTCTGACGGCACTTGGACCAGGCGGAACAAGTTGCTTGCCGTTTCCCCAAGACCCATCTTCTCCGCAAACCTAGTCCATACCCGCTCCGGGGTATGTGGGCCACTTTGCGGTGGGCTATCTGGGGTGGCATGTTTCAACGCCTGTGACTTCTATATAACTTGGGCCTGATCGCCATGCTTCTGTCCATCATCTCCAGCGTCACCTCCACACTCTCCAAGAGCATCTCATCCTTGTCTCGTCTCTCTTCGTCTCTCTCGTCTCCGCCTCCGTCTTCTACCTCGTATTCCCTCATCATGGGCCAATCTGAGTTTGCCGACGAGAAGCTCGGCAGCAACCATGTCGAGCACGTCGCCAGCGAAGGGCAGACCCTCGACTCCCTCGACACCATTGAGCAGACCCAGACCGGGAGATACTCATGGCTAGTCTCCATCACCGCTGCCATTGGCGGTATGCTCTTCGGATACGACACTGGCATCATCTCCGCCGTCCTTGTCTACATCGGCCGTGATCTCGGTCACACTCTCTCCTCCAACGAAAAGGAACTCATCACCTCCGTCACTTCTGGTGCCGCCTTCTTTGGAGCCATCTTCGCCGGTGCCACCGCTGACAAGTTTGGCCGCAAGCCTGCTATCTACGTCGGATGCGTTCTCTTCATCCTCGGAGCCATTCTTCAAGCTGCATCCTTTGGACTCGCTCAGATGACCGTGGGACGTCTCGTTGTTGGTTTCGGTGTCGGTTCCGCTGCCATGATGTAAGAGAAGCAAGGAAGACTACAACCACACATTACTAATGCAGTCATAGTGTCCCCATGTACATTGCAGAAGTTTCCCCTGCCAAGTATCGCGGACGCATGATTGGCTTAGACAACATGTCTATCACTGGGGGCCAGTTGGTTTCCTACGGCATTGGTGCTGGATTCGCAAAAGTCGCTGGTACGTTGCAATGTCTGCTCCTCTTTGCCCCATGAGCATCACTGACACATTACAGGCGGCTGGCGCTACATGGTCGGTGGTGGTGCTATCCCAGCCATCATTCTCTGCTGCCTTCTCCCATTCTGCCCTGAATCTCCTCGCCAGCTCATCTACCACGGCAAGGCCGATCAAGCCCGCGTTGTCATCCGCAGCATCTACCCCCACGCCACCGACCTCCAGGTCGACCAGAAGGTCCAGCACATCACCATCCACGTCCAGGAGTCCAAAGACCTGACCGCCGGCAAGAGCCAATGGTGGGTGCTCAAGCAGCTCTATGTTATTCCCGGCAACTTCCGTGCTCTCGTCTGCGCTTGCGGTCTCATGGCTATTTCCCAGCTCGGTGGTTTCAACTCGCTCATGTACTACTCTTCGACCCTCTTCGCCCTCGTTGGCTTCTCCAACCCCGTGGCCGTCGGAACTATCATCGCCGGAACCAACTTCTTCTTCACCTGGGTCAACCTCATGCTCGTCGACCGTATTGGCCGCCGCCGCATATTGCTCTGCACCATGCAATTTATGGGTCTCTTCCTCGTCGTTGCGGCTGTCGCTTTCCACTGGATCCCAGTCAACCACGATCTCTCTCTAAAAGCGGGCACTAAAGTCGGCCCCCCGGCTATCATTGTTCTCGTCTCCATGGTCTGCTACGTTGGCTTCTACTCCTCCGGTATGGGCAACACCGCCTGGTTGAGCTCTGAGTTCTTCCCCATGGAGGTTCGCGCTATGGGCACGATGATGTTGACGATGACATGCTGGGGCTCCAACGTTATCGTCGCCTCCACTTTCCTCTCCCAGATGGAGAACACCACTCCCTCCGGTGCCTTCGGCTTCTACGCCGCCATCTGTATCCTCGGCTGGGTTGCTGTCTGGTGGTGCTACCCTGAGGTCAAGGGCATGACCCTCGAGGACATCCGCGAGGTCTTTGCTCAGCCCTCTTTCCGCGGTTGTGTGCGCCGCGCGCGCGAGATCCAGAAGGAAGTCAAGTCCCATGGCATGCATGCTCATGTTGATCCAGACACCAAGCTAGCTGTGCATGTTTAGAGAAGAGCAGAGGGAAAGTGTGAGCTTTTGTATATACTTTGAGCTTAGGACGTTTTTTGGAGCGTGGGACTGGATTGAAATGGAGTTTTCAAGACGGAACGATTCTTCTTATCTATGGGATAGAGTAGAATACCAACTCACTTCTTCCACACACATAACTGAACATCGCCGCTCGTGCAAACTCTAGTTCCCATCAATGCTGAAACTAGAGGAGTGTGAGAGTGAGAACTGAGGTGGCCTAATACTCCAGACATCTTAGCGCAAAAGGCACATCCGTTCCTCCCCAAGAGCTGGTCACCTAGAGTCTCACCTTAACCTCGAGATCAAATAAGCATACCCAGCAGCATTTATACGCTGTTCCATGAGCATATGCAACGTCTGTCCCAGCTCATGAGCTAGAGCGCTACAGTAAGATCTGTATGACCCTTACAGCACTGCTATGAAAGTCATAAGTTTGGTCATTTCGGCTATCTCCCGGCCCCGGCTCTACTTTTGCTCACTCCAGCTAGCTGGTCTGTAGTGGACTTAACGAGTAGTCTGACTTCCACTGCTATGAATTTTATATTAGATTTAGACTCTTGAAAGCCTGATAGTGATACTTAGATATGCTTAGGCTCCTGTCTTGCTCGCTCGACACCATTGTAAGGAGCGCCCTAACTAGCACAGTTTTGGTGACTTAGGGGGTAGTCTGATTTCCACGGCCTCGATGTTCACATCCAGTACTAGAAGAAACGTTCAAGTGTACGGATATTTCACTGCTCCGGCCCTTCTCTTGCTCGCTCAATGCCACTGTCAGGAGTACCCCAGCTACGTGGTCTTTAGCCTGTCGAAGGGCAACCTAAGTTCCACTGCTATGGCCTTTGCACAAGACTTGCAATTTCAAAAGCCTATCGTGGTACCCTAAGCAGTTGCAAGGAGTACCCGAATTCCGACTCCATTCCTGCTCACTCAACGCCACTGTCAAGAGCACCTGAACTAGCACATCTTTAGTGATTTAGAAGGTAGTCTGATTTACACTGCATTGACCTTTACATCGTGCTTGGAGTTTTAGGAGCCTATCGGGGTACCCGTAGCATACGCAAAAAGCGTGTAAAGTTATGTATGCTGTATGTAAAGACAGCGGACTCGTAAGCATGGAGTCACTGGATAGTTTGTATGTTCAAGCTCCCTTGTGCTATATTCGCAGGAAGGGCCGACCAGGTCGCTATTATGAGGTATGCGACAAATGTCGGTCGTTGTGGCAAAAGTAAGGAGGGGTCTTCGCTGTAAAGAGATAGAAGTGAGTGAAGCAGAGACCTCACCAGTGGCATGGAGCTGGGAGAAAGCAAGTAGATGCGATAAAAACTAATTCAATCTCGTAATCCTATAGACCATCTCAACGAAGAGATTACCGATCTATCCTAGAACTCCTTCTAAATACTCCGCTCATGCAAACCCCTAAATCCCCAAACCCCTCTGCTTCCAAATCCTGAACACTAACCCCAAACATCCTCACCCCACTTCCCCCTCCTCTTAACCCCCTCGCTCCACTGCTTCACCTCCTCTTCCTCCCACCCCTTCCCCCTCCCCACCGCCCCCTGCACCACCTTCCCAACCTCCCTCGCCATACTCGCCCGCCCACAAACATAGAAATTCCCCGCCTCCTCCGTCAACAACCGCACCACCTCATCCCCCTCCTCCCTTACGCGGTCCTGCACATACACCTTCTTCCCCCCGACCCTCGAAAACGCCGTCACCACCCTCAGCTTCCCCTCCAACTGCTTGACATACCCCTCCAGCCCCTCCTGGTAGATATAGTCCTCCGCCGGGTCGCGGCAGCCGAAGAAGAGCACCATGGGCCCGACCTCTTTCCCGACAGCCGCGAGGCGTGCGCGCTCGGAGATGAAGGCACGGAAGGGCGCGAGGCCGGTGCCCGCGGCGACCATGATGAGGGGCGTGAGGGCGGAGAGGGGGAGCTTGAATTTGGATTTACGGATGTGGGCGTGGAGTTTGTGGCCACTGGGGGAGTCGCCGGAGAGGGCGAGGGAGGGGTTTGTGAGGGTGTAGATGGAGGAGGCGGGCTGGGTGATGGAGGAGGAGGAGGAGCGGTGGGATTGGGAGAGAGCGAGGAGATAGTTGCTGGTGACGCCGTTGATGGATTGGGAGGGGTTGGAGGGGAGGGGTGTGCTGGTGACTAGGGCGGTAATGGCGGGGGTCCGGGGAGAGATGGCGGAGGAGGAGGAGATGGAGTAGTAGCGCGGTTGGGTGTGCGGGAGGGTTTCGAGGAGCCAGGAGAGGGGGAGGGTGGGCCAGGTGGGTGGGCTGGAGGTGTCGGAGGCGAGAGCGGCTTCGAGGAGACGGCCGATGGTGAGGTAGTTGCGGGTTAGGAAGTCGGCATAGGCATCTTTTGAGGTGGCGAGGGTGGTAAGGTAGGTTTTTGTGGCAGGATTGGGGGCGAACTGAGCGAGGCTGGCCATGGTGTCCCGGGAGATGGGTGCACAGATCTCGAGGTAATAGCGGAAGAGTGCAGAGAGCGTCGTTGGTGTAGGGACTTTAACTTTGACGGTTTCGTCGAGTGATTTGACGCTGACGGGGATATCGCGGCGCTCAGAGAGACCCAGTACACGGAGAAGTCGCTCCACTTCGTCGTCCGGGTTTGTTGGCCATACGGCGAGATGATCACCTGTCTTGTAGTGCAGTTCTGAGTGGTCATTGATGTCAAGCTCCATATGGATACAGTTGCGAGACGATGAGGTGAAGAGCTCGCGGGAAGAGACAATGTTGAGTGCTTTGATAGGTGAGCAGCTCGCTGCTGATTTGGCATTCTCTCGTGGATGCATTGGTTCACCGTGATGTAGGTCGATGATGTCGAGAGACTCGTCCTCCTCCACCGATAGCGTAGGCTCGTATGCGATCTCGTGTTCCTTGAAATGCAGGTCCTTCCGAAAAACGGTGAAGAGCTCGTCTCTCCATCCCATAAAGTCTTCCTCTGTGGTGCCTGTAGCATCGTCCGCTCGGCCTACTGGCATCAACTTCTGGGCGCCGAACTTGTCCAACGCTTCTGCCACAACGTCGATAACGCGGTTGTAGTATTTGTAGTTGCTGTTTCCAAGACCGAATGCCATGTATCGGAGGTTTTGGAGCTTGATGTCGGTAGACTTCAACACCCACTCCCACAAGCCAGCAGAGTTGTCACTTGGATCACCTTCGCCAAACGTCGACATGATGAAGATGGCGAACTTTGTCTGAGGAATGAGGGCGATGGTCTCGGTGTCGTAGTCGGAGAGGTCTGCTGCCATGCAGTTTAGGCCAAATCGGAGATGGCATTCTCTTGCGAGGCGGTTCGCGATGGCTTCGGCAGTGCCAGATTGCGAGCCCCAGAAGATTACGAGGGATTTTTCCTGGAGTCATTAGTGTCTGGGCAGAGTCAAATGATCAGAAGAGATGCTCACAGATTCGTCAAGTTTCTGAGCTATGTTTCTGGTCTCTTTTTGGGCATTTCTGCCAGCAGAATCCTTTTCTTGTGGTCTTTCGTAGAACATGTAGTTATACGGGTCTGGTTTGTCCCACGCGATTCCTCTCAATAGATAGCCTACTGAACCAAGAGCAACCAAGCCCAAGGCAGCGATATCTGCATAGGAGGAAGGCTTTGCCAGCTGAGTGAGCTCCAGAAGAGACTCAGGCAAGCCATTACTTGAAAATAGAGGGGTAGACATGACTGGAGTGGATCAACGAAGACAATGAAGATTGAAGGACGCTGGAATCAGGACATAGGCAATGGAAAAGAACGTTGTGGATTGCCTATATAGCAAAAGAAAGATCAGACTTGTTGCGACGGAGAAGGAAAATGACAGCAATTCTCCACTGCTATCGGCGGAAATGGTGTTGACCGTCAGATCAGGCAATCCCGCATTCAGAATACCCCGTCCAGACCACCCCACCATGCATGTCGGTTCGGCGTCGTCTGACCCCATGGGAGGCCATTCTAGTACCCTAAGACCCGAAGATGGTGAAGCAGAATTGTGGGGTGACGAAAACTCCGGGGAAGGTCGTCAAAAACTTCCGCTTCGGCATCCCCCCGGGCCGACCTGCCCAAGCTCAACCGCTCTCCTCAACCTTCCTCGCCGTCTCAAAGCAGCAGCTTTCATGACAAAGTTGCCCGTTACGACTGACTCGACGCAGCAACTCTCGCCGCAATCCCTGCGAACCCTGGATCGAGCCCTATGCATGGACTGCTGCCCAAAGCTCAGTCCCGTCGGGTTCCCTAGAATCTCGATGGCCTAGGATTGCGGGTGTGTTTGCTGCGAGTAATGTTCTCCTTCTGGAGGCAAAATCTTGAGTCCCTCGGAAGTCGGTGGTGGGGCAGGAGGGGTCATGTTGCACCCTCCGCGTGCCTCCGTTGACACGATGTTTCTTCTTTGGGCTCTTGTCTGATATCAAGGTATATAGGAGAACACCACGTTCGAAGTCCTTTGACCATCATCACATTTCGTACTCTCTACTTCGTCCATTCCTCAAGTCTCTGATCTCGAACTCTCTGCGTTTGCCTCTACGGCTACATCCACAGAAATTCTCTGATTGTCGAGGCAAGGGGTACAACCCAACAGTCTACCGAAGGGACATTGTCCTATCTACCTGATCATACCCCCTGAAATCTTTCAAGATGTACTCCATCATTGTGGCAGCTAGTGCTGCCTTCTTTTTCGTCACCTACTTCATTCTTAGGCCCGTCTTCAACTACTTCCGCGATGTGAAGGGTTTCCGAAAGTACCCCGCTATCAACCCCATTGCGGGTATCACGAACCTGGGCTTCATGTGGGAAGCCAGAAAGGGGTTCCGGTCGAAAACGCTCTATGAAATGCACAAGATGCACCCGGTCATTCGCATTGGACCAAACTCGTTGAGCTACGGGCGTCCACAAGCTATCAAGGTAAGCAACTCTTGGGATTGAGTAGGGAGAAATCATTGTTAACACAACGTCAAGGACATTTACGGTCACGGTTCTCCTTGCACAAAGGACCTCTTTTACTCAGCCCTAGCTGGCTCGCATTTCCATCTTGCAGATGTGCTCGATAAGCCCGAACACGCCCGCAAGCGTAAAGTCCTCTCATCCGCCTACGCCCTCAAGAACCTTGAAGGCTGGGAACACAAAGTCAGCGACAAAACTGCTCGCTTCATCACCGGCTGCGACAAGCACTGCACCACGCCTCTTATAAAAGGAGCCCCCGGTCCAGATCCCAAAGACTTGACCTTCGATTACCGCGCCTGGACCAACTTCTTCACTCTCGATGCCATCGCCGACATTGGACTGAGCGAGCGTCTCGGTTTCCTAGACCAGGGCTCTGATCTCGTCCGCGGTGAGAAAATGAATGGCGAAATCCACACAATCGACTCCTACCGCCGCTGCCTCCATGCCACCGCTCGCGCCCAGTCCCAAATCGTCTGGGCCTATGACTGGTACACCCTCAACGAGAAGATCACTCGCATACTCCCCACTTCCTTCAAGAGCCTCTGGAAGCTCAACGAGGGCTGGAACGATATCGTTTGGCATCGCGCTATGCAGCGTCTGCGCCGCTACCAAGCCGGCGAGAAGCTCGACGACTTCTTCCAAGCGCTGATGGAAGACAAGAACGGGCATCCAAACAACCTCGAGTGGGGCGAAATTGTTGCCGAGGTATCCATCATGATGAACGCCGGCTCCGACACCACTGCCATTGCCATGAACAACGTCATGTACTGGCTGCTCAAGACCCCTGCTGCCCTAGCGAAACTCCGCGCTGAGATCGACTCAGTGCTCGATGAGGACGAAGTAGTCGCACCGTACGACAAAGTGCGCCATCTGCCATACCTCCGCGCATGTCTCGATGAGAGTATGCGTATCACGCCCCCCACTACCTTCGGTCTGCCCCGCCGCACACCACCTGGGGGCCACACCATCGAGGGCACCTTCGTTCCCGGCGAGACTTCCGTCTCCATGTCTGCATACGTCGCCCACCGCGACCCGACCATCTTTCCGGAGCCAGAAAAGTTCATTCCTGAGCGCTGGCTGCAGCCAGATAGCAAGGATCTGCAAGTGTACTTCATCGCGTTCAGCGCTGGCGCTCGCGGCTGCATTGGCCGCAACATCAGCTACCTGGAGCAAACCGTGTTGCTAAGCAGTGTAATCCATCGGTATGAATTTGCGCTCCCTGAACAGTCGTGGACGCCAACGTGGAAGGAAAGCATGAACTGCGCCCCCGATTCTATGCCTTTGAAGGTGTGGAGACGCGAGAGGATGACGGTCGAGGATGAGAAGGTTGGGCTTTGAGATATTGAAGCCATGATGATGGCAAGAGCTCAGTTGATCTGAGATATTTGAGATGAGATAGACGGACGGACCAACCATCTCGGCATGGAGAGGTTGATGATTCTCCATAATTGTAGACGCTTTCTTATATACCAATCTGGAATGAACAATTACACCTTATCCACACACTCTGATAGGATTTGGTATTCTTGTGCCTTCACTGGTGCTCTCTTTCATATCTCTTTCTCGCCTCGCGTCTTGATACTCGCTTCCCTGCTCGTACCCTCCCGTTTCCACTCACTTTGTAGAGCTACGACGCATGCGGATGATCTACGCTTTCGGTCCAAATGCTACATCATATACCCAAAGCGTGGTCCAGAATGCAGATAATACAAGTTGCAGCGAAAGTGTGATTGTACTTGCCACGCTTTCCTCATCCTTGTACCATCTTTCGTCATTATTTACAAAAAGCGTACACGCATCCGCCTCTTCTTTGAGAAAAAATAAAATTTAACGACGCTTTCGTCCGTTCTTGTGATTGGAACCCCCGCTCCCCCCGCTCCCCCCGCTCCCCCCTCTTCTGCTCGAGATATCTACAGAACACGCCATCTTTCCCTCCATCCTATGCCTATCAATCTCCTAGACTCGCTCTTATCTTACCATCTCCCTTTGTAACTGAATACGAAGTCCCGTGATCTGAGCAACGGTCGCGGGTCTCAACTTCGCCGGGGTATAAAATCTCTCCTCCGACAAGCTTGAGCAGGCCAAGGACATTCGGTCGGACATTGCTCCACTAAAACCGACACACAACAAAAGCTCATGGTGTTGGATGGTGGTTCGTGGCAGTATATCCAAAACAAGACGAGGAAAATGAACCGATGTGCTGCCACCCACTTCGCCGCCGCGCACCGGTGCTACTCACCTCCTAAATCCGATAATATTTGGAGGTACCGGGAGGATACAATGATCAATAGCGATATGAGAAGGCGAGGATATGTGTCAGCAACAGCATACGATGGCCAAGTCCTCCCGCTCTCCGACTCCATGGTGAGTCGCAGTGAGCGATTTGATGTTTCCCTCCATGCATCTACCATCTCTACCGTGATGACTTCGACCGTGCGTTGTTCGATACCTCCCCGGTCCCAGTCATGCGGGATGGGCTCGGATTTGTTTTGATTAGGCAAACTGACCACTCGAGCGCACCCCCAGGTGCGTCCATGGTTTCGAAGAGCCCTCCAATTACTCCTGCCGCTGAAGAACTAAGATCTCATCCCTGAAGGACTCTTATATGCTCTACAGAAGTACAGAGTCACATGATTTGACCATAAGCACATGACCCAAGCGATAGAATAGTAGAGAAATATGTTTTCATTCAAAGGAAGTCTCCAACCGCACTCGCTCGCGGTGAGATCTAATCCAAACGCAGACCCAGGAATCCCCAACCGCTAAAAGAAACCTCTATCATGCCGCCCCAATTACCGTATCCCATTCCGCACACTCACCACTTAACCTTCCCCTCACCCCAAAACTCCTTAATCAGCTCCATATAGTACGGCTTCAGCACCTCCGCCTTGGGCACCTCATCACTCTTCGAGTACAAATCATACGGGTTGAACGCCCTAACCGCCTCCAACATCTTCTCATCCTTCTCATTCATCATCCAGCGGTACGCGTCCTGCGAGTGCCACGGGTAGAACGAGTGGTACCTGATCATCGCCAGCGCCTCGTCGGGCATGGTGCTCTGCGCCTTCGCAATGTGGTAGAGGTACTCGTCGTGGCCCCAGCTGAGCATGACGTTGTCCATGCCGCAGCCGGGCGTGTAGATGCCCTCCTTGGTGCTGTAGATGGGGTCCTTGGAGTCCGGGTTGCCGACGAAGGTGTCCGGGTAGATGATCTTGCGGTCGAAGGCGCAGCCGACGGGGAACGTGTCGCCGACGACGTCCCACTGGCCCTCGGCGCCGAAGAAGAAGAGCAGCTTGCCCAGGTCGTGGATCAGGCCGGTGAGCTGCATCCAGCGCGGCTTGCCGTCGCGGCGGATGGCCTCGGCCGACTGCAGCAGATGCTCGATCTGCGAGAGCGACGTGTCCGGGTCGGACTCGTCGATGAGCGTGTTGAGCTTCTCCATGGCTTCCCAGATGGTCATCTCGGCGCGCGTCTGCGAGAGGAAGGTGTTGCGCGCTTTGAGGTTGTAGGCTACGGTTTGCTTCTCGTGCTGCTCGCGGTAGAAGTTCTTGACGCGGTCGCAAGCTTCTTCGTATTGTCGGAACTGCGTCTTGTCCTTTTCGGCATCGAACTGGGAGGCTTCGTAGATGTCCTTCTCTTCTTGGGTGGCGGTGCCCTTCTTCACTTTGAGAGCGGCCTTGAGGACGTTGACTTCGTCTATGGCGTCCGAGGTGGCTTCGAGAGCGAGGCCATCGCGGTCGTTGAAGGTCTCGTTGATGTTGGGGGTTTCGAGGAGAGCCGGGGCCATTTTGGTGGTGATGAGGGGCTGAGGTATGCAAATGGGTATCAAAGAAGACAGGCTTGGAGATGCAAGAGATGAAGTGAAGTTGATGATGAGAGTGAAAGCTACTTCGACGCTGAGTATTTGAATAGAAGCAGCGTCGCGTGTACTTGACTGTTGAGAAGCGATACACGGTACCTTGATAGCAATGAAAAATGGGAAAGAAAGAGCCCCTCAACAGCGCAATTCTCCCCTACCTACCACAAGCACCTGAATTCAAATCTAGACCCCACATGTCAGGCAATGAGAGTGCGGGTCGATATCAGAATGCATGCCAGATCCAACGCAATCTCTGCAGTTCGCCGTCTTCAGACACGCATGACGGCCCCTTAGCGGGGCTGGCGAACAGGTCGAGGACGAGATGCGTCCACAATTGGAAATATGGTGCAGTGGTCTACGTCAAGTGGAGGGATGGTTGCATTTGCGAGGGCGTTCTGGCTGCCGTGGCTCCACTGTTCCCGCTGGTTTTATCCGACTTGCCGTGTGGCCGCCGAGAAGGACAATTCTCGCCGCAACCTGCGTTCCCGGCATCTATTTGGGGCAATTCGAGGAACACCGACGGGGCGGAGGCGACTGGCGGCCGTTGAAGCGTGGCGATCATGTGGCTGCGTTCCAGGGACTGCCGGCCTTCGAGAATGTTTCCATTCGGATTCCGCTTCGGGAAGGAGGGGTAGCATCTCGGCCCCGCGATGGAGTCTGATGAATTGATGGAGAAAAGAAGATGCGGAGCGGCGAAGCAGCACGGAAGAGTTGCCCTCTCCGCATCAACGATTGCTCGGTTACGTGGCCGTTTTCAATGCCCGATCAAGGAGCAGCAGGTGTGCAAAATAGCCACGCGGGCCCTTCTTACAACGGTACCAAATTGCAGCCTTCAGATTCATCGTGTTCAGAATGCATCCCCGTCCCCGTCCTCTGCACAAAGCACGACTGCCCGGCCCGAGAGAACGGCGAGGGAACAGCGGCCACTCACTCGCCGGCATCCAGGGCCGACACTTCGCCCGATGCGTGGGCCGACCCGCAGCGTACCCTCTCGACACAGACGGCGTGCAAACATGAAGTAACAATTCGCGGGATTCCGCGAAGTTGCCCGCACTATATCAACCACAGCCCTCGCCGCTATGAATCCCGCCCTCTCTAAGTTTATGCTTGCGCGCACTCCCGAACGCATCCTCCATCCAACACCCACAATGAATACCCCGCTACCCCTCAACACCGGCGCCACCATCCCAGCCCTTGGGCTCGGGACGTGGCAATCGGAGCCAGGCCAGGTCAAGGCTACTGTTATTCACGCCATTGAGTCCGGTTACAGACACATAGACTGCGCTTTTTGCTACCAGAACGAGGACGAGGTGGGAGAGGCGCTTAAGGAGGTGCTGGCGAAGAAGGTCGTGAACCGGGAAGAGCTGTTTATCACCACGAAGCTGTGGTGCACGTTCCACACGCGGGTTGAGGAGGGACTAGACAAGAGCTTGAAGGCGCTGGGATTGGACTACGTCGACCTCTTCTTGGTGCATTGGCCGGTACCGATGAACCCCAAGGGTGAGTGCAATTCGACTTCGCGTGTCTTTTTATACCAACCTCTAACATTTGTCCAGGAAACCACCCCCTCTTCCCCAAGTTCCCCGATGGCTCGCGTGACCTCGACAAATCAATTACCCATGTGGACACATGGAAGTCTATGGAGAAGCTCCCGGAGACCGGCAAAGTAAAGGCTATTGGCGTGGCCAATTACTCTGTCAAGTTCCTTGAGGAACTTTTGCCGAACACCACCATCACGCCCGCTGTCAACCAGATCGAAAACCACCCTTATCTGCCCCAACAAGAAATCGTAGACTTCTGCAAGGGCAAGGGAATCCACATCACCGCATATAGTCCTCTCGGAAGCACAGGAAGCCCACTGATGAAGGAAGAGGTTGTGATCGAAGTCGCGAAGAAGCACTCGGTTGAGCCGGGAGCAGTGCTGCTAAGCTACCACGGTAAGTCTCAATCTTTGACTTTCAACAATTGAGGTTAACAGCTAATTCTCAAAAGTTGCCCGCGGCTCCTCCGTCCTCGTGAAATCAGTAACACCCGCCCGCATTGAATCGAACCGCAAACTCACCTCCCTCGATGACGACGACATGGAGAAGCTAGAAGGCATATCCAAAGCGAAGGGCTTCACGCGTTTCGTATACCCACAATTCGGTGTAAACCTAGGCTTCCCAGATAAGCAGTAGGTGCTGGAGGTGCTGCGTCGAGACGGGGGTTGATGTTAGACCGTAGGATACCCGCATCCGTGCTATAGATAAAAGTAAAATTATAGAAGCGCCAAAGGTTGTAAATGAGAACTCAATTCCACGTACAAGTGGTATGCCACTATGTGATGCTAATGGCAAGCAGGAGTGATAATCAATGGAGGTACAGTACTAGGTCATAAGTCTGGGCACACGGAGTTATCACTCGATACCATTGTGGGAGCAGCCTAGAGAGTAAGCAGCCACTTAGTCAAGAGACAGCCTGATTGACACTGCTTGAAACTTGACATCGCACCTAGGTTTTTGAAAACCTATAGGGTTACCCCAAGCGGTGGTAAACGGGTGTGCACATACGTACTTATAACCTGTCACTGTACGAGAGTCGTCCACTGCGTTTTCAAATTCTCTGAGTGAGTGCACTTCTATTAATGATATATCATATCTGTTTCATCAATCTCAATACCAACATCAAGCCCTCTAGCACATCTCGCTGATTTGAGTTTTTCTATATCTAATCCCCTAAGGTCTAATTCCGCGGTCTCGCCACTCCAAGCTCCAGCCTTCATGTGTCGACCCAGAACTTCTGTTTGATGAAGCAAGGTACGCGAGATTCTCTCTGTCGTTTGATCTTTCTCTTTCTCGTTTTATTGTTCCAGCCCTTTCGACGAAATAGCCCCTAGACCAACGCCAAAGCTCCTAATTCCATTGCACGTGTTGCACCCAAGTTTTGATTGAGAGAGATGGCCAGGACGCACTCAGTCATAGAAGCTTACTGTCTCGTTTTTCGCGATTTCAGGTCTCCAGACACAGCAGCCCCAGTCCATGGTACATCCTGTTTCAGCTTCTCCGCATGGGCAGACCGGCCTCATGTTTTTGATCTCTTTCTTCCACGCAACAGCTCCCAGCCCATCGGAGGGCAGCTCCGAGATTTTTGAACTTTTACAACGCATCGGAGGAGATCTATCGCCGTTTCGATTCGTCTGGAGTAACCACTCGCTCCACGATACAGACGGACATCAGCAGTGATGAGGGAGGGTTTAAACGCTCTCCACTTACGCGCTCTCCACGTAGGAGCGTTGTGGGTCTGAAGTCGATCCCCTTTCACTCTCTGTCACACAGACCACAAAGACCATTCCATGGTAATCGTGATGTTGTTAAAGACCCAAAACTCCAGCGATGTGTATGTTGGAACTCCGAGTCGGTTCTAATGGGCCCAGTCGCTTCACAACGCGAATGGACATGATAGGAAATACGCAGGCTACTTGATTCTCCTCCATAATCTCATGCGGGGGTGCCATGCTATGATTTGATCCCCTTCTTCCGCACAGCAGTTTCCAGTCCATTACTTATTCCCGGGTAGGTTTTTACAAGCCGCGAAACTCATTGTCATTCAAACAACTCCGTTTGAGCTGTCTCGGGTGGCCGCTCGATCTGCGACGCAGACAGCCATACGCTGATTGGCTTCGGCGTTTTCCAGCTCCTCCGCATGGGTCGTCGTTGTCTTGGGTTTTGATCCCCTTCTCCCACACACGAGTGACCTTGTTCTGTTTTAAAACCGCTTCTCCGGAGAACGAACGAGCATGGAAGTGCAGGGCCGGTCATTTTGAAGCTCCTCTACTCCGGCCAGAAATCATCAGAGTTGATTTAGCCCAACGAAGATCATGTTATAAACTGTGAGCAGGCTGTGTTTCGTAACCAGATGAATGAACATCATCCCCAGAGTACTTCTGAAAGAACGCTCGTCTGGGCAAAACTTGCAGTGGATGGCACCCCTGAGAGAACCCTCGACTCGCCTCCTCACTAGTCCCATAGTAGAGGATTAGGAATAGTGTTGATGTTGGCCGAGTCCTCGACACAGCACGCAAGCCTGGTCCATGGAAGTGTTGTTTGTACTATGTTAATAGATATACTCCGTTGTAATGTTTGGTTGATATACGAGTATGGGGAAGGTAAGTTTAGCCACGCCTCCAGAGAACAGACGGGCATCACTGTTGTCGGCAGTAGATTTTGCAATGCTCTGTCATGGTATATGGCGTCTGGGTGTTTGATATCCCCCTTCCACAAACTGCCATGATAGCTTAAGTATGCCTCGTTTGACACAAGTCTCGAAACGACCCAGGCTCCGGTCTCATGCAATGAATATTCCACTCCTTTTAAAGGATATACTAGGCTGTAATTTTTTAGTTTGATATACGAGTAGAAATAGGATAAACTCGGCCACAACTCCGGAAAACGAGCAACCATTATAATTTGCGGATTTGAATTCTGAGGCTCCGCGACATAGCAGGGCGATTTGCGCGTTTTTTATCTTCTTCTGCACACTGCACGACAGCACATATGATGCCTGTACCAATGGTTTGAGCCAATTCCAGAACACTGCTCGCGATTCTAGATCCATGGCAGAGGCGCTGCGAAGGTTTTGCGAAATATAGGCAGACTTGTTGGTTGATGTCGATGTAAACGTATGTATAGAAATAGGTCTGGCCACTCTTCCGGAAAAGGACGGGCACTGTAAAACTCGGTATTTTATTTTAAACTCTTCCATTGCGGTTCTCGTTCCATTCAGGGTTCTTCTACGGAATCTTGAAGGTTATATTCGGTTATGCTGATAGATATAAGAAAATGTATACCTCAAGTTTGATGACTCGGCCGGTATAGTGGACGGACATCATTGATTCCACAATCATACGGGTTCAAGGACGGCAAAATTGTGCTGCAATTTCACGGCGCTGCCCCTGGTTCTGGTTCCATGCGACCATCTTGGTGTTGATTTTGATCAACGGGCAAACATTGAGGTCTGAATTCGAACATATTGCAGTCCTCCACATCGAACGGGGCCTCATGGGATTTTGACGACCTGTTTCTGCGTTGCCATAAATGGCCTCATTGCCTACTTTTGACGAAACCTCTTGATACTACCCACAGCTCTTCTTTCATCAGTTTCGTTAGACATGGTTGTTGAAGGCTCACCAGAGGAACAAGTCAGTCTCCACATCAGCCACATCATCTCACGTTTTTTATTTCTTCCAGAACACGGACGGACGTACACCCGATGGCCGCACGCTTTTGAAGGTCCTCTACATCTTGCTGAAGTCCATCGCGTTTGACTCTCTTTTCCCGAAGTGCCATGAGAAGTGGCGACAGCAGCCTTCTAAGCAGCCCCTTGGTGAAATCTAGAATTCTGATCCCAGGAGGCTCTTCCCCAGCCAGTTTGAAAGGATGACTGCGGCTGAATTGGTCCTTATTCACATGAAAGAAAGAAGACGGTGGTTTTGACTCCGCAGGAATGCGGATGGTCATGGGTGCTGTGTATGGGACATTTTGAAGATCGTCCCATGAGGCTGTTGATAGTAGGCTTTTGATCCCGCTCTTCCAGACAGTCATGGAGAACTCGTCTCACGCCTGATGCAAGCCAATGATGCTCGCCACTACTTGGCTCCATCGAGTGGTAGGCGTGATGGTTTTGAAAACTTAAACGGCCCGGACAGGTCGGTATTTACATAGTAGTGGGCCTTGTTACGTGTTGATATAGAAAGAAGATAAAGGAGTGGGAATATAGATGATTGCGGTGGCCTCTAGTATACATCAAAGTCCATGGAGGGATCTTTTGGGACGTTTTACGTGCTGGCCCACGCTTCCGATCCCACATTGATGATGGCCTGAAGAACTTTTGCGTTTTGATCCGTCGCTGCGTTCAGACTGCTCGGTCTCCAAATGTGGTGTCCCTACAGCTCGTTTGATTTGATCTGAACACATGGAACGATAGTGCCATTGATTTTGATATGTCTCTGGTACACTGGTGGGAAGTGAAACGAAATGCGATCCCGCAAGCTCACTGATTCTAGCTCGTATATGTTTGAGGCGCCGCCCCGAATCGACTCCTACATCGTCGTCCTCCTTGACCACTTTGAAGCATCACTGCGTTGGGACCGGTCAATTCTTACATGGATGAACCGGTTGTAGGGTTTTGATTCAAGGGAACCACATAGACTTATTCCAGGCGGAATTTGAACGTATCCAGTATATATCCGTAGGATAAGAGTCTTTCGAGAAGCAGGACCAAATATCATGATGTAGGCTGCCCGCCATTTTGATATATCGGCACAATCTCAACTGCACATGGAATTTCCTGGTCGCGGTATTTGAAAGATCGCTCGTGTGGGTTGGTTGGAATCTACATGACACGCTTACAGCGATCATCTGTTTGGACTTAACCCGTCGATCGCCTTCGGCAGGTTTTTTTTTTTTTTTTTTTAAAAAAATATCTCGTGACATATCCGTACGGCTTGGACTCTTCGGTAGGTAGACCTGGGACTCGGAAAAAGCATGGGCAGAGGTAACTGTCCTTTTTTTGTTTCTTTGTCGCGGTCGCCACATTTGACTGTACTCAGTAGACTTATGCAGCCGGCAGGAAGGACATTACACCGTCGCTATGCAGATTTTGAATGTTGTCTAGCACTCTAGGCCCAAGGTATACAACGGGTCGCTGACCGGATTCTGGAGCCGGAGACCAATGAAATAAAAGTCCAGGGCGTTTGACTATGCTCTCCATTGGTGACCCCTTGCTTCCGGTTTGATCCAAAACCAGACATTGCGTGTTCATGTGCCTAATTTTAAAGTTCTCGTGTGGATAATCAAATTTCTCGAGATCGAAGGCTGACATTGCTTGCTTCTCTAGTGACTGTTGATTCCTCCGTAAAAAAATCTTTGATGCCCTGTTCCCACCCGGAGATGTGCTTATACACAAGTTTTGAAGTTCTCCAGTATATACCGCGCGACTGAGATTTCCACAAGACCAGGAACCGACATTGGTGACTTCTGGCTGTTTTGATCTGTTCTCCACGATCTCCGCTTCGATCGGAGAGTGACAGAAATCTGGTCCAAGGGCAACAACATCGCATCCATTTGACAGTCAATTTGATAGTGCCTTGGCCTTTTTCGTCGCCATTGGCCGGTTGCTGAAGGCCAGAGACAACAACAGAGAAGCGATAGCTAGATCTTGACGCCGTCTCCACATGGCTGCCAGACACCGCGAACTACTTAGAGCGGGCTTTCCTGGATTTGATATTTGTTCAGAATGATGGGCTTCCGTTTCGCTCAAGTCCTTGGATATTTCCTGAAGCCCCGAGTCGTACATGTACATATCCGGGCTTCGAAAGGATGAAACATCTT